AGATCAATCAATAATGAAAATAATTGTCAGCATCAGCCCTATCACACTCACTCACATGCTTCATAATGTATATACCTGTGACAACGTGGTGATCTATGATAAGGGCCATCAATGCAAGACAAGGTCAACCACAGAGGGAAGAAATTCTTGACACTAATCTCACTCATGATACATGGGCCATTCACAAAGATGACTGCCTCTCACCGTCTTTGTCCGCTCCTTTCTAACTCTTACACACACACACACACACACGTTCACATCAATGCTAACAAAGCATGCACCATGACACAAAACCGCTTTGCAACACATGACACAGACGACTTCTACCATGTTCCTGTCAGCACATCTCTTGTTTTCTTATCTGGGGTGATGATGCTGCACTGAATTTAAATGCAACAGCGACTGCTCAATACTATCTTGGACACACACACACACACACACACACACACACACACACACACGTTATTCCTGTAATCAGTGACTTTCATGTACCTGTCACTATCTGTCTATCAGCTCCTGGCTGTTATGTCGGATGCACCTCAAGGATAATGAATAACAGCTTTAATACTGTCTTGTTCAGGCACATTAAAGACGTTCTGCGCTGATGAATAGAAAATGCCTGTTTCCAAAGTCACTACCATTATAAATATACCATTTTCCCCAATGTCTCTATTTTGTCACAGTCCAGTGTTTTCTATATAGGTAACCATGTAGCCTTTACTCTCTGCCCTGCTGAATCCAACTGCTGCTAGCCTTTGTTACTATATGTGTTAATTGGAACCACATGTTACGCATCTGCCCTCAAGGAGCCACCAAGTTACTTAGACTAAATGTGTGCTTGTGTGTCTTGAGGAGAAAAGGAGGGGGTTGTATGTGACAGCCAGCTTGCATTGGGTTTCACATATGCAGAGGGAAAGAAAATATGTAAGTGGGGAAGGAGGAGTGAGGGAGGAGTAGATGGAGGCAAGAGAAGATGAGAGAAAATGATGAAGGAGGAAAAGAAAGACGAGGGAAAACTGTGTGGTTTGTTTTGAGGAGGGAGAGGGCGCAGGAGGTGGGTGGGGACAAGGGGGAGATATAAATGTTGTGAATAGAAGCAGTCTCTGATAAGGTGATCTCTAGTGGTCATGCTTATGTGATTAGGTTTGTTTTAGCCAGTGGGAGATGGAGTTCATTTGTATTAATAGATGCTCTGGGCTACAATTTCTAACTTGAATTCCTCAGCACATGTTTTTTTTTTTTTTGGGGGGGGGGGGGGGGGGTGTAGTGTGGGTGCTATGGGGGTCTCTCTGGCACTCATGACTTGAGAGTTCTTTCATAAGGCAAAAACCTTGCGTACGAGGAGTTCCCAACTCTCCTCTATTATTTACAATTCTCTTTCCTTCTCTCCTGCAATTACCCTACATTCTCTCTCTCGCCCTCCTCGTCTAGACCGTCACCACTGCCTCACCGTTTATCCTCAGTGATGCTTCTGTGTTCAGCTTGTTTCTGGTGCGTCCGTTCTCCTCAACAAGCGTATCAGTCTCTTTGTTGTTGAAGTGGTTTTCCCTGCCATCAGAGATTCTGGGGGAATCTTCTTCCCTTTAGGCATTTTAGTCTGGCTGTGTGTGGCACTGTAATGTGTATCAGTCTGACGCCTGCTGGGGGAACTGGAGTACTGCAGTCTCACGCTGGCTTTGAACGGAAGCCAGTTTGGCAGCAGAAACATTTTTCCTCTGGGTGCTGAGTGAAGAGACCATGTCTTGTCACGAGTATGCAGATTCTCATCATGTCTCAAGTATGCCTGGAATTTCTTCCTGATGGTTTTTTATTTCTGCAAGGCTATCTACCTTGCACCTCCACCACAGGCTACACTTTATGTTTATACCATAAGGGAGAAGATTTGTGCACATACATCATAACATCCTTCATCAGCTTTATCTCACAGCCCAGATGCTACATAAATCCAAACCTATTTAGCTCACTGATATAAATGGGGTGGACAAAATAACAGAAACATCAGTATAACACAACACAATTCAAAAGCACCATAAACTAGAGTCTCCAGAATGACCATAAAGTAGAATCGACACCTCTTTGAAACACAAACTGAACAGTATACTGTTTAGTTCACCTTCATGAAGGTATGATTTATTGCACAGCAGTTGTATTTGACTGCATGCGTTTTAGCTAGCTGTGTCTAATAAACTTGGAACTGAGCCTATATGATATTTGGATTATAATCATTTATGCATTAATATGTACACCACTTTAATATTGCTGCTGGTAAAGGTGGGGCTACTTTATACACTGCTGGATAGCTTGTGAATTCCCCCCTGGGAATCAATAGTCTTATCTTAACCTATAATAATAGATCAGAATTTATTTGTTGATTATAGTGTATTTTGTATTATAATCAAATCTGCAAAGCAACAAGTAGCTAGAGTTATTAGATAAATATAGTGGAGTATAATAAAGTATAATAGTTGCCTCATAGTGGAGTAGAAGCACAGGGTAACAAAAATTGAAATAATTAAGTAAAGTATAAGTGTTGGTTATATCAAAAAGAATATCAACATAATAATCTTTGTCTAACTTTGTAGTGTCTTGTCGTGTGTTTGGGATGGGTGGGGTGGGTGGGAAGCGCCTAGAACTGAGTGGGTTTATTTGTTTGGTGTATTTTATTCAAATCAGAAAACTTGTGCCTACACCATATTATATCAAAAGAGGAAAGCAATTAAAAGTTTTAATTTGTCACTGCTCAGATAGAGCACAACAAATTTGCTTTATACTGTCTACAGCATTTAAATGCATTTGCTAGGGTGTGAGCAATTAAAAACATTAATTTATATTGAAATGGCCTCTCAAAGAGAGAGAGACAGAGAGAGAGAGACTGAATCGTAAATGATCCACAATTAGGATATTAACTCACAGAGGTATTATGAGCAGGTACTGACTCACATCAGCAGTGGGAGGTGAAGAGGGGGGAGAGGAAAGAAAGATGTGAAGGGAAATAAAAGTGCAGAGAATGAAGGGCAGACTGAGGAATGGAAGGATTGAGAGAGAAAAGTGGTGAAAAAAATGCAGCATGAAAGACAGGGAGAGAGGGAAATATGGCACTTTGGAGAGGGAGGGGGAGAGGAACTGTTCATTCCTAGGTTTGGCTGCATTCCAGGCTGTCTGGCTCTGATTCTGACGGCCTCCTGTTTTTTTTTTTGTTTTTTTTTGTCTTACCTTCAGACTGACTGGACCCTAGAGCTGCCTTCTCCCTGCCTGATCCAAACTTTCCAAACTTCAGTCACCATGGTACCACCCAGTGTTTGCAGCTGGATGAACGAGGGCAGAAGAGCGGTACACATATGTCACTTCAGCTTCCTTATTCCACTGGTTAAACAGAGAGCAAGCTCATGGGATCGGCTGGAATTTGGAATGACACACAAACACGGACCTCTCCTCATATGAGTATGTCACCCGCAGACAGGATGGGGTGCACTTTTTTTTCCTCAGCACAGCACCAGGGTTTCTGTGGAAAGCTCTGAGTGGAAATTCGACACATTTTTTGTCCCAGTGGAAGTGGGGAGAGCCTGGAAACATTCCTTGTGGGACAATAGGCTATCAAAGACCTCAATGACCACTCCCTGTAGTTCACACACATGAATCAGGCAACAAAAGGTTACACAACCGCTACAGCAGACGTATGCATGTAATAGAACTCAACCGAGACTGTACCTTTGGTTTCACAACCGGAATATATATATATATATATATATATATATACTTTGACAACTTATCTAGTCTCACATTTAGCTTTCAACAAAGACAAAACATTTGCCAGTCGGCTGAGATAACTGAAATTGTTTCCCTTATTTATCTACAAGTAATGCAAAAATAAAAATAATTATTTTCACTAAGTGAAATATTAATGTCAGAATTTCCTAAAGCCCAAAGTGATGTCATGAAATTATTTGTTTTGTCAGAACAATACTCCAAAACCTAAAGATATTCGAAACGCTTAAAATTCTCGCGAATAAACGCGATTATTCTTCTGATAATTTCAGCTCTAAGCACGGAATAAGGTTTTAAAGTGCAAAAGTAACACTTGAAATTGCTTTTAAAAATCTTTAAAACTGAAACTATGATAATAAATATGATGTTTAAATTTATGTCAAAAGGACTCAATGATACACATGAAAGATTTGTTGCATGATAAAATGAGACGCAAAGTGTGTGTGTGGTTGTGTGTGTGTGTGAGAGGCATAAAAGGCTATTATATGATAGAGGTGGCTGGTGTGCAGGATGGGAGGTGTCATTTCATGCCAGATTGAGGGCAATCACATCCTTATTGTCAGGATGAACAACAGAGAGAGAGAGCCATTAAATGTGTAATCACGTGTACAGAGAAGCAGTGTAACTCCTTGCATTCTTACTGCCTTTGTGCAAAGTAAATAACGACGTGGTAGCCCACTTGGCAACAGACAGAATAATGCCTTTACAATCTGATCCTCAGCTTTCTTGTTGAGGCAAGTGAAAATGTCTTACACAAAAAGTCTTTAATTTTTTTTCCTCAAAGTAAATAAAAGCACAAACAGTCAACCTTTTCCAGAGGCCAGCTCAGTTTGAGCATACTTTCTTCAGCCACTGTACCTCCTTGTGTTTAAACCTCCGACCACTTTTAGTCTGTATCTAATCAGGCCTCTAGCCCCATTATCTCTCCCTCCCTCTGGCTCCCTCACTCCCTCAGTCTGACCTTACAAGGAGAGGCAACAGGGTTGATGTCACTGAATGAAGAATGCTGCAAGAATCCAGAGAGAAAAGAGAGAAGGAGGAGGAGGAGAAAGAGGAGGGGTCTGATGTCTGACTGGACAGTTTATGAACACACACACACACACACACACACACACACACACACACACACACACACACACACACACACAAAATCACAAAGAGAGAGAAAGAGAGAGAGAGAGAGAGAGAAAGAGAGAGGTGCTGTTTACATAGTAATACACAAGTCCTGAGCCAAAGTCAAACAAGAAAGAACTTGTTTGGAAGGATGGTGTCATTCCTTTTCCAGACCGAAAAGCACAGGGGGAGGGTCTAATAGCTGCTGGAGAGGGGAAGAGAGAAAGAGAAGTTAGCACTGCAGACAACTCTTACTCAGCTTGGACCTAGAGAAAGAGAAGAACAAAAGGAATAGTGGGGGAGTAAAAGGGAGATCCACACTGCAGCTGCATTAACAGGGTAAGTGATTTCACCAGTATAACATGAGGTAATGGCATATTTCCCAATTTTTGGGGGACGGAGTGGGGGGGGGTAGACTGCTTCAGGTTACCTAATAAGGTAAAGTCTTTTGTCAATGCAAGAATCATCATAGCACATATTTCCTGATTACTCAATGGGAACTGTAGTTAACACCTCAGGGAACGCCACCTTTGTGAATCTGTCACATGGCAGCTCGTGTAGCGCTTGACATGACATGTAAAAACTATTGTACACTCTGGTTTAAAGATACCTTTTAGAGGGCGGTGTTCCGCTGTCTCCCTGGCTGAGTTTTAACTCAGAAGTGAATGTGAATAAATCTCCATCAAAGTACTGGAGGTAGCTACACCAGCTGATGGATACCGATGACAAGGGTTGAACTACGCGGAAGCGCTAAGAGGAAGTCCAGTGTAAAAGTTGACTAAGCTTGCTAGCTAGCAGCTGTAGGCTTTTATGAGCAGCGAGTAACAAACATTAAACTTGATGACAGCACGGTTAAGAGAGGCCGTATGAGGTAAGAAAAGTGGGGCGGCGTTAAGTTATTTTGCCACCGACACCTAGCTGCTGACCGAGGTGGTAGGGGTGTGTGCGAGTGATCCGACTTTAGCTAACATAACCGATGGTGTGATTGATGATAAGCCCGAGTGGTAACGATAACGTTTCTCACACACACGGTGGCTGGTTAGACTTTTAAGGTGAGTGGCAGTTGTCATTCAGCTGTTAGTGGGTGTAATTTCTGACCGAACATGATTCAATCCGAACTAAATTAAGCTAACGTTATCTGAACGTTGAATACGTTCTGGAGGCTAATGGTTAATATTAGCATAAACCACGTTCAACTGATTAAGCAACGTTAGCTTTTCTGGGTAGCTTTAGCTAGAAATCGTCCAGAAACCTGCTAAAGAGTGATGAAGGGTTAATTAACCCTAGCTGTCTGTCTTCATTGGCCGTGGTTGTGACCATTCACCCATTGGTGTCAGCTGTCAAAGCGCTGGCTAACACTGGCTAACCCTATCTAATCAATGGGGTGCTAAGGTGGGTGGAGCACCGAGCTACAGTATGTGTAACTTCTTCATACTGCCAAGGAAATAGAAATCTGTTATTAGTTGTTCGGTTTTCTGTTCTGTTGTGCCCTCGTTGAGGCCTGTAAGTATGGCTCTTTCAATCGTCTTCATAAATTCACCGTTTACATGCGCACTAGTATCCTGGTTATTGGATTTTTGCTTATTCGCTGCGCATGTTTATTTTATCTCGCTTCCAGAAACCTAAAATACGGTTCTGTCCTGTGGGAAACCTGGATAAGCCACCTAAGGTACTCCGATAAAAACCAGGACACTGGCGTGTAAACAATAGAGCTGCAGAGATTAGTCAATAAATTGCTTAGTTAATTGATTGAAAATCTATCGCTAACTATTTTGATAACTGATAAATTGTTTTTGAGGTTTTCTTAAGATTCCCTGGTTCCATTTTCTCACTTATCATATCTTCTGGTTTTTCTTTGTCTCGTATCTAAGTGAATCGAAGATATTTGGGTTTTGGACTGTTGTACAAAACAACACATTTGTAGATATCACTGAGCTTTAGGAATTAGTTATCGGCATTTCCCACCCTTTTCTGACATCTTTAGACAAACCATTGCTCCACAAAACGAGGAAGTAGTCATCTGATTAATTGATAATGAAAATAATCGTTAATAACATTCAGGTTTCTGAACATTCTTTGTTGGCTGAGATGGTGAGAAATCAAGACACAATGGCACACAGATGATCAAAAACTTGGATGGTGCAATGACCATGTATACAGGGATGAATAACCATGAATCACCACGTTTCTCATGTTCCATGTAAAAGCTGTATCCTGAATATGATCAAAACCAGAATAAAAGTCAAAACTGGAATAATAAAGGATGTTAGTAGTATACATGAGAATTAAGGCAATTTAAGCATATAATTACTACAACTCTGAGGATGTGGAAATCCTGTGATTATCAGTGTTAGCCATATAGCTGTGCCTACCTTCTCTGATTTGCCTTTTCATCAGCTATATAGGAGGGGAGCCTCAATTCATGGCCACAATCAGCTGTGTTTAAGAAAAACCTATATTGAGAAGGCTCTAGTCTGAGGTTTGTGTGGTGCATCTGTTTGAACAGACTGGGGCTGTGGTCACTGACGCCTCATTGAAGTGGTGTGGCAAATGAGAATCTGTGAATGAAGATGATCTATGAATGGCTGTATGCTACCCTTTCTGACTGGTGTAACGAGGAATCCTCCTTTAATTGTAGCCTCCATGAGTCAAGACACACAAGCTATTTTAGGGTATCCCTTTGCCTCAAATCACTGCATGTCTAGCTCATTGATTTTGGTTCTCACTGTCTTGAGTTTGACACAGAGCCCATTGGCTGATGTTATTACTACTTTTGAATTGCTGCATGTCCAATCATTCATCTAACTGCAGTCTGAGAGGGAGCATAACACTGGTGCTGAATGCATGTCCAGTGACCTGTAAGATTGGCCTCAAAAGGGATGTTTGTACCCGCATTAGTGACCCCCGGCCTAGACACGCTTTCCCAGAAACTGTGTATGCTATTAACATCAGAACAATAGAGAGTTTCACAAACAACACACTAGTCACTGATATAAGGACTGACCAGACATGGAAGGAATTACTGGAAGAAATTCAGTTTCTTATTAGGTTAAGAGATAAGGAACATGCTTATATGGAAAAACATTTGTGTTCTTTTCTTTTCTTATTGTTTTTATTATTATTTGTACTTCTGAGCATAGATATATAGCAGGCAATGCAATTGTGAGCTTATTACATATTTGGGATCTTTACCAGAGTTGTTTTCAAAAAGGGACATTCCTAAATGTCTTTACTGAATCTTTGTGTTGCATGGCAATACTATAAAGAAACAATTGCTGAATGAACTTGCTCTACCTGCATATGTGTAAGTGTTGCTTTTTGGTAAAAAAGGACAAAGAAGACTTTGATTCAGTTGGGCAGCATGCTACAACATTTCCCCATATGGCCTTTTAAACTGCAGTAGTAGAGTATATAAATCAAATTTAGTTTCTCTATAATCACAAAACAAAGAACCACTGCTGAGTGAAACAGTTTATTTAAAAGTGTGGTAAACTTCAACAACACAGTCTGTGCCTTCATGTAAATCAATCAACACTGAGATAAAACACAAAAGATAATAGAAGGTGTGCCACAGAAGAGCTTTGTTTTACTTTTGTTTGTTTGAGATGTTTAATAGTACATGAGCAGAGTCTCAAGTCAGTCCCTGTTTTCATGTCCTGAAGAAGCCTCACAGTTTTCTAGGGAAGTGATTCTCCAACCACGTCATTGAGTGCCACTACCCTGCTACTTTTTATATCCTACAAGGAAGTTAGACTTATTAGTTTCTCCCTCTATCCCATGTGTAAATCAGCCCCTGATAAGATGCAATGAAAACCAACTGGGCTGTGGTGCCAAAACCAGGGTTGAGGACCAATTTTCTAGCCTGTAAAAGCCATGTGGAGTTTATAGAAAGTTCAAAAGTTACAGCTTACAGTATGTGATATATGTTGGGGCCCTGTAAAGGCTACACAGTGTCATCCTCCATCCTAGCTGCAAAGTAGAAATGATTAAATGCAGCCTCAAGTGATGTCATTCAGTTCAAGTGGTGGGTGTGAGATCAATGAGAAGTTGGGAAACGCGCAAGAATGAAAGAGACAAAAATGATTGTGGTCAGCCACAGAGCACAAGTCTATACATCATATAGTGAGAGTAAGCCAGAATTTAAGAGAAGTACAGGTCCTCATTATGGAAGCAAAAAATGACAAAAAGGAAATGTAGCGAAAGGGGGCTGATTGGAGTGTAACCAAAAAAGCTAAAAAGATGATGTCATTGAGTTGTAGTGCCAAATGCGTTCCTTAGCTGAGGGTCTCTCTCGTCTCAAGCATCAGGTTTCAAGATTCTAGATGTGAAGTGGGACGGTTGGGGCTGAGTCTGTAGCTGATCTCACCGTATTAAATCCCTCAGGACCGTATCAAGGAACAGATGGAACCTGACCACAAGTTATCATCCCTGTTGAATAATTGAGAGGACTATTGCATATTATCTCTTAGAAAGAAGGTAGCTGAAGTGCTGTAATGAAAAGACTAAATCACAGTCTGCACTCACCCTTGTCAAGCACTCCTTTTAGAAAGCCGTTATAGATCCATGTGTTACGTTTGGAGTACTCTGTTGATATTCAGATGTGCGAACCTCATTTCAGGCCAAGACCAGTCAATCTGTTTTTGCATTAAGAGTCCACTTCGTTCAGCATGAAGCAGGCTGGGTTAATAAGTAGCCAGCTATTTTCCAAAAGACTCAAACACCTCTCTTTTCTCTCTTCCTTTTTTTTTTACTTTTATTTCTCCATTGCTGCAGATTATCAGCATAGCAAAATTTAGACCAAAAGCACAACAGTTTGCATCTCCACTAAGAGCCTCACCATCCTCTTGTATTGATTCAGTCAGCAATTTTCTGAGCGCGACAGAGTGTGAAACTTGTGTCATTAGATTGTTTTTCCACTGCTTTGTGTAATGACACATGGTTAAAGCGAGTTGTGTCTTGTGGCATAGCTGTTCTGATGAATATGAGCAATCATGCTGTTGTAGTTAAATGTATCATCAGGAATTATTTCAGTCAAACTTTGTCTAGTAAGGTTGAGAACTGCAACAAAACAACCAATTTTAACTAGTGTTTGTCTAAAACCAATGAAGAATACATTGTCTTACCTAATTACATGGCAAAACATACATAGCATTACATACATACTGTACATGCACATATAGAGCTATTGAATAAAAATGCATAATTAGTACTCTAACAAAGGCTCAATTGTGTGCCTATGTTAAAGTAAGTAGTTTTAATACATTTGTGCATCGTAATGGGACAGCTTAGACTGTGTCATGACACAATGCAACAGCTGACACCTCATAATGGCCTTGGCTTGGACATATACGGGTAAAATAGTTTAACTTGCATTGAAGGAAGCTGACTCAAAAAGCAGAAGTGCTGCATTCTCATCAGAGCAGCTAGTGATGTCATGAGCATCAGAGGTACTTTCAGGAGCTGAAGGGGTTTTTGTCTTGTCAGAACTTGAATCGTTGCCTGTGTGTCCCAACAAAGAGCAGTGATGAGGATGAAACACTCAAACTTTTCCTGCTTGGTTTAGCTTTTACTCTGAGCTGGGCCCCATGTACATAATAATTTCCAAGGCTATGTTTGACTTGATCTCTTTATGGAAAGGTTGTTTTGCTAATGCTAACTCAGTTATATCTAAATTGGTACAATCATAGTTTTCTGTGGCCTTTTGGAGGGGTCTATTTGACAACTACCCAGCATTATGTGAACAGGGGATATGTCAGTGTAGCAACTTGAAAAGACAAAGATGAACGGGGAAGACTGCACACATCAACCACTATGCTGTGGCAGAAATATTAAAGCTAAGAAAGCTTGTGGTGTTGTTAAGAAAGCTGTATCAAAACACAACTTTAACTGTTTGTCTCTCTAGCTGCAGACCCATCTTTTAGGAGGGACTTCCCAGTAAAGCTTTAGCAGAGCAAACACAATTAATTTTTTTTATTGAAGTACTCTTGAATTATAGATGAGAAAATGGTTCATTGAATAAGGTACACTGTGGAACCTTCATCAGGGTGTAGAGGATAAATGCCACACAACAAAGACATACATAATAATTGTTCACTGGTAAATGTTATCTCCAGTTTGTCTAATTCCTACCACCTGCAACTCATTCTGTTACAGGTTAAATGTTGTGGCTGCATGACGTTTATGTTTTACAGCCCATTAAAGGCTTTTTAAATAGTCCAAACATTGCTGTGTTAATCGTTGCCACAGGTTTAATCATTTTTATCACTGAGCAACTATTTCAGAGCATCAGGGTCGAAGTATATGAGTACAGATGTGGGTTTGGGTTTGGGCTGTGGGCTTAGTAAGAACAACGGTGCTTTTGACTAAAGGTCATGTTCGGGGTCTAGTTGGCCTTCAGGGAAATGTGTCCAGACTTTGTGAAGAATCTCTCTAGAGACACTGAAGTAGTATCAACATTTGTTTAGCCACCAGCATGTGTGAGGTAAATATTTGAGCTCACCCTCTTTCTGACGCACCTCACATGAAAATGTTATGATAGTTGACCTTTCCTGCTTCAAACCAGTCTTTCTTTTACAAACCTTGGTATCAATGAGTTTTAAGTCACTGTAAACAGCCATGTGTTAAATATTGTAAATTGTCTGTGGCATTTGGGAGTGCCGTTATGCATACTGTGTTGGCTCTCTATACATGGCCTGAGGAAATCTTCACACACTTTTCTGTCATTGTACTGTAGACTATTTGCCCAGGCTTTTGTGTATAAAGGGATTCGGTAACACTGGATTTGCAGAATGCCCAGCAGTTGTTTTCTTTTTTGCTGTTATTTCTCTAAATCCAGAAATAGTCAAAAAAGACAATGTGAGCCACAATAAACCCCATTTAATTAGTTTTGCTAAGACTTCAGGGGTCAAGACAGCTGTGCCCCAGTTATAAAGTGTACAATAGGTACCAATCTGGATAGTATACTGTTTTGGCAGTTAATATAGCAGAAGTTAATGTTTTGTACCAATAGGAAATGCTAAACAATATGCACAGATTGAATTACACTGCAACTTTAGGAAGCTCCAGCCAATTTTAAAGCTGGAAACTTAACAGAGTGAAAGAAAAAAAGTTCTCCCCAAGATTTATTACTCTTATTTGTTATTTTCTGAGTTGTTTCCGCAGCCGCCTCACCACCATCCACAATTTGTTTTAGATTTAACAGTGTGTAGCTCTTCTGTTTCCATTTTGCAATGCACTGGCGAACAGATATTCATCAACACTATCCAAAATTTAGTCTGCATGAATACTCACATTTTTGAGTGTAGATAATTTTGCTGCTTTTTCAGTGTGGAGGCACTACAAACTCAAAACCTGGTTATAATTAGTGTGTAGTTTGGAATTGTGACAGGCCAAATGTTTTGTTGATGTGTCATCACCACTAATTCTCCAGCAAAAGACCCGACATGCATACGCTGCCAAAGAATGCAAGGCCTTTGACTTTAGTCAGCTGATTAATGTTGGTTTCATGTGGGGTGTGAGAGTAGGACTCTGCAGTTGTTTGAGCTTCACTGCAACGTGTTTTGTACCTTTGTAATGAGACACCCTTTCATATAAGAATTTATATTGTCCTGTGTGGTTTCTAACTGTTGTCCATAATGTTTCTTGTGTTTGTCCTCAGATAAATACACAAAATGGAGGACTCCAACAACGGCAAGCCATTCATGGTGACATCCTCTCTGAACTTCAAAGTCACCACCCCGTCCTTCTACAACCAGCCAAAGAAGTTTGCCTCGGTGGCACCGCCACGACCCAAAAGCCAGACACCTCCATCAGCTCCATCTCCAACACCAATAGGCACAGGGGTGATTGGTCGAGTGGGAGATCTGCCTCCACCACCCCCTTCACTCTGTGATGGTATTTGCATTTTTTAAGCTATTTTGTGAACCATTTATCTTGAGTTATATCCACTCAGTGAGCAGCCCTTCCCTATCCCACCTCCCGCTGCTTCTTATGCTAGAGCATGCTGAGCTTCACAGTTGAGTATATGAAAAACCACATTAGTTGTGTGGTACTGTGGTTTTACTTTTAGAGCTGTGAATAATTGTACTACTAGATGTCTGAGCTGATTTAATTCATGGACACAGTCAGACAACCTCAAAGTATTAAAGGCACCCCGTGGAGTTTTCAGCTGGCTGAGTGTTGGAGATTCCTCATTGGTTGTTGCGCTTTGAAAATTAATTGGAGCGAACAAGCAGTGTTGCCAGTGTTGTCGCTAGATCAACCAACTTTTCAGACTCCTTTAGCGACTTCTTTTTTTCAATAAACCACCGGCCATCAAATCTAGTGACTTTTTTGGACAAACGTCAGCTAGAAGAGAGTCGCCAGTATTGCCCTGCAAGTGCAAGGTTGGGCATTCCCTCAACAGGCACACCTCTCTGACGTTAACTTTTAATGTTCTCCCTGAGTAATCATTTAACAAGTAAATATAGCCAAGGTCACAGCACCGCTATTGTATTTAACTTGTGTGTATGGTGATTTTTTTTCAGGCGACATACATGTTACAATATCAGAATTTTTGCAGTGCAGAGCAGCAGCAGTGTTTCGGTTCCTATTTCATACTTGTTCGGTTTTCTGACAACAGTAACAGAAACAGAAAAACATGTAAATGAGAACAGCTTTATTGGAAATTCGGCTCTATTAAAATACTGTATCCATGAGCACAGAGAGTAGGAGAGAAGCAAACAGATAAAGCTGAAGATAGAAAGAGCTGAAACCGGCTGACAATTGGCAGAATGCAAATGGCCTATGTCGCAGTCCAGCTATATACTAGGTTTGACCTCATCTTGTTCAGTGGGTCTGTTTTATACTGTGCACATGCATGAGGGCACACATGCACAGACACAAATATTCACATTCAAGCTGCTATTTTCACACTGTTTGGATCATCACTTGATTGCAGAGACAGTCATGCTGTGAAGAAGATTGCAAACAGGAATGTAAACTGCAGGATTTAAGATCTTAGATTTAAAATCCTCTTTCCAAACGTTTTCTAAGGAAGTAAATGCTGTTGATGTGTTTGTTAGATGTATTTCAGTAAGAAACACTGAATGTAAACATAACTTTTCTTTGTTTATATGAAAACTCCACTGGGTACCTTTTTAGTGCAGGGACAAAAACCCACATTTTCCAGGCAGGACACAGCTTCGCCCTTTGAGTCATGTTCTCACGAGACATTTGAATTTCAGAGCCCATCAGAGGAACAGCTAAAGCTCATCAAATATGTCTCAAACTGGCCAAAACTTCCCCACAGTTTTTTTGTATTTTCTTTTGTATTTTTTTTTCCTTTTTTGCTATGAACGCATGATGTTGTTAAAGTATTCACTATATTTGGTAGATGATTGGCAGTAGTGATGGATTTTATTGATACCGATCCCATTATTGATTCTGCTTATCAGTCCAAATCTTTATCGATTCCATTAATCAATATTTATCCTAATCAATATTCTGTGTGGGGGAAAAAAAGTAAGTCTACACAGGTTTTCAGCCTAAACAGAGCAGTTTTATTTTCTCTGAGTCTGAGCACAGTGACAGAAACAGAGTAGGAAAAAGGCATAATTATGACTCAAGTTTGTAAAATCTCCACTGTTTAACCTCTTTCGTTTAGATTTTCTCAGTCAAAAAAAAAAATCTGCTAAACCTGCCTGCGTGGCACTAATGGCACTAATCGGGTGTCAAATACATGGCATCCCTGGAATTTGAGACCATGCTGTGTAGAAAAATGTTTCAGGATATAGCTGGTGTTTCCAGCCTTACTTGAAACGACTTGCCACAACGCCTTCTTGTTGCAAGGGTAGACAGATGAGTTTGATGTCGTTGTCTTGCAATATGCAACTGTCAGAAAAGCACACTGGCATCAATAAAAGGAAGAGATTTAGATTTGGATTTTGAATTTGGAACCGGCTCTTAACTGAAACAGGTTCTTGATTCCCATCCCTAATTGACGGTTATAAGTAAAAGCTGAGAGTAAAGACATCCATTTGTCACACCTTTTAACCAATCAACCCTCCTCATTTTTGTCAGACTTCCCGCCCCCTCCTCCTCCTCCTCCACTGGATGATGATTTGCCAGCACCCCCACCTGAATGCCATACCACACCCTCTGCCTCTGACGCCCCCCCTCCCGCCTTCCCTGCTCCACCTCCAGTGGCAGATGACCTGCCCCTCCCAGCTCCCCCTGAAGAGAGTTCCTGTCCCCCCACCTGCCCCTCTCCCCCTCCTCCCCCACCCCCCCCACCTCTCCCTGCATCCGGTACCAGTATCGCCAGTGCTGTTGGGAACCCACAGGTAAGTCACCATGGTATCTAAATTTGCTTTGGCTGTCTGCATGTTTCTTCCTAGCACTGCATGTCACTGCATTTAGCTGTAATTTGGTAACCAGTGAGGACACTGGAGACATAGTCATGGGACTAAAGAGACTCTGTGGAGGATTGGCAGGAACACTCCCATGTATATTAAAGATATATAAAGATATAAAAGAACACGGTTTTGTGAGATTTTCCCACAAATTATATTCGCATTAGTCTGGGGTAAATCGCCCAGTTTCACACCTCTAGCAAGATCATTGCACATTTATGTCACTGAAACAGTTTTTTAGAAATGCAATCATAGGTTTATTGTAAATATGTTTATTGTAGGACTCCATTAATTGCACTTGCAATTGTTTGCCAGGCTACAAATGCATCCGTGTATGGAATTTGATTTTTCTCAGCCAGTTTAAAAAAGTACAGAATTAAAAAGTATCTTGACAGGAACATACCTCATGTTTAAATTGGCAAAGAGCTTTTAAATGCTTCTCAGCAAAAAACCCAATGAATAATTAAACATTCATTCTCTTTCATCCAAGCAGGGAAATAAAATTCAAATGTCATTCATTTATTCATAGTCATCATTAATCACATCATCAAGTTTGTTTGTTTAGTCACTGTTCCAGGTAACTGTGCAAGCACAAACATTTTTTGAACCATTTTGGACATATTTCATTCTGCAATTTGGAAAAGATAAAAAGAATCAAACACTCTGGAGTCTCAATCAAACATAGATGAATAAACATAACATCTTGCTAATATGTATATACAGCCTGTAACAGTTCCCCATCCTCATCCAGCTTTCCATTCTTGACTCATCCATGCGTCTTTGTTTTGTTTTATTAATGTAAATGTACTTTTCATGACTCTTTTCTCCTTTGGCCTTCCTCTGCCAGAGACTGATGGAGAAGCAGACTAGCTTCGATCAACAACTTGACTCTCTGACCGACTTGCTGTCTGAGATGGAGACAAGAGGACCTTTTAACCCTAAGGTACAAAGCACAGAGGGATGGGGAACACTGTATCACAAATGTATGGCATTAGGACACAGTTAGAAAAACCTATGTCCTCTGGAGAACTAAAGAGCACATGAGATGGAAAATGACAGCAGACTTTGACTCACAGGAGGCTTGCTGTAGAGAAAGAGAATGAGTCAGACAGAGGTAGGATGAGTGAAAAGGCAAGGTGGGTCAGTGGAGGTAGTTTGGAGAGATGCCAGGTTGGTTTTATTAGTCGTTCCTCATCAGTTCAGGTTGAAAGCTCAATGATAAGTGAACTGCACACACAGCACACCAGACCAAAAGAGAAAACAAAAAGTGAGGTAGCTGGTGATTCACGCTGAGAGAAGAGACACCTACAGAGAGAGAGAGAAAGGGTGATGCACACAGAACAGAGTGGGGAGCATGCGAGTGTGATGAAGCCAGAGTGTGTTGCCAGAGACCCAGTGAGAGGCCCATAAATGGAGAGTGTTTTTATCCAACTGGGAGGTACTGGATCAGGGCAGAATAATGTTGGCTCCAAACCGCAAAATAAATGTCAGAAAGACGAAGCACTTCTGATAAGCTGAAACTGTGGAGCACTTCCAGTGTTTACTTTAATCAAAGTACCTCATTCAATATAATAAAAGTGAATGCTTGCAGCATTTCAGCACGACATGTTATTCACTAGATATGAACATCCCTCCGTGGAGTTCTAGTTTATGCTAAATGGAAGTTTTATGTAACTGAATAAATGCAACACTTGTCCAGAACAGCCTCACACTTAGCATGTCTTTTTGTGTACTTAGTTTTGAGGTAAATGAATCTGTGAAAAGCTAATTTTACTGTTGCGAATGTTGTTTTATCCTCAGTTACCAAGCCAGTATTCTTCAGCACCAGCACCCAAGCCTTCAGCTCCTCCCCCGACTGCTCCCAAACCAGCCCTCTCCTTCCTCCCACCTCCTGAGATGGGAGACCGCCCACCTCCAGCACCTTGGGCCGAGGAACTCAAAGCCAGAACGAACCGTCAAGCCAATCACAACTCTGCACCAAACTCTGCTGCTCAGCCATTTTCTAAGGCCCCAGCAGTGGCACCCAAGTCTGGTTTTGGAGGAAGAGTGGGAACTTCATCTGCCTCTCTGGCACAAAAACTGAACCAGAATCTGAACCAGACCCCAGCCCCTATCAGTGGAGCACCAAAACCTTCCCCTCCCTCTGCCACCAGCTCTTTCCCTCCACCTCCTTCAGCTCCGCCTGCACCTCCTGCTCCACCAAACAACATGGCTGCTTCCCCAGCGTCTAATCACATAAAGAGTTCTCCCTTTGCCAGTCAAGTGAACACAAACCAAAAGCCTCCAGCTGCTGTGCCTCCTCCTCAACCTAAGATGATGGCATCTCCACCCTCTCAACCAATAAAATCTCCCTCTGCATCAACAGTATGTTCAAACTTTATTTTGGTTACCAAGAGACTATATTTGCATTGCATAAACAATAGAAAGGTCCAGGAAGTACAAATAAATAAAACAACAGATGAGAATTATGCCTTTATGGACATGCACTAATAGTGTTTTTAAGGTAAACTGCTCAATCGTAACTAACAAAATGCTCTATAAGGCATGCTGTATGAAACAATGTAAATAATGTATAGGTCTGTATTAATGGCTTTTTGTGTGTGTGCGTGTGCGCGTGTGTGCGTGTAATCAGCCCTCACCTCCTGGCCCAGTTCTCATCCCAGGTGGAGGCGTTCCTCTGAACATGAGGGAAGTGGAGGAGTTAGAGAGGATGACCAAGGACTTCATTAAAGACATGGACACACACGCACCTGTCATCACCTCCCCTCCTACAGGTACACACATTCATTTCTCACTCCACCACTCATACAGCTATACGTTATATCGTTCATATGGTTAGTAGAGAATTGTTGAGCACATTTCTGTCTCGCACCATGAACCTAAGTACTAATGTAGATTAATGATAGATGTCAGGGCTTCTAATTGCGGTCATTAAGTAACTGCCTGCATGCACAACCCGCACAAGTTTTTGCAAAAAAAATAATCAAGAGTTGGGAGTAATAGCTTAGCTTTTTTGATTGGTGACTGTAATATTCTTGGTGAAATTAATGTAGGGAAAAAAATGGAGTACTGCCAATAACATTTTAATATCCCACACTGGAAATGTTCAATACACAAAAGAGAGAAAGAAATGATTTTCTTGTCAGTTTGCTGACTGGTTGCAAAATGCAAAGCATTATGGACTTTAAGATTTATTCACTATTTATTCTTCATACTCTACAGTTTAAGTGTGATAGGCTTTTATTTATCTCTGCAGTGATGATCTTTCCTCCTTATCCACTGTTTGCTTACAAATGCATCATCTTAACATACATTAAACTACATCTGTTATATGATGTCTGAACAGAACTGATGCTGCAACAAAGAGTTTGTACAACTGGACAAATCCATAACAATCAGTTTATTATCTGTGGAAATTGCTTACTTTAATACAGGGTAATTGTCTTTTAATCAGCACAAGCGGAGCTGAGTAGGAAGATGCATGCATTCGTAAATAATCTTACTCTTTTCAACCTTCTTTCTCTCTGCTTCTCTTTCTTCCCGTTTCAGAGGTTTGTGGGAAGTGTGGCGAGGCTCTGTCCCGTACTCAACCAGCAGTGAGGGCCATGGATAAACTCTTCCACTCCAACTGCTTCTGTTGCATGAGCTGTCAGCGCCCCCTGCAGGGCATGCAGTTTTACGACAGGGATGGTTCACCTCAGTGTGAGGACTGCTACATGGTGAGGACACGAGCAACATGACAATTATTGCACATGCAAAAAACCAAATCATTTTTCGTGTTGCTGTTATCATGAACATAAAACAGTTAGGGGACTTTGACCAAATAATTCTGTTTGTTTTAGTATTTATTGTAGCTACAAACTTTCAGTTTCATTATGTTTGTATACAGCTATTAATGAAAGCAACAATATCTTTTTTCTTGTTACACTTCAGCTTTGAAAATAAACAAAACAGGTTTCAATCTACATAATTCTAAGTAAGCACCAAGTATTCAGTCCATATTTAAAGTGATTAGAAAGTGCTAAACAATGTTCACACAGCTACTATACCAACTCCCAGTGTGCTTCCAGGTTATTACCTTGTTTCATATCTCTATCTCATCTTATGTTCCTTCTTTTCTTCCTCAGAGTTCCCTGGCAGTGTGTTGCCGATGTGGGGAGAGGATCACAGACCGTGTGCTGAAGGCGGTGGGCCAGTGTTTCCATGCCCACTGTTTCCGCTGCAGCACCTGCTCCTGTGTACTTGAGGGGGCGCCGTTCATCACTGATGACAACAACAACCCCTACTGTGTCCAGGATTACCACAGGTGGGTACTGGTTGTTGATTGCTCAGTTATTAGCCTGATGAAATATTACATCTCTATTCATTTCTAATGCAAAGCAATTAGTTCGTTATGCAATGCAATCTGTTTGCCATAGTTTATGGTAATTGAACTGCAATTTTCTTGATTTTCATCTACATAATTTCTCAGCACAAGGAAGCATAAACTGGCCAAGCATGTGTTTCAAGGACAAATCATTTTTATCACTCTTCCCTTTCATTTAACCTATCAGGATTACTGTGGAGGAAAGAGGCAGCAACAGCAGCGCTTCTTCCTCACTTTGTCTGCACTAACAGAAACTTGTTTCTCCATCTCCTGCTGATTAAAAACATTAACACAGCTTGCTAAACTGTGGATGAAATAATTGGGTTTGACAAAGTTGATTAAGGGCCCAGATTAGGCCCAGAATATGTTGAACACATTAGAATATGTTGCTTTAGGTGTTCAGTGACTCTGAAAGTGAATGTGTGAGAATGTGACAGAAGGCCATCAACTAACAGCCACTTTTCCTCCTCTGTATTCCAGGCGTTTCTCCCCTCTGTGTGTGAGCTGTAACGAGCCTATTGTTCCCGCCCCGGGCAGCGAGGAAACAGTCAGAGTGGTGGCTCTCGACAAGAACTTCCACCTCAAGTGTTACCGTTGTGAGGTAAGATGTTTTGTTATACAAAACCTTTAACTAAATGTTCATCACATAGTGTATTAAAAAGACTGTTCATAAATATATCGATTTGTTCTGCAGGACTGCGCTCGCCCTCTCTCCATAGAAGCCGATGAAAATGGCTGCTATCCATTGGATGGTAGGATCCTGTGTATGAAGTGCCACACCCAGCGAGCCAAGCGAGCTGCGCAGTGATTGGCTGAAGCAGCATCGCTCTGTTTAACTATGAACCAAATCCAAAAGCACAGGATTCACTCAGCTACCGTTTTTGCCTTGGGCTTTACTCAGTATATGTGCGCAGGTGTGAATGTGAATGTGCTGAGTGAAAATGTTTGCATGCAGATACAGTGTAGTATTCCCTTGTCTGTGTTCACTTCAGTGCAGAAGTAATGTACTGCATTGAAATAGACTCTCATCATCTTTTATTCCCAATCTCCAAGTCTCTAATCTCCCATCTCGCCTTCTTTGTGAGCTAGAGCGTATTTTTTGTGCCAATTCTATGTTTACTCTAAAATTTCCAGCAGAACTTGCACAAGAACAGTTTGGTCAAAAGAGCAGTCTGATAAATATACAGTTGCCTTTCTTTATCTCTCGCCTAAATATTGTTAGTAGCACCATTTACTGAGATATTTCCATCTTAAGACTTTAACTGGCTGGTCTCTTTCCCTGTGAACATTGTAGCTATGCCGATGTCACTGAGACAGGTTGTTAGCATAGGGTGAGGAGTATCAAGAACCTCCCATTTGACTATTGCACAGATTTCACCACTCTGGTTGGCTGTTGATAGAGCATATCTTTCCACTTTGGCTGTTGCTGTGCCTGCAAGCATGGTTAATGATGCTTCCCTTTGCTTTATATCAGCCAATCTACTCTGATAGCATTTTAAAGTCATCTAGGGCTAAACGTTGACTGCAAAAAAGATAAAAACAGTGAATGTTGCTCTAGGTTTTTTTTTGTGATGTGACTGATCATTTACAGGCATGTATTGAATTATGTCTTGTTGCTTTTCATTATCTGATCATACTGTATAAGGGCAAGATTAGAAAAAAATCTGCCATTTTCTTTTCAAAAATAGTTTAGAGCTGATTGAACAGTGTTAAGTATTTTTAGATGCATGCTTTTTGGATGCAGAAATTATGAACAAACAGATTAGCACAGATTTGCTACGCACAGATTCCATTCCAGGGATCTCATGATTTAAAAACAGTGTAGTTAAACATATCAGCTGCATGGCTGAAAACAGGACCTATTATGTGATTGTTGCACAGTTTCATAGTGAAATAAAATACCCTTTTTAGCGTCACTTTGACTCTAAAGCCCCTGCACATGATACATTTTTAGTACACACCATCTAGAAACATAGTAGTGTAGTTTTTGATATGCATTTTCTTGGAATCCTTTGCTTTAAATAATATAATTTAAGGACTTTTTTTTCTATTATGTATTAAGGTTATATGTGTACCAGTGCTAAAATAACCGGACAGTAGATCAGTAGAGGTGGTAGATTTGAGCTTTAGGTAAGAGATGTTAAAACATAGTGACCAAAACCTTTGCAAGATACTAAAACAATTACACGGGATTCAATGTTTTGACATTAATGTGCGTTTTTTTTTTTAATCACCTTTATTGTGTTTGAGCCCGTTTTGCGTTTTTTGGTCTTGATCTATTCTGTTGATACAGTAAATACCACTATTCTTTCCATTATTCATCTTTTGTACTTCAGTCTGCTCATGGGGGTTATATACTATTATTCTTATGTTACTGTACTGTATTTCATTGATACATGCCTACAATTATTTTTCATTTTTAACCTGGCAATGTGCCTTCTCCACTCTCTTGTATTCCATTGTTCCTTTTGAATTGAGCCTGATTTGCAGCCTCAGAAATGAATTCCTCAATAAGAAAATTGTTGTTACTTGTGCTTGCGTTGAGCCTGGTGCAGTATAACACCAGAATGACTAACAAAACATGGCAATAGTGACTCAGCATTGCATGATAACTGTGTAGGCGGTGGTGGCGGCATTTCCTCTAGTATTATGTCTTTTGTTTGCACCAACTATTCCACCTTCATGGCCCTGCCGTTATCATCACCATGTGATATTATACATGCGATGATGCCTTCACAGTTGCATATATCTGGCGTTTTGTTGTTATGTTATGTCCCATTGTATTACATGCAGATGCCTTGTCTTTTCATATAACTTTTTTATAAATTCCTGTTTGATATGTGTGAATGTGTATATGTTTAAAAACATTATTTAGCCCCACCCCTCACTCCTCTGGCTGTATTAAAAGATAAACAACTAAATAAATAAAATGCTAAATACCACAAGTTTTTCTCATCTTTAAGCAGCACAATTATAAAGTTATGAACTCACACGATACATGAAATATATCAGTATTGAAATAGTGTATTAAAGAGTTTGTCGTGCTTATTTGTGCCACCATATTCTCTCTTTGGCTGGCTTCCATGTGACATCCATTAAACGTGTTAATGATGTGCTACGCTGTTACATGACCTCCAGGACGCCAAACCGCTCTATCAGTTGTTGCCAGCCATGTGTTGCACTGATAATGACGACATTGGACATGTCTGCATGTACGTCTAAGTGTGTTTACTTTCCAGGAAGAAGTGCTTGCCCTCATTCAATGCAATGCAACAATGTGTAACCAAAATCAATGTGTCGGCCTTGACTTACCAGTCCTAGCCTTTTGTTCTCCAGCCTTTGACCCTGCAGACGGGTGGAAAAGTGAAAGTACAAGCTGGAATCTTCATGTTGAGTTTCCTGTGAGTTCACAAACTACAAAACATCCCCATGAATGTCCCTGAGTGAAACCATAGTCTTTACTTGATTATCTGGGTTTGAGAGAGCGGAGTAAGACGTAGCTTAGAGTTGTTTTTATCAGTGTCAGATGAGAAGAGAAGTGAGTGATGTAAAGAGATAGAGAGCTGAGATGACAGCTGTTTGGAGGGGCAGCAGGAGGAGGTGCACACGAGAAACATCAAACGTAAAAGACAGAGGATGCAACAAGCTGGAGAAACACAAAGCAAGACATCCATATACTAAGAATGAGTGAAACGCCAACAGAGCTTGAGGTAAGAACTTCACCAAAACAAAAAGTCTGCCATGTTGTTATGAGGCTGTGTTTACCGTGTTCACATGGTAACGAGACTGATGTGAGTTTTAGTTGCTGGAAACTGGATCAGAGCCATTCATGTTGCTGGGAAATTATATTATTCAAGTTCTGTGGTTTTGAAGTCCCTGAGTGAGGTCAGCAGTGTGCTCACACTGTGCTGAATATAATGTTGGAGGCCAAAAGGCAATTTGATATTGTTTCAATCAGCATTTTCCAGTAACTTTGGCAAATGTTAGAGTTAAGACGACGAAAACACACTGTAGACATGCTGCTGATATTAACATGCATCATGATTCTACTGTACTGTAAAGTAATATTTGAATATGTCAGTGGGGATGTTTAAGTTAAATGAAATACATTAATTCGTAACTTTGTAATGAGTTTATTATCATGTGGCAGCTCTTGATAACATTTGTTGATATCATATCAGTTGTTGGTTGTTTGTCTGATCAGAGTGGGCTCTTACAAGCCAGCAGTGAAATGTTGAAAATGGTGAGAAGAGAAATTCTCTGAATGTCTCTTTGTAGAAATATTTGCCTCTAAGTGTTGTGCAGAGCAGCGGGAGCTATTTCATCTGTGGTAAGGATTAAGAAGGGATGTGTTTATGGTAGAGGCAGATAGAGAAGTGGCTTCTGGAGTGTTTGAAATCACTGTTAAGTCTTCTGGAGTTGTTGTGTCCGCTGGTAGACGAAAGATCAGGGACGGGACAAGACCAGAGCGCTCGTTCACGTGGTCACTTTTTTTTCTTTTTACATATTTAGCACGTTTTGTGGCCCATCAATCGTGATGTTTGTGTGATGGTCCTGTAGATTTATGATGACATATGATCACATAGCCTGTTGTTTAATATGTGTGTATATGATAGTCATTATTTGTGAGGAAATAGTTACATCACAGACCCCCCCTACCTGAGGATCTGGTCCCTATAAAAAGAAGAAGGAAGAAAAACTTAATTTTTCTGGCTTTTTTCAAATATTTTCTTGAAATACTGGAAATGATTTTTAAAAGGAAACACCCTGAGAAGAGAAGTTTGCTCGCAGCTGCTCCTGTGACGAGGGGTCATTATTGAACATGGCTTATCTAAGGGGCTGTAACTAAATATTATTTTTATTTATCATAATATATTCAATTTACTATCATAGAGGACTAAGGAAACCAGAAGATATTCATATTTAGGAAACCAGATAATTATGACATATTTTCTTTAAAAAATAACAGTTAATCAATTATCAAAATAGTTAAAGACTATTTTTCTGTAGATCAACTAATGAATGCAGCTCTACAATAAAGGTTGAAAACAATAGGCTATATCACTCTTTGTAACATCTGCACTGGGGGTGAGTGAAGGCTCATTCTGGATTGTCAATAACAAATCATCTGTATTTCTACTGTTTGTAAACATTTTTGAGCAACTACATTAAAAAAAAACTATATTTCCAAAAATGTCATGGTACTTCAGTATATCCAGTTATTTTCTGTTTTAAATTGCTCACTTCCACCCTCAGCTATCAATCCAGCCATCGTCACAGCCAGGCCTTGAGAGGGGGCTTCAGTCTCCACTTGTGTTTCAGCTGCCACTCCCCACCCAAGATCCCTCTGAGACCCATCAACAAACCCAGTCCCAGCCTGAGGTACAGCTGTCGGAGTCTAACCCCGAGCACCGGCACCAAGCAAAGCCACTGTGGATAAAACATCGAAGGCTGCTCCTCCTCTTTGGGGGGTTCTCCTTATGTGCTGCCTTTCTGGGACTAATTTACTATAAGCACCAGAATCTTCAGAGTAGGAGCAATAACCAGACAGGCGCTGGTAGGCCTGAAACACAATGACTCAGCAAAATTACACAATAAATTCAGAACTTTCATTTCGTCTAACTTTTCTCTCACTCTTTCCTGTAGCGACTCCGTGTCTTTCCCCAGCCTGTCAGAGGGCCTCGGCCCATCTCTCCACATCTGCCGATCCCTTCAAGGAGCCCTGTGACTACTTCTTGTTCACATGTGGATCTGACAGACTCTCACCAGACAGCGGGGGCAGACAAAGAGGACAGGGCATCCCGGGACATCCGCAGAACTACAATGGGAAGTCTGTGTGGTCAGAGAGGAGAGGACACAGTAAAGAGAGAGAAGACAGAGGAGTGAGACAGGAAAAAATATTAGACAGGAAAACTGTATTGCTGCAGTACCTCAGGGAGATTTTGGGTAGGAGTTTGGACTGTACTGGTTCATCCAATCACTTTGGTGTATAAGTGAGCTTGTGACATCACTGCGCGGTCTGAATTGTGTGTTTCGCTTTGTATCTCTCTGTCAGAGTCGAACAACAGAGGCGGCAGTTCAGCAGTGCAGAAGGCCAAAGGATTCTACAACTCCTGTTTGGACACAAGAGCCATAGAAACAGCTGGAGTGGAGCCCTTCCTCACACTCATCCAGAAAGTATGATACTCATCTACCCTTTGTAAGCAGGCCCCAGGCTGACAGTCCTCTAAAAGGCGGTGCTATAGTTACAAGTAGTAATTTGTCACAACAACTCAGCTGAGGTAATGTAAAAAAAAAGAAGCTCATTTAGTGGCGGTTCCCTCTTTGCTCTTCTTGTTGCACATAAAATGAACTAGAGCTGAAATGAGAAGTTGATTAATTGTTTAACTGATAGACAGAAAGTGACTCGTCAGCCGTTTTGATCATCGAAAAGTTATTTTTTCAAACAAACAAATATTATATATATATATATTCAAATATTTGATACTTTTCAAATGTGAGAGTTTGCTGTTTTCCCTTGTTTTGCACGTCAGTTTGCTGAATATTTTTGGACTAAGGCCGAGACACGGCTGTCACCTCTGGGAAACTGTGATAGGCACTGGGCATATTTGCAGCTGATTGTCTCAGATGGCAGATGCATTATTTGTGAGAGACACATGTTCGTGAGTTGTTTTGTTTATTTATATGTTTGTGGCCCGCTCTTGATTCTGATAATCCCTCTGTTTTTAATCTCTCTCTCTCTCTCTCTCTTCTTCTCTCTCTCTCTCTTCTCTCTCTCTCTCTCTCTCTCTCTCTGTGTGCAGCTGGGAGGTTGGGCTGCATCAGGCCAATGGAATAAGACTGATTTCAACTCCACCCTGAGCCTGTTGATGAGAGACTATGCCACCTTTCCCTTCTTCAACCTCTATGTGGGCAAAGACCCAAATGAAATTGCCCGTGGTTCAACCAAAAGATACATACAGGCCAGTTTCCGTTAGGATAAACCTTAACATGCCTAAAATGCTGGTGGGGACACTGCCATAGCAAAGCAGGGTTTGTGCTACTACTTAACTCAAGTCTCCTTTTTGTCCACAGATTGATCAGCCAGATCTATTGATCCCGATTGAGTGGAACACCAAGACACAGAAGTCTCAAGCTAAAGCTCAGGTTGATGGCCACTGTCGACAACAGAAATACCTTTTAATCAATACAATATTCTTCCATCCCACTAATGCATCCCTGAATCATTCTCCTGTCTCTTCTCGTCCAGACACTACGTCGTTTCTTGGCAACATGTGAGACATACCTGGCCCTGTTGGGGGCCCCGCCCAGCAGCAGCATGCTCCATGTGGGCATGTTCATGTCTCTGTCCTCTGAGCTCGCTGTAGCTACTTCACCGCTGCAATATCGCCTGTCGAAAGGACAGCTCTATCAGCGCATGACCATCAAAGAGCTCCAGGTGCCGGAGGAGGACGAGTCTGTGTCGCTATACGTACATGCTCGCTGTGTCTGAATTCACTGTAGTAATAGATTTTCTTCATGTCAAATGCACCAACAGATCCAGGCCCCTGCCATTGATTGGTTGGGTTGTCTGCAGGCCGCTTTCCATCCACTGATCCTAATGGAGGACGATCCTGTCCTTGTGCATAACTTGCCCTACATGGTGCAAATGACCCCCATCATTGGGAAATGGCTGAACAAGCATGAGCTGAGCAGCAGGTACTGTAAGTGACGTGGAAAAACACACAATCAAACATGTAAAAACCTTTTTCCCCCTTTTTTTTTCTTTTCTGACGCTTTCCTGCCTCATTTGACTCCACTCAGCGGCCCCCTTCAAACTTATATGGTCCTGAATCTGCTGCACACCCTGATGCCGGCCCTGGACTCCAGATTTTCTGAAGCAGCAAAGAATTTATCTGTGACTCTGGGTAACACTGAAGAGGTGAGGCCACACATTGAACCATAACATTTTACTAACATTTTTTTTTTGGGCCTGTGAATTGATTGGTTTGAGTCACGTCTTCTCTGTGGGACTCTTCAGCAGGTGGTTCCTCGCTGGAGACACTGTGTGTTGGAGACCGAGAGAGGATTCGATTCAGTTCTTACACACCTTCTGCGTGAAAGGACGGCACGCCGAGAGGTGAGGAGGGATTGTGGGGATTCGGGACAACATGAGGTCGGCAGTGATTAAGGTTATGAAGCTGTTGTGCGGTGTATTAAAGGTTTTTATTGTTCAACAGGCAGAGGAGGTGATTCAAAATATCTTTTCCTCCTTCAAGTCCAAATTACATGAACTCAAATGGACAGACAAGACGTCTCCCCAGTCTGTTATGAAAAAGGTAACATACGAAGCAAGAATTGATACTGCACTTTTCTTTTTTAACAGTATTCTGTAATGATTTTGATATCGATCGTCTGTCATCTTCCAGGTTCATTCTTTAAATCCAAGACTCTGGACTTCAAATGAGATCTCTAGTGAAGCTGAGCTTGATCTGCTTTTTTCTAAGGTACATTACTCACTTCCAACGGATCCATCAGATAAGGTGTATGAAGATGTTGACTTCTTTATTTGACGCGCTCCCTAGTTATACCCACCTAAACTCCCTTAACTATTTGTCTAATAAATTGCTACTGCTAAATGCAGTGCAGCTGAAAACAAAGAACACCACTGACTCCACAGCCTGTGTGTTTTCAGGTGTCAGTGAACACACACAGCTTCTTCTCCAACTATGTCCAGCTACTGTCCTTGTGGCAAAAGAGGCGCAGAAAACTCCTGACTGAGCAGACCGAGAGGGTCGATGTGTGAGTGCCGGCTCTGTTCTTAAAAATGAGAATATGACTGTTTTAAGAATGTATTTAATCTTTTCTCATTTTCTTTTAGTCTGTCTGTCACACCGCTTCTCCTGGGTAATGAGCTCCTCTTTCCCGTGGGAATGTTTGTCCCTCCTCTCTTCCATCCAACTTATCCCAGGTAAAGAGCACTGTTTTAACTTCATGGTTTTTATGCCTCCGCGTCGGTGGCATTATGTTTTCTGGTTGTCCGTCTGTCCCAGTCTTGAGAACACAATGTCGTAGTAACACCCCGTGGGGATTTCTTCAAATTTGGTACAAACTGGTACAAGCTCAAAGGTGATCTACTTAGATTTTGTTGGTGACTGTGACCACAGAAAACACAACTTTGGCCGTAACTCAAGAATTTACAAGCAAATTAACTCTGGACTGGTCGTCAGAGGCATACAACCGCGAGGCTGTAATTCTAGTTTATATTATTATAATGACTGAACATTATGGTACGCTCTTCGGTTTCTTTTTTTAACAGGGCAATGAATTATGGTGTGATGGGTTTCCTTCTCGCCAAAGATATCCTCCACTTGCTTCTGCCTGACAGTAAGAGATGCTCACATTTGTTGTGTTTGTTGTTGTGATTACATATATAATAAATTACCATAAAAATATGTGGTTTTTCAGACATAAAAACTGCATTCTCTACGCTCCAGTGAGATTGTTTACTGCAATATCATGTCCATGTCTCTGTTGTGTTGTAGTTTACTCTCAGAGTGAGACAGTGCGTGCTGTGGGGGAATGTGTGTGGGCTCACTATCTCACTGTGGCAGAAAGAACAAGCAGAGGTGGAGCATTTTCTCTCTCAGCAGCACAGCAGCAGGAGGTGTGGGTGCAGTATTCTGCACTGCAGATAGCATTGCAGGTGAGGAGCTATCTTCAGGCTTTAGTCTCTGTGTCTGTGTGACAGCAACATTAAACTCACACATCCACATTTCATCCTCCCTCGTTCCTCAGGCTTATCGTCAGAGTCTAAAGAGCCATCCGGAGGACACCTCCATCTCAGGATTGTCACACACCCGCCTGTTTCTCTCATCTTTTTCTCAGGTAAAATACTTTAATCATTTTCTTTAAGTTCTGATCTCTTTTCCTCTCAGCTAGGCATCTCATGGTCTTAATGTATTCTTTTCCAGGTTAACTGTGACTTTGACCCCTACCATGGATTCATGCCATTGGAGCCCTCCTTTTTGATTACAGTCATTTGCGCCAAATCTCACCTGTGTCCTTCACGCCTACAGTGTCCCAGTAAAACCCAGCAACAAACATTACAAACATGCTGAAGAGACTCCTCTGAAGACTGGCTGCACTTTTTCTTTTTATTACTGAATATTACTCTGACAAGATACTCACATCCATGTGGTGCTGTAACCAAGCACGCTGTGGATGTTGGCAAACTGTTGTTACAAAGAAAGTTAATATAGAATACCAACAGTATGTACAACCCAAGAAACACTGATGTTTGTTTTTTGTATTAGCCTTAATTGTTTATAAGATGTGTTTGCATGTTCCATTAATTGCACAAGCTGTTTAGTAATTATTGAAATAAAAAAAGAGACATTTGGAAAAAAAAGCACCCAGAGCCTTCACTACCAATGCAAGCATTTAACAATACTCCATGAAAGTCCTGCATTCAGGGAGGGATTTGGCTTTTTTGCAAGAAAAATGACTTAAATGATTATCATAATAAATTCTCAATTCATTTCTGTCAATTGTTTCAGCTCTACTTGTATGTTTACACTGTTGGACAGTTTAATTTAAAACAAAACAAAATGATTTATAAAGTGACTAGTAACCAAAGCTGTCAAATCAGTGAAAAAAATACAATATTGATGAAAATAGAAGAGTAGAAATACAAAGTAGCGATGTAAATGTACTTAGTTACTTTCCACCACTGAGTTCCAGCAGTTCCACAGCAACTTAAGAACTGTTATTTTTCAAAATCAAATCACTAAATTGCTGTTTGAAAATCAGGCCATATCATGTGCCTGTCAGACTCTCCAACAATCAGCTGGAGAGTTCTCAGATTTCAGATTTCTTTTTGAAATATGAAACAGCCCAACAGGAAACATGCGGAGTAAAGCCACAGCCAAAAAAGCCTCAGAGAGGATTGCTCAGGGAAATGTTAATATCAACATTAAAGCAAGAGAAAATACACCTTTGAGGCTGATTAAACAAGTGGGCAGAACTACTAAACCTCCGACTGGGAAAGGCCTCGGAAAAGCAGGAGCCAAACGTTTGGGCCGGCTGTTGAAACGGGCCATCCAGGACCAGGAGGAGCCGGCGGAGAAGGGACAAGTGTCTGTGCCAAGTGAGTAACAGCTAAATACAGCTATTCTAGCTAATGGTAGCTAGCTTATAGCTTTTAGTTTGATACACTGATTTGACACTTTTTAATTAAGACATGTGTAAGTTGTATTTAACTCTGTGACACTTGATGTAAATTTTTATTTCCTAACATGAAGGTCACAGCTGGTTTAACCTCCCAGGGAAAGGTTTATTGCTGGGACCCTTATTGACCCCCACTGAGCATAGTTTCATTATTTCCCCAGGTACCCAGAAACCAGCCAGTGCTCTACAGCAGACATTACTGAGTGGATTATTCTTAATTCACAGAAAACTAATTGGCAACAATTTTGATAAAGGATTCATCATTTAAATAATTTTTTTATGACAGTAAACCCCACATCTTTGCAGTTTTTAACTGATGCTCAGGGCGAATTGAGTATGTTCACATGGGCTTCAGGGAAAAATGATGAGGATTTTAAAAATATTTTGTAACATTTAATAGACTGGACAATTGCAGTTTACAGGGTGAAAGGTCAAATTCAAATATTATGAGTGGAAAAAAAAAACTTTCTGGAATCAACTTAGAAAATACTCACAATGTAGAGATTTTATTTGTAGAATGTAGATTCAACCTCAGCCTCCCCAATATTAGCTCTAACTGACAGATTATGACTAAATATATATTAGACTGTAGTTTACATTTATCCCATCACAGAAGCCATGATTTGAATAAGGACCTTGGAGATACAAATCGAGTATTCTCTCTATTATCCGCTATTTAATTTAGTTTATTCATTGTTTTAAAATGTCACACAACCTTCTCTCATCTTTATTAATTCTTCAGAGACTCCCGTTCGGCTTTTCAAGTATCAGATTCAAACTGAGGCTGACAATGCATCCAAGAGAAACACCGCACAGACAAAGCCGGCCTCACATCAGGTTTCCCAGCTCATCCTCAGCGTGGTTTCCCACTGCAAACACCGAGGTGGCATCTCTATGGCGGAGCTCAAGCAGACGCTGGCTGCTGGAGGCTACGATGTCACCAAGAACAACAGGCGGGTGAACGTGGTGACCAAAAGGCTGGTTAATAATGTCACACTCGTCCAAACTACGAGAAATGCATCGTTAAGGCTGAACACTAAGGTAAAGAGCATTCGCCTGTTTAATTTGGTAACTTGTGAATACATTGGTATTGGTTAAAAGGGAAATACAACACTGAATGGCATGCAGTAGGACAGATAATTGCTGCTGCTGCTCTGTACATGTTATACATATGGTACGTTGGGATGTGGCCAATACCTTCTGAGAACAGCAGCAGATTTTTCCCCTCTTGTCATTCAGTGTTGACCTGACTTCAAAATTTCAATGTTAGACAACAGGTTTGTCCTGTCAACAGTAAATTATTTGAAATTTTCAATACTTTGTTTTCTACAAAAATCAGAAAAAGACGGACACAACACGAGTGAGGACGAGCCCGGTGAAATCCCCAAAACCAAAAGGAGATCTGAGGCAGAGCAAAGCAGTCAGCAAATCTCCCAAAGGAGCAGAAAAGTCACATAAACAAGCCATAAAGACTCCTAAACCAAGAGGCAAACCACACAAACCAAAAGGCAAGACGAGCAGACGAGCGGCCAAATCGCATAAACCAAGAGGCAACACTCGCAAACCAGCAGGCAAATCACGGAAACTAAAAGGCAAGACTCACAAACGAGCAAGCAGATCGCACAAACCGAGAAGGAAGACGCCGAAAGCAAGAAAAAAGTCGCAAAAGCCAGCAGGGAAGAAACGCAGACCTTCATCAAACCAACCTTCACGGGTTCGAAAGCCAGCGAGGAAGGCTCAAAGGACTCGGAGACGACAACCAAAGAGAAACCAACATCCGTATAAAGTTGCCCAGAAAAGACAACCATCAAGACGGAGACTTCCTAAAACAAGAGCACGATTAAAAACACGGCAGCGTCAGATTGCCAGGAGAAGGGCTTACTATTATTAGAGAGCACAATTTGAAGCGAGGATTAATAAACTGAAACCTTTTAAGCAAACTGAAATTGTACATTTTCTTTTTATGCGACAGCTGGTCTGAAAATGTGTCTTCTAATACACTATAACGAACACTTAGGTTAGGTATGAAGATCCAAGCACTCCCTGTAAGGGTTTTTCTCCAGTGTGCTATACTGACACCTCCCTCTGAACTATAGCCATATGTAGTCTATAGTCCATATGAAACCAAGCCACACATTATTTAATTGTACATTTTAATGGAACTGTATTGAGATCCATAGCTCCAGGAATTGGTTACTACAATGAATAATTGTACAAAACATGGAAAAGGAAGATTGGGTACAAAAATGAATGAGTATTCCACATGGCGGCCAAACAGCATCATCCTTGTAGTCCACATGGCCTCACTAGTGAAACAGACATTTGGTGCCATGTTTTCAGCATATCCATTCTTAGTCCACTGAAAAAATGTCTGTGTAGTCTCCTGTCTCCTCAGTAGTCCACCACCTGTTTGTCACAGGACCCCCCACACTTCCTCAAAGGCAGAGCACATCTTGGCACAGGTCAGTGCTGCAGAGAGCGGGTAGTTACTGATTGACACGGTCTTCTCCGTGTAGTCCACATTCACCTAATAGAGACAGAGAGATCAGTAACACAGATATTTTAAGATTAAAGCAGTGGATCAGCCACCGTGTAGAGCCATTCCTCACCGCTCCATGTGCAAATGCTCCGATCACCACAGCAGCTGGTCCCTCTGGCACCACAGACCGGGGGCAGACGGCCTCTCCTGAAGAGAAGGAGGTGGCGATGCGAGGGCAGCCAGGAGGCAGATGGTCGGACACTGGGTTTTTAATCATCCTCAGAAGCTTCTGTGGACCATCAGCGGCTCTGACACTCAGCTTGTGCAGCAGTTGAACTAAGATGGAAGAGGACAAAAGAGGAAGATTAGGAACAGCTGAGGAAGGAAGGCAGATGCGAAACAATGACACAGGTGTAAGACTCACTGTTTTGTACTTTGCTTGCACAACAATTAAAAAACACACAACTGAGGTGGTAGTTTACCCATGAGGCCACAGAAGCGGGTGAAGGTTCTTGGGATGCGGGTCTGCGGGTTGATCTCTATCAAAGCGTTTTTCTCTGTGTGGATGTAAACCTGCAGCAGGCCTGCCCTGTTCAGCGGACTGTCCATCAGCATGAGCAGACACTGGGGAAAGGAAATAAGATATTTAAGAAGTAAGTTTTGTTTGTGATGAACAAAATTCCATCTTTCAGGACTTCTGTCTGTGTTGTCACGTCTACCTACATCTCCTTAATCCATAATGCACTACAGTGAACGTACAGCAACACAAAACACATGTTAACTAAACAAGGCACAACACACTGACCTGCAGACATAAATAGAAATATAATAGCAGTTATACCTAAATGTTTTTGAAGTACATTACATATATAAGTGATTACCTGATGTGTGATATCTGGTCTTATGTGTCCTGGATCTCTTCCACTTTTGACGATCATATTTTTGTGCTGGTCACAGTTTAACAGCTCAAATGTTTTCCCGACCTGGAAGAAACCAAACATATTTGGACTGTCTATTACCGACTTGTTGTAAAAAAAATAATAATTTAAAGGTATGGTTACTGATGTCACTTCCTCATGTAGCAGGCATCACAACAACACACTAACACACCCCTGGCGCCTTACCTTCACCGTTTCTAACGATGCTCCCTCCAGAATAACAACCAGTCTCCGCTCTGCCATACGGTCGTGCAGGCTGCGGAGGTGTTTGGCTGGTTTAGGTTCATATTCGTCCAAATGTTCAAGACCACGCTTCTTCTCATTAGGTGCCGCCATGATGCCTCCTGTAGGACTGTCGCAGACGGTCTGCGTCATGGCAGACGTGCGCGTTCACGAGTCAGTGTCTATATTAACTGAGGTACGTGCATAGATCATAGACTATATAGCTATGAATATTATTTACATATAAAAAAAACAAAACATACACCCCGCCAATGTTTTAGTTTCTCTTTTTCTCTTAACTTTGTGAACAAATTCTATGTCGATATTTTAGTTGTCAGTATCAACACAACTTTAAACTTTCTGTTAAATAGGCCATAATATATTTTGAGTGTAAAGACCTCAAGATTGATTGTTTTTTTATATAGTAAATGTAATGATTATTCTGGGACGTTTTTTATTCATAAATGTAGTTTTTAATGACCACTACTGCTTACTTTGTGTTTTGTGTGTTAATGTAGATAACTACATTAAAAACTGCAATTTTTTTTTTTTTTAAAACTCTCTTCAATTGCATATGCGTGTGCACGTGTCTGTGTCGCTACCACCGTTACGTCATCCATGTGCGCCGGATGATTGTCCACAACGTGTTGAAGGAAGATTCACGTGTGAAATTTTTTGGTCTTCCACCGTACAGCCAGACGTTGGAACAAAAAGTGACAGATTAATCGGTGAGTATGTGAAGTTTGATGCAGAGATTCACTCAGAGGGAAAAGACTCGGTCAGTCAGTGTTAACAATGGAGCTTTTAGCTTTTACTTACAAACACTGCATGTGGAGTTGGGTCAACTATTAGTCGGTGTGCAAATGGTCTTTATTTTGTTACGTTACTCCGTCACTGCCAAAGTTCATTAACAGCCGTGTTATAATTCAACATTTGGGTGATTGTGTCTCTAGCAATGAATAGCCACAAACTACTGGGGAATATAAGTAACGAGTATGATGACCTCAGGAATGTTAATGAATGTTTTTGTATAGAAAACATTAAATACACGCGGGGTATAACATGGTGAATATGTCTTAAAGTTGAAGCTGTGGCAACGAGTTGACTTGAGTTCAGCACAGATTTTTCCCCTTCTTAATCTGCTTTACATTTTCATTTTTGACATTTCTGCTGTGTGCCTCGTAATTTTGAACCAAAGAATTCGATCTAAGTATCAAGATCCCCTCACATCCTAATGGGGCTCTAAACTAAAAAGTGCCAGTGCATCATCATAAGTCTCATATACAGTCTGTTGGGGTTGTGCTATGTGTGGCTAATAAAAGGGATTAAGATGTAGGCCATTTCCAATCGAACAAATCACAAACATTTTTTAATTTACCCATATACCCATAACATATGTCTTATTCACATTGACAAATGTTTCCATAAATTCCCTGAGATTTAACTAAAGTATTCTTCAAAATATATAATGCTTTAAAACTTAGTGAGATAGTTAAACACCACCTAATCATATTTTTGTGGTGACTGGTCAGGTTTCTCTATATTAATGGCCAATGTGCCCCAGGGATAGTTTGCAATTCTTTTAGATTTAGCTCAACATGCTGCAACTTTAAAGGTATGCAAGTGTATCTTAAATCATGCACATCTTGTGGTTCACTCAGTCCTCCCTGATATGATGTTCTGCAGTTGTTTTTTTCCCATGCAAATGAGTCCCATCACAACAGAACGTGGTCTAAATGACCTCTGCTATTACACACTGACATTATTGTTATTTTGAATAGACGATGAACAGGGACTTGCCTTCTTTTGCTTTTCAGGGTATCTGTGTAGTTCGGAGTCATGGGTCGGAAGTTGGATCCCACCAACAAGGTGAAGAGAGGGCCAGGGAAAAAATCCAGGAAACAACAGGGAGCAGAGACCGAGTTGGCCAAGTTTATAACTGATGGTGACTATGGTGTCCTTTCTGTCAGCTCTCCTAACAAACATGTATTCACTGTGTAAATATGGACCAAACATTATCTAGGCTTGTTCATCAAGATGTTCTATTTTTTACTCCTTTGCAGAGGAAACTGGACCAAAACGTCTGTCAAGTAGAGGCAGGAAAAGGTGGGAGGTTGACTGATCACATAACATGAAATAACATTACTGTGTTTACAAGCTACTCATTCATATTGTCATTTTTTTCAGAGCTGCAAAGAGAGTCCAGAATTTGAAAAAGCCAAAAGATGTAGCAGAGGAACAGCCCAAGAAAGGTAACCACATCATTTTTTCTGTCCATTCTAAAGATTGGCATCTTTACACGCAGGACATTCTGTGAATGTTAATTACAAACCAAACAATATTTGGTTTGTAATTAAGTGATGTCCCAGATAATAAACATACAACAAATGATGATGATGCAATAGGACATTTCATTTGGCCAGGATGAAATAGGAGTGCAAATATGATATAGACAAAAACATATTAAGGCTTCATATTTACTGTGATGGATTATCCAGCTCCAGAAATTTGACATCTATGAATTGTGGTTCAAAAAAACATTGTAACTCATGATGTTGGTGAGATTTCTTTTTCTAAGGAACAAGAAATGATAAAAACAAACAAAAAATAGATGAGAATAGACATTTAATGCAAGTCCTTTTGTTCCTCTCTTTTCCTCTAAAGGATTCACTGATGAGAACAGTAAATGGTTGAAACCAGCAAAGAGGAAGCGCAAAATGAATGAACCTGAAAGTGAGGATGACAGTGAAGAGCACTGGGAGGAAGAGGAGGACGAGGAGGAGGAACAGGAGCTGCTGCTGCAGCAGCAGCAGAAGAAAGGAGGAAAAGACCAAGGAAAAAAGGGTGCAAAATCAGGAGTGGAAGAGGAGGAGGAGGAGGAGGAGGAGGAGGATGATGATGACGATGGTGATGATGACAATGATGATGATGATGATGATGAAGAAATGGTTGATGACTACGGCACACTTGATGACGGCAGTGCAGATGAAGCAGCAGAAGAAGAAAGTGATGGAGAGGAAGTATGTGAAACCACCACTTTAAATTTGGCAAGAATTATGATACAATCTTGCAGATACAATCCAGACTCCAGATTTCCTCCCACTGCTACTTGGTGCTACAACAAAATCAACCAATCTTACAAAACTTAAGGGTTGTTAATGTTGTCAAATGTAATTGTTATGATTTAGTGATTACTATTCCTGGTTTTTATTTCACATTTTTAGCTCCTTCCTATTGAGCGAGCAGCAAAGAAAGAGAAAAAGCTGAAAGAAACCATGGCTCTAGGGAGTGATGACGATGATGAGGAGGAAGACGACGAAGGTGATGATGATGATGATGAAGAGAAATCAGATGCTGACATGGATGAAGAAGACACAGTACAAACCAACATAGATGAAATGGACAAATTTAGGCTACCTGGGGCAGAGGACACTGAGAAGGAAGGTGAGTGATTTAAAGTTATCTCCTCTTTTTTTTTAAAGCAGCACAAGCCGCAGCAGATTTACACTAACTGTTCTGCAAACAATCAAAGCTTTTTTTTTTTCTCATCTGTGTTTTCAAGGTGTCTTGCCTCTAGACCTGAAGACAATTCATCAGAGAATAAAGGACAACATTGATGTCCTTTGTAATTTCTCAACAAAAAGGGAGGAGGGCAAAGAGAGAGCAGAGTACATCTCGCTCCTGAAGAAAGATCTCTGCACCTACTACAGCTACAACAACTTCCTCATTGAGAAATTAATAGACCTCTTCCCTCTCTCAGAGGTGTGTGTTCTCCTGTGGTGCTAAAGAAAGCATGTGCTCGGAAATTTTTCTTTGGAAGTTCTCCTCACGATAGCAACTGAATGACGTACAGAGTTACACAAATTTAAACGTGTGGCTGTCGTCAAGACCCAGTTGACATTGTGGATTGATTTAAAATGACTAGAACATTTATTCGCTTCATTTGTCTTTATTTTCTTCTTGACAGCTGGTTGATTTCCTTGAGGCCAATGAAATTCAGAGACCTGTCACTATTCGGACCAACACACTTAAAACGAGGAGGCGGGACCTTGCACAGGTAACTGCTCGGGTTGGGATTGGTTGATTGATTTGATTGGTTGATATGGATTGAATTGCCAATTCCAATATTTTCACAAAATGCATAATATGTTTCACGCTCGTTTGGGTTTTTGTCGGTCAAATCACTAAAAAGCTCAGATGAAATGATAATAGCATTGTGTTTTACAGGATGTAAGGAAATTGTTTGTCCAAGGAAATGACATCGAAGTATTGCTTTAATAAACGCAGTCACAAGAAAAATTATACTCCGTGTAGCATTTTTAGAAAAATAGAAGTGGGGGCATTTGGCTCAAACATATGAAGACCTATCATACATCTGGTTTGATTTGAACTTGGAATGTAAATTAAATCAATGGAAGTTGTTTTGTTTTTTTTGGCTTTAGTTTTGATCATTTCATTAATGTAGAAAGACCAATGAACTCCAGGAGAAACTGCTTATCAAGTGACTTGACTACTGTTGCCAAATACTGTCAAATGCTGCCTTCAAGTGCTCCCATGTGTAACGTGTTGGTCTATGTTTTCCTTGTTCAGGCCCTCATCAACAGAGGAGTGAACCTTGATCCACTGGGGAAATGGTCTAAAGTGGGTTTGGTGATCTATGACTCCTCAGTACCTGTAGGTAAGTTTCAGTACATAAATGTCAAGGATCTGACTTGTGTCATGAAGGATCTTTATTGGAAAATATCGCAGACCGACTGTGGCCTCACCAGCTTTAACTGTTATTTTACAACAGGTGCAACTCCAGAGTACCTGGCTGGTCATTACATGCTGCAAGGAGCCTCCAGTTTTCTGCCCGTCATGGCGCTTTCTCCACAGGAGGGAGAGTTAGTGTTGGATATGAGCTCTGCTCCAGGAGGCAAGACCTCCTATATTGGTAAGATGTGCTGCAGTTATACATTGTGTAGTTGACGATTACAGTAATTTTATGAGGTGTTTGAAACTGTGTTAATGTCAACTAGGGCTGGTTATTTTCATCAATGATTAGTTTGCTGATCATTTTCTAAATTGGATTCATTGTTTTGTGCCTTATACAATTTACCAGAGCCTAACATGACACATTTATGTGCTTTGTTTTATCCAGTTAACAGTTCAAAACCCAAAAAAGAAGCATTACCTTACTTTTGAAAAGCTGGAACCAGTGGATTTTTGCTTGAAAAATTATTGAAATCATTAATTGAATATCAAAATAGTTTGCAAATAAGCTTTGCATGGATCGATTAATTGATAAATTGACAGATCCTTTCAGCTGTAATGTAGACCAGTATAAATGAAGGCAAATACAAACTTTTCTCACGTGCAAATTAAATCTACTTAATGATATATGTGAACGTTCCACCTTTAGCTCAGCTGATGAGAAACACAGGCACGATCGTGGCTAATGACGCTAACGCTGAAAGATTGAAGAGTGTGGTGGGAAACATCCACCGTCTGGGCGTCACCAACACTGTGGTCTGCAACTACGATGGCAGGCAGTTCCCAAAGGTAACATTTATACATCTTTAGAAAAAGATCATCTCTGAGGTTTACACTGACTCCAGAGTTTTATCAATTGTACTGACTTGTTGAAAATTTTGCCCACAGGTAATGGGTGGGTTTGATAGAGTACTGCTTGATGCTCCATGCTCAGGCACAGGAGTCATCGCTAAAGATCCAGCTGTGAAGACCAGCAAGGTAAACCACCATTCACCATTTATGTATACACCCATATAGATATATACTTTGGATGTTAAATAATGTTTTAACACTTTGTTCCTGTGGTCCTCTGATCCTGCTTCCTGATAGGATGAGGCAGACATCCAGCGCTCTGCTCACCTGCAGAAAGAGCTGATTCTATCTGCCATAGACTCTGTCAATGCTGAGTCACCTTCAGGAGGATATCTGGTCTACTGCACATGTTCAATAATGGTATGTGTAAATGCAGAATCAGTTTTGTGCCATGTGTACTACATTAAATATGAACATAGTTTAGATTATGTAGGAGAAAGGCCTGGCTAATGATGCAGTCTCCCATTTTGATCAGTAAAGTACATTTATCTATCTTTTTATCTAAAATATATTCCACTAGGTGGAGGAGAATGAATGGGTGGTGGACTATGCTTTAAAGAAAAGGAACGTCAAATTAGTTCCCACAGGACTTGACTTTGGCAAGGAAGGCTTCACCAGGTAAATGAGATGTTTGTTTTCACCAAGTATTATTAAGTTAATTTAAAATCAAGTTATTGAAATGCAAATACTTCTTTAACCCTACATTTATTTTTCAATTCTTTTAGGTTCAAAGAACGCAGGTTCCATCCTTCTCTGCGACTCACTCGGCGATTTTACCCTCATTCCCACAATATGGATGGGTTTTTTGTTGCCAAACTGAAGAAGTTCTCCAATGTAATTCCAACCACACCAGCAGGGAAAGGTAACATTTTTTTTTTTATTTTTTATGACTAATGCACAGCCGTCTTCCTGATAGCTACTGTGTTTATCACAAGCTAACCGTCTGTCTCTGTCACTCATATAGAAGAAGAGAATTCTGAAGCTCCTGAAGCTGTGGAAGCAGTTGCAGAATCTTCTCAGGAGAAACCGTCCAAAAGTGACAAGGCGAACAAGACGGTCCCCGGTAAGGCAGGCAGCTCAAAGAAAAAAGGCCAAACCAATGGAACAGCAGCCAAGGAAAAAGCAAACATCAAGTCAAAAGGCAAAAAGAACTTACCCACTGGACCAAAAAAGGCAAAGATCGCCAAGATGGATGGAAAGACTGTGAAAGGGGCGGAGGCCAAGAAGCCCGCAGTGAAGACAACTGAGGAGACTAAAGCATCAAAGGCTGGCAAAAAGGAAGGGAGCAGATTTGAGAAAAAGCAGGCCAAAAAGATAAAATCACCCATGAAGGCCAAGAACAGAATTGGAAAGAATAAATTCAGAAAGTTGAAGCACATGTTGCAAAAACAAGACATAGAGTGACATTGTACACAGTTTAAAATGTACTAGGTAATGTAAGAGCTTTGTAGAACTTCATTACAGACCCAAATCCTCGTCCCTTCAGTCGAAGTTGGTGTGCTCTGTTCTTTCAGAGCAACAATACTGTATGTGTCAAATATGATTGTAACACGGCCATGTACAGATGGATTGGACTGGTCAATGATGTTCACATTTAAGTTTAGTCCTCCCTTTTGTATTTGTATTACAGAATATTCATTGTGTTTGATGATTTAATTGCAGGGTGGGACAACTTTAAGAAATCTGTGAGACAATAAATCTTTTAAGATATTTTTCTCATCACTTGTTTGATTCATTATTAATGTGGGAATTTTTACTTGCCTTTTAGGTACAACTTGAGGTGCAACTCAGCAGTTTGGTTAGAGCTAAATGTTATAGAGCTATGAAAAACAGTTCACATCTAATAGGTTTCATCATCATCTCTAATTACATTTTAGACATCTACAAATGTATTCTGACTTGTCAGTTTTGTTTTGATAGGTCATAGTTTCAGATATTCGCAATGGAAATTTGACTAGAAGTAACTTTTTAAACACCAAAATCTGTCTTTAATTGAAATTATAACTAGTCAGAACTATGTTGAAGATATCTTAGTTTGAATTCTGATCAGTCATAATGTAAATTTCAGATATTCTAAATTGAACTTTAGCTGTCTTAAACCTGATTCTCCATAGAACTCAATGGTCCACTGACATTAGTCAGAGTTAAATTAGATTTATCTTGAATTAAAGTTTTGACTGGTCACAACTGCACATGTACTATACAGTCTATGTTATAAGGGCTCTCCATGTGAGCGCTAGTGTTTATTACATTTGAAGTAATTGATACATATTACACTTAAATTACATACCAATAGTGAGGATGGGAATTTGTGCTGGGAAGTCCACCAGTGTTGTCAAGAGTGTGGAAACAGCCAGTCAGATTGGTCCATTTCAGACAGGAAGCTGTGTTGTTTACATTTTCCAAGATGGCGGCGGGGATGTATTTGGAGCACTATCTGGACAGTAAGCTGCTAATCATGATTTTATCATGTTGGAAAATATTTCTACCTATTTGACACGCTGTGCGTGTGTGTGCTTCATTGTGTATTGTACGTCGTTGTTAACCCGCCAGTGGAACAGAGTGCTGTAACCGTTTCTTAACGGTCGGCGGGTTTAGGCTCAGTCTATTTGCTGGAATAACGCATCGAACTGTACCGAAGAAAGGATGCTTTCTGCGAGTGTACAGTATACACACTGTACCAGCTATTATGACTTAGTTTAAATTAACTTCACAAGCAGAGTTATATGCCTTTGTGCCTCTTATTTTTTTACTGCCATAACCTACTTGTGAAAGCTCATTTAAAAGCTATGGTTAATGGCAGCCGGAGCATCAGTCCGCATATAAAATATTGCTAGCTATACTGCTTCCATTATTGTTTCCTGTTGATCTCACTGAAAGTGGGATTAAACGCTTTGCTTTTCCCTTTAATTTCACCAGGCATAGAAAACCTGCCGTTCGAGTTGCAGAGAAACTTCAATTTGATGAGGGATCTAGATCAACGCACAGAGGGTAAGACAAAGAAATCTGAAATAAGTGTGCATGTCTACTCAGAAGCAGAAGTGATGTAAAAACAAAAGTCATCTGCACCCAATTTGGGAAAATAAAGCTGTTAAACGCAACGCCACTTCTCATCTTGTAACACTATGGTCAATAAGATCTATTGAGTGATTCCCAATCGAGGGCTCAGGGACCCCCAAGGTATCCTAAGTTAAGTTTTAGGTGTCACAAGAGGATTAAAGGGATATGAAAGAAATGTTTTGTTTACAAAACTAAGTTTATTTTCTGACTTTTCTCTACTTTTTGGGTTTCTTTATATTTTTTGTGAAATACACAAAAAATTTTACATTTTCAGGTATCTGAAAGTTCTCCAAAAAGACAATCTTTGTTTTGAACTGCTCACAATTTATGTCCACAGTAATGCCAGAACTTATGATGAGGCGTCATAAGTAGACATTACTGAATTTTTGGCGGTCACAAGACAAACAATTTGGGAACCACTCCACTGACCAATAATAAAATTCTGGTAAATCAAACTCCCTAACCGTTTGTAAACATTTTTATAGAACAACCCCGAGGTCATAATTAACTTTTGTCAGTTCAGTATAATAAGTTGTGAGCGATGTTTAAATACACAACCTAGTTTAGCCAGTACCCTAGCTATTTCTTGTATTGCTCAACATGTGTTGTTTATAGCCATAAATGAAATGAATGCCCGTGGTTGTTAAACAAGAAAAAAATCAAGCTCCTAATATTTAAATATATTACGATTGCAATTATTTTCTGTATATTTCTGTAAACAGTGAAATTACATTTGTATCTTGTTTTAGAAGTTTTACTCCTTGTCACTTCTTTAGATCTAAAAGGACAGATAGACTCTCTGGCTAAAGAATACACAGCCAACGCCCGGACTCTTTCCTCTGAGCAAAAGCTGTCCATACTGAGGCAGATTCAGCAGTCTTACAGTAAATGCAAGGAGTTCGGAGATGATAAGGTGCAACTGGCTATGCAGACCTATGAAATGGTTAGTATCTTACAAATAAACCCAATGTTTTACATACATCTGTAGATCATATGAGTAGAATAACTGAACTTAATATATAGACCCACTGTGTTGAATGTACATGACAAATGCGCCACAATCAGTCTACTCAAGTTCTGTTTTCTGCAGGTCGACAAGCACATCAGACGCCTTGACACAGACCTGGCTCGGTTTGAGGCTGACCTGAAGGAAAAGCAGATTGAGAGCACAGACTATGATTCCACTTCCAGTAAGGGGAAGAAAGGTGTGTGTCCATTATTTTTGCTACATGTCTTTTTATTTTTGTATTGAAGTTTCTGTATTGTAAGATTTTCTAAATCCATACTTAGTTGTATATTTGCTTAAGTGGCTGCCATTCCAGGTGACTCCAGACAGAAGGAAAAGAAGGTGGCTAAAACAAGGTCCAAAGTGAAAAGTTCAGATGAAGATGGCAGTCCCAAGAGTGCACAGAAGAAAGTCAAACTCCTTCAACCGTATGTTGTGTATCTACTGTCCAGCTCCCGATGTTGTTTACTTTCATGCTTGAAGTTAATAATTCTGAGTTAGCTTGTGTTCTCATTAAAATATTTTTGGTCCATCATCAGAGGAGAATTCAACAGCCCTTCCTCCAACTTTGGGAATGTGCACCCGTCTGATGTGCTGGACATGCCAGTGGACCCCAACGAACCCACCTACTGTCTATGTCATCAGGTCTCTTATGGCGAGATGATCGGCTGTGACAACACTGATGTGAGTTTTGTTTTGTGGCCCCTTTTCTGTCTCAGTCAGTGGTCAAATGTGCAAATGTCTTTGGGATTGTCATTTTCCCATATCTTGGAAATGGGGATTAATACTGTGAAGGATTTGATTTGAGAATTTAAAAGTAGATAGGATAAATGCCACAAAAAGGGCACTGACATTTGTCTTTGTTTTTGTGAATAATTTAATGCCTTACATCAGGTGCACTCATGGAAGAGGCGGTGGAGGGCAAAGTGGAGAATATTTTATCCTTGTCTGTTTAGGCCTCTTGTTGAAGAGCAAAAAGAGACAGCTATTACAGTTACAGTTATTGACGTTGGAATGTTTTGAATGGAAACTGTAAATATTCGGAAAAGAAATAACGATAAATGGAATAAAAGATGATTGAAAAAAAAAGAAAAATGATGAGAACTCACAGCACATTGCTGATTTTCTCCTCAACCCAACCGGTTGTTTGTTAAAAGGGAGTTTTTCCTCTCCACTGTCGCCAAGTGCTTGCTCATTGTGGGAACTGATGGGTTTCTCTCTTTAATATTGTAAGGTGTTGACTTAACCATGTAAAGTGCCTTAAAATAAATCTGACAATTATGAAGTCGAGACAATAATTAGAGAAAATTGTAATTATTATAGTGACCATCATCATTACACATTTGAATTTTCATTTGTACAAACCAAAGTCTGTTTATGTTATTTTATGTAGTTTTGTACCTTGTGGATTCTGCATCTGTTCTCCTACTGCTGGTCAATTGCATTGCCTGAAAGTGGATAGTCATATTTTATTGGATGACAAATTTGTAAACATTCCCAAATGTATGATCCATCAGTAAAATGATGATAGGTTTCAGGGAGAAGAAAGATGGAATTTTGGTATAAATATATTCCAAATCGCCCTTTTCTGACATTTTGCATAAAAGAAAAGTACAATTAAGAACACAAGCAAACACAGAAAATGTGACTGCCTCTCCAGCAAAAATATAATTTTATTTATGTTTGTGTTTATCTAAATAACATTAACATCAAATGCCATTCATGTATCACAAAGGTCATAACAATATACTTTTATGGTACTGTCCTGACATTGAGAGGATTAAATAAGATTAATTATAAAAATAGAAATTGTAATAACATTACATTGGAATAATCACTTATTATAAATACAGTAGACGTACACTCTCTCCCATATATATATATATATATATATATATATATATATTAGTGGATAAGGTCACAGATGGCAGAGCAAGAAATACCACGCTACATATACTGTATGCATTGTTTCCCCTTGAAAAGATTGATTTTGTTTTTGATGATGCACTTTGAATAATGCTGTTTTGTACTAAGTGCTACATTTGCAGGACACTTAACAGTATGTTATCCATTTTTGTTTATTCTCCAGTGCTCCATTGAGTGGTTCCATTTTGCATGTGTGGGCCTGACAACCAAACCAAGAGGAAAATGGTAAGAAACTGAACTGCAACTGAAATGGAGGCTGTAATGTACTATGCTGTTCTCAATGTGTGCAGTAAAAGTGTGAATTGCTACTCATTCAAGCAAATTACTTATGTGTCATTTTTTATTCATGTTATGCAGGTATTGCCCACGATGCTCCCAAGACAGAAAGAGAAAATAAAAACACCTGGTTGTCCTGGAATACAATGTGGACACTGATCAGATGGAGAATGAGAAGAATATTTCTTCATTAGTTACTAGAACCTTTTGTTTCTCATCTTCCTTAACATTTGGTGCTTTTTTTTTGGTTTATGTAATTTGCCTTGGTCTGATGCAGAGTGTGTGAAGGAGCCAAGTGGTTACAATTATATTTAAATATTGATTTGTTTTTTGTAACGGTTACCAATAATTTTGTTTTTTTAGTTACTTTTGGTGCTCTTATTGTGATTTTTTTTTTTTTTTTTTACATTTTGTTTTACAAGTGAATAATGAACACTACAACTGCCCCTCATGGTTTAACAGGTCACGTTTCCATGATATTCTATACCGTATTCACATGTATGAATTCAAAATTTAAGTATTTCCTCTGAAAACAGTTTGGCCATGAATATTTTTTGCTTTGTTGTATGGTTAGTTTCTTGTGCTTAGCCTTGGAACACTAGTTTTATTTTTTAAAGAGGGTAAAAGAATATGGAGACAAATGCTGCATCCTGACAATATTAGTCATCTGTGGTAGTGAGTTAAACCATTTCATTTTAACATTTGATTGAGTGCTGTATAGAAAGTAACACATTTCATGAAAAGTATTGTCATTTCTGTAGCTGAAACATTGGTACAGGGGAGAGGGGGTGATTGTGTTGTCAATCATTTGAATACAGCTACTACCTCAAAAAAGTGCTTGTGTGGTCCTTTTTGTCTGTGTTTTTTATTACACTATACAGTATATGGTTTTAATCAGTTATAGTCTTGCAGCTGTGCTTTTCCAATAGGTGGTGCTGTTGGTCAAACTCCTTAGTAAAGAAGGCGCATATATTCGACGTCATAGTAACGTCGCTTTGGCGCGATGTCCAAACAAATTTGAATCAGACCGTTTGCAGACGGTAGGCAGAGCAGCCAGTACTTCTATTATTACAGGTCGACGTTGTGGCTAACGGGACTGCAGACGTTACAGGTAAGCATTATATTTCTAAATTTGTAAAATACAGTAGTTAGCTAACTAGCTACAATTGTTACTAATGTTTCCATTAAACAATAACCGTAACGGCTGACAAGTTGGTCTACGCAATCTAGATAGCCGAGCTAGCATTAAGCTAGTTAGCTTGCTACCTTAGCTTGCCCGGCTAGCTTAATTCACAACAATAAAGTTGTACTGTTTGACGATAAATAAAATCGGTACACTATCAGGGTATCAGGATGAAAAGTCTTGAGAGTTTCCTCATAAAAAGTTGTTTAAGGTATTTAAACGTCTTAAATCTTGTCTCTTGGCTACTGTAGGCAGTGATGTTATTTCTAAAACGTTTCTGTAGCTAAGCGATTACAGGCTGTTCAGTTGTCTGCTTCTTATAAGAGTCCAGTTGGCATTAAATTAATGAATCATTAGGCTTTATTGGGAACTACTGATGGGAGGTTCTGAAACAAACAATTCAATGGGCCTGGTATTGAAAGGATCAAAAGTCTTAAATATAACTTGGTGAAGCTACATCGAGCCTGATTTTCAAAACTCAGTCATAGCAACCAGTCTTGTCTTAAGTCTAAAATATCTTGTGTATATAATTATCAAAGATCCTGCTTTGCTGTGTACAGTTCAATGATACACTGTATAAGTAACTTCATATTCTTTAGAATGCAAACCTTGACTGTTAAAGATGCATGTAAACTAATCTATCGTTTCTTTGTGAGGCAGCGATGTCGTGGGACTTCTTTTTACCTGTGTGCATAGGAGACTTGGTGAAGACCGGCGGGATCAACCAATATGTCGTTCAGGATGTGGTCTCCCCAAAACAGCTGCCATCATACCTCAGTAGTAAGTAGTTACTACAAATTCTGAAAATTTTGGAGCTGCTCATTGTAAGACATTTTCGCTAGAGCTTAAGGATTTTCTCTCTTTCACACAGGATTCAAGGCTGCATTGAGAAGCCAGGGGCCTTTGTGTATATTGGAACATTTTGACACAGGCTACAGTGTGCTACAGTAAGTACTGGTCATATACAGTATAGCTTGCTTTAGTGCTTACTGTTAAGAGCTGTGGGAGCACAAAACTATCTTTATTTTGTAGGCAATTTAACTCAGTGGAGCTGGGTGTGAAAGAGGATACTCTGGAAATACTAGTACAAGGTCAGTCCTTTTATGTTTCTAACTTCAAACTCACAGAAATACAAACTTGATATACTGTGATGATCGTGTATTGTCTGGTTTCTTTTCCTTTCAGTGGTGAGTGGCCTGGCTGGTTCCCTGCCGGCAATCCTCGTCTCCACCTCTGTCTCGGCTGCAGAGCGCAAAGAGAACCTGAATGCTGTTAAGATGAGCGTCTTCCTGCTCTGCAAGCTCACAGAGACCCTTGAGAGTTACTCTTGTAGACAGAGTATTGTCACGGCACCTGGGAAGGTATGGTTAATAATGACATTGCTAAGAAATACTGTGATTGGCAATGACAGTGAATTATTCTGTGTTCAACCATTTTAAATGCCCGCTGATGAGATCATGGCAAGTTTTATGATCCAGTCAGACCAAGAGATTGTGGTGTCTAGCCTGCTGTTTGGTGGGTAGTCTTGGTAGTGTGGTGGAGTTTTACTGCGCTGCTGTAAGGGCCCACCCACAGTTAACTTGTCACTTTCTACAACCTCTGCCCCCCAAGAGCAATGGGATGGGATAGGTAGGAGATGCCAGACAATGTGTGGATATTTGTTTGTCTGTGTGTGAATTGTATGAATGCCTATGTATCAGCTGGCAAGAACTATATTCTCTTTCTAGTTCGTTTGGCAGATATGAACTTTGTCTTTGGTAATCTGAGGGCATGTAATGTATATTGATTTTAACTGAATTTTATTGTCTTACTTTGCAGTCCATTTTCTATGAAGCTTAACTGATAATCATTTTGTCTGTCTTGCACAGGGTGGTAAAAAAGGTAAAGCTGGTGGAGAGGGGCTGCTGCAGTGGGACTCAGAGAGAGAGAAGGTGCTGCAGGCCCTTGTCCAGCTCCTCCAGCTGGATATCCGTTCCCTCTGGAGCCTCTCTCTGGTGGAGGAAGAGTTCATCAGGTACTCTGCAGTCTGGGGCATTCTGGGCAATAGTACAGTATCAGGCTTCCAAGCCAATCCAATATTATTTATAAAGCACTTTTTCAAAACAACACTGTTGACCAAAGTGCTGTAGAATAACAGTAAATACAAAAAAGACATAAAACGCGTAGAAGCAACAGTTAGTCAATAAAAAGACAACATCTCAGACTGTGTCAAAAGCAGAGGAAAAGAGGTGCCTATTTTAAGAAGAGATTTATAAACTGTTATCTGTTGTAATTGTAATAATGGAAAAAAATTGGTGTAATTTCCCACTCTCTTATCCAGATCACTTCCCGGCATTGATTAGACTTTTTCCAATACCGATACTAGTATCAGAAATGCTGCAGATACTGCCTAAAATACTGTATTGGCTATTGGCGAGTCTATGCACCAACCCGATACCACATACTTTATTAATGAACCTAATAGTTAAACACATACTGTATATAAAATGGTAGTTTTCCTCGAAATCAAATCTTCTTTGTTGCTTTAAAGCTGTGCAGCCACTGGCAACTTACTGTTTTAGAGCAACAAACAAGAATTGATTTTCGGTAAATAGTGTAATCTTAGCTATTTGCAAAATGTCAGCAATTTGGCAATATATTACATTGTAAAGTTCCACCAGTAAAAAGGCAACACATTTACACTATGTGAGGCTTTAATTTTATTTTTATTTTTTTAATTTTATTCTACAGTGATTCACTGGTATTAGATTAAAACAAAAAGAAAAAGAAAGTCTTTGTAATTCATGTGTCTGTTCATGTTTTTCAAAGGGTTTAACCTGAGCCATTCCATACAACAATAATAGCAATCATATCACATCCATAAAGGGTTAGAACTATAAAGCTGTTCAAATTTTTTACTCCTGGAATCGGGAGGGAAAAGAAACGGAGCATTCAGAACATTTCTAGCACTGATAATACTGTAGCCTTAATTGGAACTTATATGAAAATTATCTTTGCCCTTTCATTAATAATGTCACACTGAACCTATTAAACTTAGATGATCTTGGAACTGTGTTCAATTGCTTCATTTAATTTTTCCATTGTGAACATTTCCTCACACTCCCAGCATTATTATTTTCAGCAGAGAAGTGTCTCCCACAGGAGAGATGACTTTTGTTTTTAGTGTTCCAGTTTTTCAATACTCACAGTCCTTAAACTTTTCCCTTAACAGCACACAGCCTCAAAAACCTTTACAAACATTGTTTCTGTACAGTTCTGCACATTTTTCTGATGAGTACAAAGCCTTGTGCATGAATGTGTTCAATTTCATTCAGGTTCCAAGTTGCCTTTGAATCCAGACTTTAGCGTACACTAACATTAACAAAGTTTAAAGTTTTTGTTCTGTGCCTTTCTTCCCATAGCTGTGTGACCTGCTGCTGTTACAAACTACTGGAGAACCCTACCATCAGCCATGTGAAGAGCAAACCTACCAGAGATTGTATAATTCACCTACTGGGGGTGCTGATCAAGAAGTACAATCACCTCCTGGGTTAGTCCCTCACTCATGTAGAACCTGTGAGCGCAATTTATAACTGAAGGAACACATCAATCTTTTGCATTCAGTTTTAATTATATACTTTCTCCAAACTCTTACAGGTGCAAGTGTAAAGGTGATCCAGCTGCTGCAACACTTTGAGCAGTTATCATCTGTTTTTGCCCAAGCAGTGTCTGTGTGGATCACAGAATATGGAATCAGAGCTATCATAGGAGAAGTAATAAGGTCAGAGCCCATAATTTGTGTGCGTACTAAGTTTTCAACAACCAGGCCTCTTTGTAAAACTTTTTGTGGAAATATTATCCTTTGGCTGCAAATTACACAGAAGTTCATGCCTTGTTGTTTTTCCCCCTCCTGCAGGGAGATTGGTCAGAAGTCAAGCGAGGAGCTTGCCAGAGAGGGGTCAGGGGTCAAAGCCTTTGCTTGCTTCCTCTCAGAACTTAGTGCTCTGGTGCCTGAATTAATGATCCCCAACATTAGTGTGCTCATCACACATCTGGAAGGAGAGGTAATATACACCTGTACATGTTCATCCTGCTAATTAAAATTCTTAATTTCCAGCCCCTGAATGGGAAACCCAGTGACTTTGATCTAATAAAAGATGTGATATTGTGAAGAAGTAACTGTAAGTCCCTATGTGAGCACACACACGCACCCAGCTTGGCAGAGGCAGATCCCATTCCCACATTGCTCTTTCTGTCATTTCAGACTTCTTGTGTAGCTATTCATATGTTGCTGCCAGACTGGGGAGGACTCCGCACTAAGCTGTTAGATTCATAGGTCATGATTGGCTTGTGCAGCAATGTCAACATATATTGAAAAAGATGACAAAAGAAGAAATGGCCATCTTTCTTTTTAGTTTAAACACTTTTCCTCTGTGATTGGAAAGGACCACATTGCTTTGCGTTTCACAGGGTAACAGACCACAGGACACTGTCCATTTTCAGACAAGGCAGGGACACCAATTAAATTTTACATTGTGATTGCATTACTCTAAGTGGAATGAGTAACATGCTTGTACTCAAGGATAAATTCCTGCCATTTTATTTGCTCCAGTGCACATTGTCACTTATGCCTGTAAATGTTGCTATGACAAAGCCACACCACAACACTTCTCATTTAGGACTTGAGCATCAAAATGTGGTACTTTACTGATGCAGTAAAATGGTTCTAGTAAAGGCTCCTTTCAACAGAAGTTTTTTTTTTCTTACTGTTCAGTTCACATTTTGCCCAGTGATGAGACCAAGGCGAATACGAGCTAACTGAATGAGAGCTGGGTTCTTCTTTGCCTTGACTGGCAGGTAATCTTGGCAGTGCAGAGGAGAATTCCTGCTCTGCTGTAAGGGCCTGCCTACAGTGATTTGGCTCGACCCAAATTATTCCTCAACAGTCAATGTGGAGTAATTGCTGGGATAAAGCTGACAGTGTGTGTGTGTGTGTGTGTGTTGTGTGTGTAAAAGGCAAGAAGTTCACCCAGCTCTCTTCGCTGTTCAGTCAGCAATGAGTTTCTTCTTTGGTAATCTGAGGGCCTATGACCTATTTCTGAGAAAATGCTACAATACATCACTTCTCATTTAGTACTTCATGACACAAGAGCATGCTTAGACACAGCCTAATTCCCTGTTTCCCTGTTTTCCAGAGCCACACAATGCGTGTTGCTGTGTGTGAAGTGCTTGGAGAGATCCTTGTTCGGGTCCTGTGTGGTGATGGCCTCGATGAGTCTGGTAAAGCTGACCGCGACCGATTCTTTGACACACTGCAGGAGCATCTGCACGACACACATTCCCACGTGAGGGCACGTGTGTTGCAGGTCTACACACGCATTGTGAACAGCAAAGTATGTTTTCTGGACTTATAGTATATTTGTAAAAGCATGACATTAGCCCTGCTTGGTAATACAGACCGTTTGTGTTTAGGCACTCCCTCTGTGTAGGTACAGCGAAGTGATGGAGCTTGCTGTGGGGCGACTTATGGACAAATCTATAAATGCTGTGAAGAGTGCTATTCAGTTGTTGGCAGCCTTCATTGCACACAACCCCTACAGCTGCAAGGTAACTCAAATCAACATGATTTAAAACTGGAGTAGTAGACTTTTTCAGGTTTCACATTCTCAGAAATTTTCTTTCAGTTGAGCAGCGCAGACCTTAAGAAGCCACTGGAGAAAGAGACCGCTAAACTCAGAGAGATGAAAGAGAAACTGGAGGGAAAAGCACCAGGTGCGGATGAACCCTATGAAAAGTTATTTATCTTCATGTTGAATTCATATTTTGCCCAGTGATGAGACCAAGGCGAATACGAGCTAACTGAATGAGAGCTGGGTTCTTCTTTGCCTTGACTGGCAGGTAATCTTGGCAGTGCAGAGGAGAATTCCTGCTCTGCTGTAAGGGCCTGCCTACAGTGATTTGGCTCGACCCAAATGATTCCCTCAAAGTTACAATGGAGTAATCACAGGGATGAAGCTGACAGTGTGTGTGTGTGTTTGTATGTGTGTCCGCGTGCGTGTGTGTGTGTTTACATTTGTGTACATGTGTGAAAGGCAAGGAGTTCACCCAGCTCTCTTTGCTGTTCAGTCAGCCATGAGTTGCTTCTTTGGTAATCTGAGGCCAAGTTCAGAAACTCATTTGAACTCAGCAGACCTGGTCCCTGAAAAAGTTGTCTCAAAATTCACACCTGTAACTTTCAGCCATATCACATGAATATTAAAAAATGCATTTTTATTAAGCACTAGAAGTTCATTCTTAATATTAATTAATATTATCAAAAGTAAGACTGAGCCAGATGTCAAAAGTACTGTAGTTTATAGATGCATGCAAAAAAGATGCAGGTTTAAAAAAAAAAAAAACTTGAGTTGAATCTAGGTAAAATATGATAACAAAAGTCAGTATTTTGAGTTTTCAATATAACTTGAATACATTATTGATAATAACATTTCAGCTTCAAATTGATGAGTAAACCCTCAAGCCTCCTTTTTAAATAGATCTCTCGGATTCAATTCGCTAGTTGATCAATAACAAGTATGAAAAAAATAAAAATGCCTAAACCGTAGTTTTTTTTTAATTAGCTTTAGAAAAAACACCATATCTAGTAAAAGGGAAAATACAGTAGCACACCAGGAAAAAGTTACAAAATATGATCAAATGATGGCACTCTAGTCCCTAGCATTACAATCTAGATTTTTAACCCCAGGAAACAATTATTCTGTTTGACTAATTTATTCCCCCTTTTAATAGTTTTCTGTAAATTGTTCTGCTGGAATTTTCTTTATAGCTCTAACTTGACTAATCCTGGTTGGATTTGACTTTTTTCTTTTTCACCTTCTCCTTTCCCTCCTGGCAGTGGCGGTGATAAAAGCATCTGAGCTGTGGGCCGCTATGGAGCCTGAGCTGCTCGTTACTGTCAGGACAGAGCTGGAGCCCACAAGTGAAACAGAGAGGGAGCAGCAGGAGGACGAGAATGAAAGGGATGTGGAGGAAGAAAAGGAGGCAGAAGATGACAGGGCAACTGCAGTGAAGATTGCTCAGTACCTCCGTGTCAACAAATACAGGTGATGCTAATCACCAGTGTTGGCCTGGGTAAAAGTTGACTCAAGTGTCACTACCTGAAGGATTGCTTTTATCCCATGCTGTCAATTAGCAAATAATTTGATATGTGAGATGTCTTTTCTGTTCCCTCCCTACAGGAATGCTGTGCGTCTTTGTATAAGAGCTCACAGCTGCTTCCCTCAATCTGAGATGTTTGCTTCTCTGTCCACTGTCACCCCTGACACACTAATGGAAACACTGGCTCTGATTTTTAAAGGTAATGCCTGAGCTTGGTTCACTTGAGACATTTCCATCAAGATATGCTCATCAAAAGTGCTCTCCACGGAGGCAAGGCTGAACACATTTAAGATTCAGTTCTTTGGAGAAAATTAATTTCACATTATGTTTCAGTGTCACTTCATTAAAACTATCTGGTCTATAATGTATATGCCTTTACCAGAGTGTGAGGTGAAGATGTATTTTAGAGCATAGAGCACTTCACTTCTCAAACCAGCTGTCTCATTCGTAATGTTTTTCATAACACTTGATGACTATGACACATAACCTCCACCAGCACTATGTTGTACTTAGCTGAGATCACCATATTCAGTCCCTAACAAAATTTACTATCCTCACATAAAAGAAATGAGTAACTTCTTCAAATCAGTTGACAAACATGTTTCTATCATACTATCTGTAATTGGAAATGGCTGTTCAGATCTAGGCCTTCCTTGTCTTTCTAATGTGTTGACTGTTTAAGACTTATCAACTGTTGCGATAAATATATCAACAGTTCAGAAAGAGGCATTTGTAAATCAGAATTGCAACGGACACAACATTCAGCTGCACAGCAATTAAAGACTTTTGTGAAGTGCAGGGTTTTTCTCTACCAATCTCAGTCCAAGGTGGTACCTAAGTGATTATGGAATTGAAAATATAAGCATGGACCACATTTTTGTGTGTTAATTACTGCCCACACTTCAAGCACAGCATATTCAATCTTGGTTTGCCATTTTACTTCCAACAATATTTCAGTCAGGAGCTTCTACTAGTGTGCAAAGGTAATCAGGATTTGATGGCAATTTCCTTACTCGCACCAAAAGCCTTACAGCGAAGAGAGCAACTCTAACTTCATTTCTGTGCACCAGCCGCAGGAAATGTTAAGCAATCAAACAGCAATGGAAAGATGATTTCTATTGGTTGAATTCTTGTGTGATTCCTTCATGGTACTAACTTACTTTACATTATATGGCCCCTGATGTTTTCCTCAGGCTCTGATGAGGACACTGCTGAGCTCAGCCAGAACTTGCCTCCAACTCCACAGAAAGAGGGGGAGAAGGAGGGTGAGGATGGGGAGCTGAAGAAGCAGGAGATGTTGGTGCAGTACCTGAGAGATACAGAGACCTTCGCCTTACAAGTGGAGAGAGCAATCTATGTTATCAACACCATGCTGTATTGGAAAACCACTTCAGGTAGCAAGCAGCATTTGCCGGAGGCTAAACCTGTTCAAACTTGTACATTTCCATATAGTGTTTGAATTTACTTAGTAGTGAGATGAAAATATATGTACACCCTACAACAAAAGTTTTTCTGTGTGTTTTTAGTGGTCCAGGAGGCTGTGCAGTTCTGTGTGACAGTGTGCGAGTTCAGTGTTGCCAACTCTGTCAGTGGCGTGAGGAAGATGTTGCCTCTTGTCTGGTCAACTGACACTGCCATTAAAGATGCTGTTGTCCAGGCCTATAGGCGCCTTTATCTGAACCCTCACGGAGATACCATCAGGTCTGTAGAACATACCTGATAAAATGAATAGTCCTAACTTATAAAACAAGTGCATGTCCTGTTCAGGCTCCAGTGTGATGAAATATGACAAACAATTTAATGTGACATTAGCTAGTAATTAATTTTGGGTCCTTATTAAGTCAATTGCCAAAGTCTCCTCTGTGAGGATTACAGTGACATTAGGCTGCCTGCCCTGCTGGTTAACATTAGTAATTAAAAAAGCTCATAAAACATTCAATGAATTTAAAAATATAAAATTACTTGATGAGCTTGTTTGGTGCATTGTTGTGTATACACACAACTGAGCCAATATTAATGATAAATACCATTTTGTTTATGCACATAATATCTAAAAACACTTTAACTTAATTTTAATAATTTATCTACTCTGTTTAATTATTTACCGTATATAAATCTAAAAAAAATGTTTGTGTTGTCATCTTAAAGCAGCTGTCTCATCTTTTATTAGGATGAAAGCCCAGACTCTTGTGGACAGTCTCTCCGAGCTGATGGTTGATGCATCACTGGGAACAATCCAGTGTCTTGAGGAAATAGTGAGTAATTATTATTTTTATTATTCTCATATTGCGAATTTCTCTTTATGATGGTCAATTAAAGAAACAGCTATGCAGAATATTGAAGGACATATTTTTTTTTTTTAACACCTTCTTAAGGTGTTAAATGATTTGCATTGGAATACCTTGAAACAAGGCTTGCGGGGAGCATTAACCACTAAAACTTATATCTGTAGGTCCAGGAGTTCTTTGGCAGTGACAGCAATCTCCAGTCTACTGTAGTGCAAGTCTTGTGGGAGAGGTTTACTGGAAAACGGGAGACTTCTGGCTTACACAGGCGAGCTGCAGTGTTACTGCTGGGCATGGCTGCACGGTAAGACACGGACCACTTTCATTATGTTCCTAGGAAATTAATTACTTATGACATGATGAAGAAAAGGGTTTGTACAAGTTAACCAAATATGGTGGTTTCACTCTTCCTGCCTTTGACTGGCTGGTAATTTTGGTAAAATTTGAAGAGGCAGGCATTTGAAGAGGCAGACTGGGCTGCCGCAGCCCTACCTACTCTGATCATATAGAGCAACACAAGGATAAGTGGTCACAGCCGCATGTATACATTTTTGTTTTGTGCTCAAGGCAGTGAAATGTAAAATTCAGTCAGCCATGCCAGTAAATAATCTAAGTCCTGATTTACTCCTGATATTTTGATTTGTTTCCTATCACAGCTTGTTTATTCAATTTCTCATTCTGTCCACATTGTGAACTGATCTCATTTATTTTGCACACACCATGTAGTGCAGTGGAGTAGGAAGGGATGTCAACCAAACAAATATACCAAGTTGTAGGATAATTAGACATGATGCTGTACAGCCTGTATTTGTTTTCTAGCTTTGTAAAAGGTAGTATAAACAACTAAACAACAGCCGTGCTTGCAGGTGCTGTGTATATACTTATGACTTGTTTACTGTGGATGAGGGAAAGGTGTGTTGACTGGTGAGAACAGATATAACTGGGCCTCCTCTGACGTGCATGTCAAATTCAGACTGAGTCATGATGTTTCTGCAACACTGAGCAGTTCTCAACCAACAATTTTTTTAAATTGCATTTACATTTTGCATGTGGCTTGCTAAAATCTTATTATATTCCCATTATACTTTGTACTGAGCAGTGCAGGTGTGAAACAGTATTTTTTCAGTTGAGCCTGTTTACTTGTCATGGTCTGAATCATGAAACGCAGCAGAACTGTGTGGGTAAATAAACTCAGTTTAACTGACTTTCTAGTTTGATTTGCTTGCATGTTCAGTGAGGTGGAAGTATTAATCCCAAATGATGTGTAAGTTGTATTACCATGGATTCTGATAAATATTTACCATGAACCTCATTTTGGTTTATTATTATTGAAAATTGAAAGAAATTAGATCTGATTAAATTCATTGTAAATCCTGGTCTGACTTTGATATTCAGAGAAGCAAAGATTGACATAATGAAACAATCTCAAGGTAAAAAGATTTTTGTCCCTACTCAACACCTTCCTCAGACATGAACTTCTTCAGATCCTGATAACAGCCGCATTTTTATACAGGTGTAAACTGGATTTTAAGATTAAGTTGAATTTATTTGGATTCAGACCAAACATCATTCCAAGTTGTATATTAAAATTAACCCCAATGTTTATACACAGGGGAAAGTTGAGTTTGCACAGGGTTGTTTTTTTTTATTATGTAAAATCTGTAATATTCCTCACCACATAACATTTTGGTCCTGCCTCAGCTACTTGACATTCAGCAAATCCTTATTAGTCAGACTTCAAGCTCAGCTTTAGCTCCTCTTCATTGTAATCGAAGTCACGACCATATAACTCGGCTCCTTGCCAGTGCATTTCACTGAATATATGTATTTTTTTAGTGTTCCCCCTCAATCTACCTCAAAGACTGCCGCTGCTGTAGGGAAGAGCGAGCAAGAGAGTAAAGAGACTATCTGCAGTCCACCCACACTGCTGCCGCTCTTCATCCAGCCAGCAGCATTCATAACCTATTAAATCTTATGCGCTTCTCCTAACCCAACCTCCTACACGCATTATCTGGGCAGCAGCCTGGCACTGGCAAGGCCAGCACACAGCAGTCAGGGTGATGTAGGGCAGAGATGTTATTACTTTACTTTGCATAATCACGAGACCATTTGGGAATAAAAATATATATGTATTTTATGCCTCTTTGTAAAACTGTATTTTTTTTATGTATGTGAATATAACAGGGCAGAGAGGGAAGTGGTTCTCAGTAATCTGGACACTCTTTGTTCTGTGGCTCTTGGAGAAAAAGTGACTGAAGACTTCCTTCTGGCCAGAGACACAGTTATAACCATCTGCAGTATCACTGACCATGTCAGGGTAAGAAAACATAAACTATGGCTTGCCTCAAGTATTTCATGATAACCACAGGGCCTCACTGACTTGAGCCTGTTGATTAGAGATGCAGTGGGTCAGTGTGGCAGGGTCTAAAATCTTTTCTTAGAAAATAAGAATTAACTGTAATGTTCTGGAGACTCTGAGCTCCCTTTAACAGCTCATAACCATACTTACCATTGTCTTATCAGCTTCATACTTGATTACTTACATCCTTCCTACATTTATGAGAATTGCCTAGAAAAATAATTATCAACTGATGGCATGTGTCGTAAGTCTGCTACAGCAAAGTCCTATATGGATTGCAGAGATCCCAGCTATAAATGTAATATATCCTGATTTGTGTTGACAGTAATTTTCCAGTTTGAGAACAGTTTTAGAATAATTTGATCATAAAAGATCTGCTCATTTCCTTACTTGAAAATGACTTTTTTGGCAAACAAAAGGAATATATATTTTTTTGTGTCCATCCCATATAACATAAGACAATATATATAACCCTTGAAATATAACCCTAATAATAAGGGTTACAGTTAATTTTTTATTTCTTTTTGTAATCTCAGAATTTTGTCACTTTCATTAAATGTGCAAATCCAGTTTATGTAAGTATGTAAATGTACTGAGGAGTTCAACACAATGTTAATATACATTTCAATATTTTCACCAGCAATCAAAAGGTTCTCCATTCAGACTGCCCCAGGAGCATCAGCTCTTCACCTGCCTCACACAGGCCATCGCTGAAGGTAAATGCAGACAAATGTGGCCTTTGCTTAGAAATATTCCCAGTTTGTCTGTCTTGGCTTGCACCACTTGTAGTTTCTTCCTCTGACTGAGCCTGTTGGTACTTGCTCCAGGTGTGGTGATGGAAGACCCTTACTGGCAGAGCTTCATGGAACAGGCTGTCCGTCTCATCTACTTCCTGGCGGAATCTCCTGACCAGCTGTGCTCACGGCTGCTCCAGCGCAGTGCTCGCCTATTACTAGATCAGATTGCAGAAGGTGGGGAAGTCAACAAAGATCCTGGTCAAATGCAAGATGGATCTCAAGAGTCCAGTGAGCAGGGTGAACAAGGCGAGTCCTATTATGTCTCTTCCCAAAAAAGTCATTTGTAGTTTTAAGTGTAATGTAATTTAGCATTAGCATAATCAGATGTTTACTCTGACACTGTGTAACCTGTCCCAGTGCACCTAGCTTTGTCAACATCCTCTTAATCACGTGTCTTTGTCTCCTGCAGTGAACTGTGTGTGTCTGGCCCAGCTGTTGGCTCTGTGTGGCTGCGTGGCTTTCTGGCAGGTGTCTCACCTTGAGCGCAGTGTGAGCGCTGAGCTGCGGAGGAGGAGAGGAGAGACAGAGGAAAGGGAGGAGAAAGAAAAGGGCCCGTCTAGCAAAGCTAAGGTAATGAGGCTGCACAGACCTGTATACAGCAGCTGTATATACTGTACTGTAGTGTGTAAAGTAGTCTAGAACACTGGCCAGTAATAATACATTAGCTAAAGTGGAAATGAAATTGTGATTCTTTACAAATAAATTTGGAATAGCTTTTTTTATGATGATTTCCTTGTACAAACATTTATATTTTTGTTATTTTGCTGCCACGTTTTGTGAGTGGGTGTTGAGTGAGTTGGACAAAAATAATTTGCATACATCATCTTGGACTCTGGGAATTGGGATTTTTTTCACTATTCTATGAGGTTTTATAGACAAAACAAATAATAAAAAAAAAAACTTGATCAGATGTTTTTTTTTTTTGTTTTCTTTTGTTTTTTCAACTAAATGTTTCCATGTCAAAACATCAGTTGCCTGTTGCTAAAAGTACTTGTTCAGATACTTAAATGTTACAAATGGAGCCAAAACAACCCCCTGTGTGGCAAAAAGCATCTTAACAATCAGGCCGAGTCTCAGCAGGATAACTTGATGAGATTTATTTTAGTGACACAGTCAGATGAGTGATGGCTCATAACTGTTCAACCCATCGGGGAACAGGAAGATAAATGTCTCCTTAATTAGCATTAAAATGTTTGTTCATTTTATTTTTTTTCTCTTGGATAACCAGAGAGACAGACAGAGGCAAAGTGGCATATAACAAAATAGTTTGGACACTAGTTTTTTTGGGATACTCCACACAAATGCCTCAGTTTAGTAATTTGAGAAGAGTTATCTGTTTTTCATCCATTGTAGCCTTTTTTTAATGTTGTTAGTGATTTAAGACTTTATAAAATTATTTTGAGTCAAGTATCATTTTAAGCTGCTGTAAGACTAAACTTCACCATGGGAGATTTACTGACTTGGTGAAGCCAAAAGGAGATAGGGCTGTAAACATGAGGTGTGGAAAGAGTGGTTTTTATCAGACATTTACTGTCACTAACATCACAGCCACACAGCATCTCATTCTTATCTCTTCTCTTTTGTTAGTTATCAAGTAAGAATATACACAAAGGGTATTTCCTAAAAGAAAGGTTGGTCTCACTCCCTCTCTCAAGCTGGCCAGACACTGTTGGAGAGAGAAGTGACTATTTTTGTAAAGCTTTAATGGTTTTCCAACAGCAAGCAGCCAATGAGAGTGCCATGGAGGAGGAACTTGGGTTGATCGGTGCTTCTGCTGAAGATACGGAGGCTGAACTCATCAGAAAGATCTGTGAGACTGAATTGCTGGCAGGTAATGAAAACTTCTTGGCTTTTTTATTTTTCTCTCTCACATTAAGCTGCCCGCTCTTCACCATCCACTACATTCGGTGCTTCACATAGATTTTGCTTGTTCCACATTTTCATGCACTACTTCAACATCTTCTTCCAACCCTACTCTCTCTCTGTTTTAGAGGAGAACCTGCTGTGTGCATTCCTTCCCCTGCTGGTGAAAGTGTGCAGTTCCCCGGGTCGCTATTCCCACCCACAGCTCACCACAGCTGCCTGTCTGGCACTCTCTCAGTATATGATGATAAGGTAAATACAGTGCCTATTCCAATGTATACCATATACACCCGTAGAGCTGATTAAGCAGTTTATGAGTCAACACAAAAATTAATCTGCAACCATTTAAATCCATTAATTAAAAAAAAATCACTGGTGGGAATATTTGCCATTGAACTTATTTTCTCTTTGGTCTGTGTACTATATTGGTTGAACAGTTACAGCAATCTGAATGTGTCAGCTTGGGCTGTGGGAAATTATGACTTGTGATTTCTGACATTTTATGGACCAAACAATAAATTACTAAATTAAGAAACTAACTTGGAGATTAATGGAAATATTTGTTAGTCTCAGTACTATACATATATGACTTTAAATAGACCTAGCTGAATTGTTGAGATAACTTTTAATCCTGTGATTTCTTTATCCGTTACGTCAGCCCATCGGTGTGTGAAGAGAACATCCGCCTCATGTTTACAGTGCTGGAGCGCTCTTCTCTTCCTGTTGTCAGGGCCAATGCCATAATAGCCCTCGGAGACCTCACTGTCCGTTTCCCAAACATTTGTGAGCCCTGGACACAGAACCTGTATGCCAGGTAATGTAATGACATATTTGATTTTGTGAGCCCAATAATAAAAGTATAATAAATAAATATAAGTTTTGTTGCAGTAACAGCTCATGCTTATCATTCCCTCCAACTATTCTCATCCAATTAGAGGCACATCATCATAATATTTGTAGATCTGTTTTGTTTTTTTTCCCCCTGAGATAAGGAACACTGTACTGCAAATGACGTTTCATCTCAGCCAATGTTCACCTTATGCTTGTACACTTGAGCCATCGTCATCCAGATCCCTCCACCAACACGTCTGTGTGTTGTTCCTCTGTCACTGAAGTGTTGCCGCTGTCGCAATGCTCCACTGAGCCACATGATGGAAAAAGTTTACTCTCTCCGTCACGACTTTTTAATGGGGGGAAACTTTGAGATGATCTATGATGGCGAACTCTAATATCTGCCTTGAAGCTTGCTCTCTGCGGTTGCTATGGGAACCAGCCAGCGCTTCATGGCTTGTAGAAAACCCACCCCCCACTGGTGAACTGGGGTGGAGCCTAAGACCGCCTCAGACAAGGGCAGTTTTAGACAACGAACAGCTTAATTCCTGGTGTGTTACGGATTCTGACTAGAATCAATGACTAGTGTGTTGTAATTATATAGAGCGGTTGAATAAGCAGAAGGGAATAATTTTGGGTGAAGTCAAAGGTTCTGCAAGGGTTTACGCTTGTAGGTATGCTTTCATTTTAAAAAAACACTTCATGCTTTCTATCTGTTTCCCCTGCACAAAGTTACAGTTTCTCTTTAGCCAACTCAGAGGCTGAAGTTGCTCTTTTTGATGAAGTGTGGTCTTAATTATAATGGTTGACAATGCTCACATTGAGGTGTTTCAGACGTGTAAAACATTGTGTTCTTTTTATACTGCGCCATTGCCCTCTTAGTGTTTCCTACCTGATAAGCATTTCATAGTGTCCCCTAATTGTCTCCCACACAGCAACACCTCCACTGTTCTCAAGGCTGGTGCCCTGTAGCCTCCTGATAAGCGCATTAAGAATTAATTACCCTGTTCCTTACTGTTGTAAGCTCCTGCATTGGCATGTGGTTGTGCCATGTACAAGTGTGTGATCCTCTGCCAGGAGTCCTGCTCTCTGGCATAAATGAGAAATGGTTAATGAGTTTCTTTTGTTCTGTGGTTTTGGATGAGGGTAAATCTAAATTGGTCTCAGAATGCTATCAGATTGCCCTGCCACACAGCCTATCCAATCCCATTGTGCTCAGCCAAGGCTGAAATAGTCATTTGGTTTCTGTAACATTCTGGCTAATTCCAAGTCTTTACAGAAAGCTTAATTGACCAGGATTGGAAAATAACAAATGTCCGGGTGGCAAGACATTTTACGTCCACTTTCATTTTTAGTCACACTAGCAGAGCGTTTCAAGGAATGGCAGTGTTGGACTCTCAGTCAATTAAATTTTGTACCGATATTTAGGTTCTTCAGAGGATGAATCCTACTGACTTAGTGATCACTTAGTCATCCACTGACTTTCCCTCGAGAAACACCTGCAGGTCAAAGATTTAATTTAACCAGTGAAATATCTCAACATCAACTGGATAGATGAGAGGATGTGGCTGAATGACTTTGGTGTTCCCCTGACTTTTCATCTAGCATCACCGTGACATTCACATTTGTGGTTTTCAGTGAAATGTCAACAACTACTGTATGGATTGTCATGACCATTGATACAAATGTTCATGTTCCTGTCAGGATGAATTGTAATGACTTTGACGATCCCTTAAAGCCCCTGACAAGTTGGTTTCAAATCTTAGTATTTCTCTATAACATAAAATATTCATGACTACATTTCCAATACCTTCAAATCAGTGAGAAAAGATTGGACAAAAAGACAAATAAGAAATAACAAACTGTTACTCACAGTAAGAAGCTATTTGAAGGTTTTCATTTTGTGCTCTCATCACACCACATTTTAATTTGTTTATAATTAAAATCAGTGAATATCAATTTGTTGATTTTTAATGATCAAATACCTGCACAATTAATGACATTCCTATCATCTTCAGCTGCGCTCTGTTCTGTTTTTATTAGCAAATGTTATCGTCTTAGTTTAATGTGTCAGCATGCTAAGTTGGCTGTAGTGTCTTAGTGTCGGTACCAAAGTGGTTGACGAGTAACTAGCTGTTAATTTAACATCCTCTTCTCTTCCAGGCTCAGTGATGAGGTTCCCTCAGTGAGGCAGACAGCTGTCACAGTTCTTACTCAGTTGGTGCTTAAGGATGTGCTCAAGGTCAAAGGTCAAGTCAGTGAGGTGGCTGTGCTGCTAATTGACCCTGAGCCGCACATTACCAGCCTTGCCCTGAACTTCTTCAATGAGTTGGCCACCAAGGTACACACACATGCACATCAACACACATTCAGAGCCCTTTCTGGACCCAGGGTAATTGGGAAGGTTTTTAACTGTCATTGGTGTCATCCATCAGGACAATGCGATCTACAATCTGCTTCCAGACATAATCAGTCGCCTGTCTGATCCAGAGAGAGGCATGAGCTCAGGGGACTTCAACACCATCATGAAGTGAGTTTGGCGGCTTCACAATATGTGTATTCTCTAATTTGCTGCTTTTGTCCCCATGGGATTTGTCCACACTGTGCAGGACTCTGCATGCCCTGGACAAATTGTGACTTGTTTGAAGGGGAAAGTTGACATCTTTGCTATTTTGAGAGCTTTGTTTAGATGTTCTATTATTTTTGTGTGTTTTCAGACAGTTGTTCTCCTACATCACCAAAGAAAGGCAGACCGAGTCTCTGGTAGAGAAACTGTGTCAGCGCTTTAGGACTGCCAAGTGAGTACATCTCCACCTCCTTTTTCCCATCTTCACCTCTGACCGGCGGTTTTCTTCTTTTCTTTACAATTTACCAGCTCATTTCTAATGTCTGCCCTGCAGTATTTAATTTGTGAAAGATGCAGGGGTGGATATGTGGATAATTAGTAGGTGTTTTCACTGTGTGAAGAGGGATCGACAATTACAGTGAGTTCACAGTAGAGCTCACCTATCACCTACACTCTGACATCTTATTTGCTCATTTTGTCATGGAAACTGTCTTCCCATATGGCTGAGGAGTGTAGACGAACAATTGGCCTGTCCTGGCTTCAGTCTGCCTCTGACTCATACTCCATCCATATTCGGAGCTCAAAGGAAGGGCATCTTATATTACACAATGGCAAAGTGAATTTAGATATAAGTGCTTCCTGGAAAATGAGATTTGGTCCAAATGCCAGGGCGAAGCCATATTCATGAGTAATGAGCTAACGGACTTTTTTGTTAAGGATCTTGAATTACTATGCATTTCACATTGTTTCAAATCCAGTTTTTACTCGCTAATTCCTGACTCTTATTCTGCTTCTCTCCTCAGGACGGAGCGTCAGTGGTGTGACTTGGCCATGTCTCTGTCTCTGCTGTCCATGTGTGAGCGTGGTTTTAAGAGGCTGCAGGAGTGCTGGGAATGCTACAGTGACAAGTTGACTGAGCCTGGAGTTTACCAGCCTCTGCTCTCCATTACCGCCAAGCTTCGGCGTGGGGCCAAACCCCAGTTTAAGGTACAATATCTTTCAGATTTTTTTAATTTTATTTTTATTTTTTTTTGGCATTACCTTTGTTTGTGTTTATTGATGGGAACTTTCTTTACCAGGCCCAGGTCGATGAGTTTGAAAAGCGGCTGACTGCAGTCCACACACGGGGGCTGGAGAATGTAGAAAGCCCTGAGATGGAGGAAGAGAACCAAAAAGAAGGATCAAGTGAGAAGACAGTCATGCGAACACCTTTGCCCACCAAAGGCCGTCCGAGGACCAGGAGAGGTCAGTACTCATCGGCTTTGACTTTCAAGGACCCTGATGGTTGTGAATGCAAAGCAATTTGTTGATTTTGATTGTGACAAATTAACATTTCTCTCTCTGACCCAGGTCAAACAAAGCCTTCAGTTTCTAGCCAAGGTGATGACAGTTTTGTGACGCCTCAGAAATCTCGCAAGTCCAAGAAACCTGTGATCACCTTCAGCAGTGATGAGGAGGAGGATGAGGAGGGTGAGTGTAGCTACTTTTTACATGCACTATTATACTTGGAATGGAATTTAACATGATTTTTTTTCTTCATCTGTCTATTAAGCATCATATTTTATGAGAAATACAAAAATAAAAAGAGCAATTATCATAATTGATTCTGACAATTTTCTAAATTTAAGCGTTTGGTGTATAAAATTGTGGAAAAACAGAAAATGACAATTTCCTTAAGCCCGAAGTGATGTCTTCAAATAGCCCATTTTGTCTGACCAAACGTACAATTCCCAAACATTCAGTTTACTATCACATAATACAAGGAAAAGCAACATATAATCACATTTTAGAAGGTGTAACCCAGGAATGTTTGGTATTATTAATTGAAAATGACAATAAATTATCAAAATGGCTACAGATTATTTTTCTATCAGTCCAATAATCAAATGTTTCAGCTCTACATTTATTTTACTTAGAGTGTTGGTATTATGGATAAATTTAATCTATTTTTTCAGTCAGTAATATACTTTGGATCGATGCAACAAAGTTGAGTTGGGACCACTGGGCTGAGCCGGCTCTCTAAGAAGCTTTAAAACTGTCCTACCTGAGCTCCTTTTTAAAAGTGAGCTGTGCATTGCAACAGCACTAATCTAACATCTGAGGATTTCCCTGTTAGAGTTGATAGAAAACACATTGACATACTGTCACTTTCTTTTAAAACTGAAAACATGAAACCATTCCTGGGCAATATTTTGTGTGGCAGCTCTGCAGCCTGTTTCACTTGACTTGTCTTGCTGGGTTAATCAATTTCTAATCTTAAATCTTTTTTTTTTTCCATCAGATGCTGTAATGGCAGAGAGTGAAACCCCTAAAGTGACAACACCCATCGCCCGCACATCCAGACGAGCTCGCCTCAGAAACTGATCATATTTTTCCTTGTTTTTGTCTTATTTCTGTGTCCCCTTTCTCTTTCTTTTTTTTTCTTTTTTAAATCTTTTTTAAAAGATGCTAGCACTAGGCACTAAACTATAGTAATCTGATGACATAAAGTCAAGATGTTTTTAATAAACTTGTTTCTGGTTTTGATAAGAACTTCAAGGCTTTCTGTGTTGGTTTGAGCAGTGTCACTCACTGGCTTCTGCACACTGGAAAAAAAACACCCAAGAGGCTGACACCAGCAAATGTGTGAAGAGTTGGGTGTGTGCTGGGTTATGTCAAGTAAATTTATACCATCATTACAAGCAGCTTTGAATGTCTGCTTGTATTATGTGTTTGCACAGTGGTGTTTAATGGGTTGTCACAGCTTGCCCCGACAGTATTACTATCCCACATGCTTCTCCACTTCATTTTCAATTTTCTTTTTCCTTTCTTACAGTCATGTTCTGTCATAAGAGATTCTTATCAGACGAGAAAAATCCATGAGCGTGGCTGCATGTTTATTTACAATCATGTTTTTTTTTTTTTTTTCCTTTCCTGTTCTGTCTGAAACATTTGCTGTTGCCTAGTTGGCCGCCTCTGTTCTCCTGTAATCAATCTCTTTTGTAGGTCTCCCTCCTCTTTCTGCCTAGTGCTTCCCTGCCTCCCTCCCTCCTATCCTCCTCCTCCTACTCTTCGCTGCCTACTTCTCTTCCTACAGCGCTCCTCTCTTCACTGACATCACATGCACGGTAGTTTAACCCCCCACTCCCTCCACTCATCGCTAATCTCTCTCCTTCTCGCCTACTCCTTCTCCCACACGTTGTCCTCTCCGAAAAGATGAGAGGGGTGCATTTCTGTATGTGTGATTGATATGTTATGTAAAGACACTTTACCAACAGCAGGCTAACAATACAATTGCACCAGCGGTTAGGTTTTATCTGAGTGCAGTGGGTGCTAAGTGCGCAAATATGAGTATATTTGCCCTGTTTATAACTTTATTTAGTGCTGTACAAAGATGAATTCTGCTTGCTGGGTATGAAAGCTTTCATCCCACATTTTATGCACTGCAGATGCCTTAATTAAAAGAAAACATTAATTGATGTAATTGACAGAGGTGGACATGAATCCCTGGCTAGTATGTGATGCACATTTGTAATCGCAGGGGTTTATTTACTTGAAATAATTAGAGGCTGCTGAACTTTGAGGTCTGTGTGTTAGATTGCACAGCACCTGCTAGTATTGTAATTTGGTGGCAGGGGGTACAGGGAGCAGATGGCACTGACAGACTGTAACTTACCCAACAGAGAGGGGAGGTCAGTGCATGCTGGGAACGACCACAGAGACAAAGGAGAGAGAGAGAGGCTAACATGGCACGAGGAGCATTGTTGCCACACGGGAAATGTATAATTCAGATCAAGTCGTGACATAAAACAACGTGAACCTTTTCAGCCAGGTCACTTCATAGCTCTCTGGTCTCATTGACAAAGCACTGGCTAACTACTGCCCTCTGACCTTGATTTGTGCAGTACAGTGGCATCAGTATGGTGCACAGTACACACAGTCACCTTGGCGATGACAATCATTCTCCAAGGCTATGACATCATTCCAAAGAATGGGAGAGGAGGAGAGTGTTTGGGGGGGGGGGGTCAACTTTGGCTCTACAAAACGCCTGCAGCATCCCAGCTGATGCCCCAACATTCAGCTTCTGCCAAGAGGACAGACGCAAGAGGAAGAAAATCATCCTTTTAGTTCCATCACAGAGCGAGTAGGAGGAGTCAGGCAAGTGAGATAGTGATGCTCCAGGCAGGTGCCAACAAGTGAGAGGTAGCCGAGAGACCGAGAACAAGAGATGGAGAAGAGTCTGTGAGAGCAGAAGACACCCGGAGCCTTGAGAGAAACCTACAGGTGAGCACTCAAATTTTCTTTTAGATTTTCATTTTGAAACGAGACTTTTTATTCCACAGTTTTTGCTCATTACAATAATTATTTCCTACAGGAATAAAAAAATGAATCATGTTAAATTAATGTTGGTTAAAGCCACAAATGGAGCTGGAGAATTTTTATTTCCACATTTCATATTTTATTTAAACTGGACAGCAGCCTTATGTGTAATAAAAATTAAATTTGGTGTTGATCTCATTTTTAAAAAGCTCATATTCATTATTGTGATATTTTTACCATAAAAAATTATTGAATCCTGTAGATTTTGCAAGTGATAACACCCGTTTAGTACGTTTTGAAACATTATTCAATATGATAGAAAGTTTTCCTCTTGAAATGATATAATACATTTTTTCTGTTTTATGTACTAATTTGTTCGGCTGTTTTTAATCCAGATCTAAAAGCCTAACTGGGGACAGGGGCTGTAAATGATATATTCCATCTGTTGCATTGCTTCTCAGCACATTGTCTATCTGTATATTCCTCTTGTTAAAATCCTGAAGACACTGATTGAAGATTGGTTAAACTGCACAGTACTAATTTATATCAAAGCCATTCAAATAATTTTCTATAAAAGAATTTTCAAAACTAAATCTTTTTTTTATCATGAGTAATTTTAATTTCTCCATGTAATTGAATGTGTATTTAGGTGTTTGCAGCCAGTGTGTTTCCAGTTTTCCTGCACCAGCCCTTCCTGCTCCTCTTCTCTGCCATCATGCTGTGTCCTGTGCTGCTTTGTGCCACTCTCCTCCTTCTGACGCCCCTGGACATCACAGAGGCTCGCGCTCTGCATCCTTCTCCTGATGCTGTGCAGGTACAGAGGGAAGGGGGGAGGTGAGGTGAGGTGAGGGGAAGGGAGGAGGGGGAGGATAGAAAAAGAGTGGACTGAGGAGAATTCAGAGTGGATGAATAGTGGATACAAAAGAATAGTCCAGAAGGACGGGAGAGTAATGAAATGTATTACTGATTGAATTATTCTCCCTCGTACACTCCCTGACAATTAAATTGAATCTTTCTTTCCTCTCCGCAGTTTATGGAGCAGTTTCTGGAACGCTATAATGACCTTTTGACCCTGGACGACCTGGAGAACCTGTTGAACAGCCAACCAGAGGAGCAGTCCACCTTCTCCTCTGGTGCCAAAGCGGCCGAGTACCCCAAATGGGCTGATCCACAAACACAGCCCGAGACCCCCTGGCTGCGCCTGCTGAAGGGTGCCCTGGCCAATCAGAAACGCGCAGAACCGGACCGGTCACGGAGGGGGTGGAACCGGGGTTGCTTTGGGCTGAAACTGGATCGGATCGGGTCCATGAGTGGACTGGGCTGTTAGTGGAGAGAGGTGAGGAATAAAGACTGATGACATCCTTCTTAGATTATAATAAGGAAAAACACACATGCAGAGGTGTTCATCTGCAGTGAAGGATGTTGACATGCCAGTAGACTACATGTAGTATGGTGTACACTCGCAGTGTTGCTAATGCGGTTTCATCCAGCGTAGATCAGATGCTTCACACTATCGTGGCTGTTTAACAGAGGAGCTGTAGATTATTCCATGTTGAAGTGTTAAACTGAATATTAGAACATGTGAGCTATGTTTACATCATATGATCATCTTTGATTGCCGGGCTTGTTTTTTTTTTTAAATTAAAAGTAAATTGGCACTTTATGTATTTCTAGCTTTGTCTAAGTACAGTACATTTTTGTGGCCAGGAGATTGTGTTTAAAATCAGGTGATGTCCAAAAACAGTGGCACCTGTATTTCCTGCTTATTGTTTTTTATGTCTACTTATGATTTGCATGAATAAATGGATTTGACATTTGCTGTTTTTCTGTCTGAATGATTGTTAGATTCATCATTCACCTCTATCCCACAGCTACATCCCACTTTGTTTACTCTCTAATGACACACGTCATCTCAATTTGTCCCTCAAAGTAGAGCTTCAAATTCCCCTGACTTGCTTTATTAAATCTTCCAATGGATGTTGGAGGGGGTTACATTTCTTCCCCAGTCGTTCTGGAGAATGGGTGACCAATCCTAATAACAGCTGTATGTACGAAAACCCTCATGCTGCTTTTTTTATTCTGGCATTACAGCCAAGATCCCAGGGCAAAAAAATCTCGAAGCATCATACAGAGAAACGGAAATAAATATTCTGGCATCTTAGTCAGAGAATATGTAAATATGATGCAATCATATATTTAATGGTCGTACTGGCAGTCCTTGTACCAGCAATGTGCCCAGTTTGAAAACATGACATGAACAGCTTTTTTCTGACTTGGAGGCAAAAGGTTCTGGTGGTAAAAAACAAAACAAAAACAAAAACACAATAATTGTAGGTATTTTACATCCAAGTTAAAAAATAAACTTGGAAACAATTCAGAGAGAAGTTACACAGATTTTTACAAATGTTCAAAATCTTAGTTAATAAAATGTGAGACAGTGTAACTGCTTCATTGACTGGTAACTGTAGGATCTATTCAGAACATCTGTTTAACACTGCTAGTTATTAAGTGACAATCGTGGAAGTTTTTAAATGGAAATTAAAGGTCAACAGTTTTGGAAAATATTCGCTGCTTCAACACTCAAGTTCAAAGGCTTCCTGCTTTTCCTTGTGTTTTAAATCATTGTAACTTGAATATCTGCGGGTTTTGGATTAATAATTTGAAGATGTCACCTCAGTAGTTTTTCACTACTGTCTTGACTTTCGTATGGACTAAAATAATTGACAGATTAAAATAAATAATTAAAATGACAATTGTTAATGGCAGCACTACAACAATGAAAAGTATTTCATAAAATATGTTGTTGATGTATTATTTCATATTTATTCTGGTAGTTGGATTAAATTTCGTAAATACATTTTGAATTTACATATGTATTAGTTGCAGTTTTCTACCACAACACTAGATGTCAGTCTGAGTCTATATTTGTTTGTTTGTTGCTGATACAGTTAGCACATGGACTTTGTACTGGACTTTAATACAGGATAGAAGTTGTATAAATGTAGCTAAAGGCCCTTCTTTACATGCACACATGGCTGTGCACAGATCACCAAACTGAAATCCACACATTTTGTTGTTACTGCACTTTCTGTCAGAGTAAACTATTAGAAAACTTGAAAATATATACTCAGAGTAGATTAATAAGATTAAGTTAAATGAACATTGCTGTGATTGTTGCTGTTTCAAATAAATTTCATTCATTTTACAGTGACCTTCCCACTGAACTAATTATACATTTCCCCAGATTATTTATTATTATTTATTCCACCATCTTCTCTCTACAGTGAGGCCTAATACCTAGTTTAGCTGTTGTGATACATAAAGAACATGTGATCTGTATGAGGCAGCATTTACAGTACTGAGAGTACAACATGGCCCGAGTGTTGACTAGCCAGGCAGCGTCTAATCTTAGCATGACCTTTACTTCCCCTCTTTGACCTTAAGTTGCAAAGCAGAGGCCAAGACTGGCACGCATGCACTCAGGGTTGTGGAAGTTCAGCTATGCCCAGGCCATTGGACTGTAGCCATAAAACACACCAGCACTGTCCAGTTTTGGTGCAGAATAGCATGTCTGCTAGCCTGCAGCAGAACGTGTTTAACCACATGATCTGCTGAGTTGAAAAATACAAGACACCGAATGCCATCTTTGGTCCAGTTTCATTAAAAATGTGCTGCACGTTCATGGTCTGCTGTGGTGACTAGATGCCTGGGTAAGGTTTCAATTCACTGTCAGGGCTACCCAGTGACAAGGCCCAGTATATGCAGCCAGAGAGACACTTCCAACAAGATTCAACTTGAATGACCCTCTGGTTTAAACTGATGTCCTCATTACATTATTCTAATTTAACATTTCATAATATCCCCAGCAGCGCTTTCCTTTCAAAGAAACACTGTTACCTGACAAATGAGTCAAAACTCAAAAAGAAAAGGACACGTGTGAGACTTGTCATATTTTGTGTGCAATGAATGAATGAGAAGGCCGTTAATTTTGCAGCAGAGAAACACATTACCATTACCTTGAGTACAGCACTTCTGTTCAGACTAAGGAACCTATCTTTCAGTGAAATGTCTCTTTGTTTCCAGATTCTGTCTTGAGAGTCAGTCATTTCTAAATAACCTGAAAAAGCAGCAATTTGACTGAGAAAACAGACTCGGATGGACTGAGGACACCTCCTCTGCACATGCATAATGGTCACATGTCGAGTAACCAAGACTCAACTTTTGACTTCTGCCTTTAGGAGATGGAGGTGAGCATCTGAAAGTGAAGGGTCATGGTCTTTGGACATTAAATGTCAGAGTCGGACGACAGAGATTTGATCCCTCGTTTGCTCCCTCTGTGTCTGAAGCTCTGTGTTTACTGAGAAGGTCAGTGAGGGACCCCTCTCTTTTTTCAGTCCACTATATGAGGATTCTAATATCTGAGTATCAATATCTAGGCCTCTTAAGGGGGGCCGCTCAAAGTCAGCCTTGATGGCAAATGAGCTGCAAATAAAATAATGTGAATTAAGCAAAAGTATTTCAAAGGCTTTCGGCCGATAATTTGCAGCAGACATGGGATGATAAGAGAGAATTTTCTAGTCTGTTTCAATCACATTAAGTGAAGTAGGCCAGTTTGCATGCCTCCCTGCAGGCTGCCGACCTTGACATTCAGAGGGGGCGGAGCGAGGAGCGGTGACCATTATGGGGGGGTGTGGCTTTACACTCTGGTCAATCATAAAAACACACAGCTTAACTTTGCTCTTCCCCACTCACACCCGGAGTCGCAAGACAGACAGAGGAGTCTCACAAACGGTAAATACCTTCTCTAATGAAATCATTAGAGTCAGAGAGGAAGCTGCAGGGCCTCAGCAACAGGCTGCAGCACCGAATAACTAGATTTAGATCACCTGGGGACAGTCTGCATGGGCTGGACGGAGCCTCAGTTTAAAGTAATTGGGGTCATAAAGTGCAGAGAAATTCACTTGATGTTCTTGCTTTAAATGTGAGTTTGCTTTTGAAGATGATTAAATTTGTAATTCTGTTCAGATTTGCAGTCGTATCTACACTTGCAGGGAAAGTTCAATAAACTGCAGGCAGAGCTTTCATTGAAATTTTCTTGCATTGTGGTCACAGATAGCTTATCAGTGGAATACTTTTTGCATGTTCTTTTGAACTTTTTGCTTATCTAAACACACAATCCAAACCATCAATTGGATGTTAATATATGGCATCATAAAAATGTGCCACCATAAATGCTGGTTCATTATTATCATTCTTCTCTTCTTGCTTTCTCCCTGCAGAGGACTAACCCAACCCAGGCAAAATGGTGAAAGTCGGTATCAATGGGTAAGAGAACATTTTTATCCTCACATTAAAAAATTAACACACACACACACACACACACACTTCAACACTCACTCTTTGCACCCCAACTCACATTGCCACACCCCTCTCATGTTTGCACACACAGCATTTAACTGCGATTTATTATAATGGCTGCCTTGATTCAATTTTCAAAATGCACTATCTGCACTTCTAAACACTTATTTTTTTGTTTGCCTGCACATTAAGAAAGGAAAAACAAGATGATCGACAATATGTAAGACTGACTTCCACAAAACTGTGTTTCTGTATCCAAATAAGAATTTAACCCCATTACTGAACCACAGAGGAAGATGATGTTCAGACTATGTAGCAGGATGTTAATGGATACCAGTGATAGTTTGTAGATACTGTGACAGTTAAAAGTAAACTACCAGTATTTTATGCTGAGAGTTTTGAAGCTATAAAACACTTCTAAAGAATCCACAGCCTTCAAGGCGCTCAGTACAGGGGAGCTGGTGTTTTATGATTGGATAAGACCTAACCCTCTCGACCTGAGTAGCAGGACAAACTGCAGCCTCTGTGACTAATTAATGGTGACACTATATGGCTTCTCAGGAACGGAAAAATGTTTTGTAATGCACTGACACACACACACTAACCTGTGGGCAGTCACCATGTTTTTCTTGATCTTTGAACTTTGGCCCTCGGCAGATAACAATGTGGGCAGTGGGGCCATTCAGCAGGGGATTGTTTTTCTGCTGTGTGGAGCGAGTGGAAGGGCACCTACGTAATTTAAATGTTGTTGAACACACATAATCTGACGTTAAAGTCTACCTATCTGCCTCGTGGATGTGTTCTTTATCCCTCCGCCCCTCTTCCTCCTCCTCCTCCCCCAATGTCTAAGGACAGAGTGTATCTGTGCCAGGATTTTGGACCCGTGGTTAAAAAGTAACTGAGCCACTGATCAAACAGTGCACTGCCGTCACTAGCATTACCACATTAGAGGTTCATTTTCGACTTTAGCCCCGAAGAGAGGAGAGCGAGAGCTATACAGCCATAAGCTCTGCAACACACACCTCCCTCGGCCCCTCCTCCTGAACCCTGGCCTTTCTGTGGCTGTGGTTTCAGGTCTCCTGGGGAGGTTTTATGTATCCCGCACAAAGGGGGAAAAAGACAGAACCATAATCTAAATAGGCCATGCTGAGGCTTGAAGTGTTAAAAATCCAATTTCACATAATAATGATTGATTTTCAAACTTGATTATGTTCACTTAATAAGCATCTGAGGCTCAATTTTTCACAGTAACTCAGCGGCATGTCTCTGATCACATCATCCCATGACTTTGGTCAGAGTTATGTGGTGTCATACCACCATCTAGAGGCCAGACTAAGAAACAACACTGTTCATTTTCAGATTCGGCCGCATTGGTCGTCTGGTGACCCGTGCTGCTTTCCACTCCAAGAAGGTGGAGATTGTGGCAATCAATGACCCTTTCATTGACCTGGAGTACATGGTGAGTCAAGAAGATCATTTGAAATAAAAGGCATTGGGATTTGAAATCAATATAATTTAGGGATATCATGGACTTTAAATGCTGTGTAAATTATTTGTTCATGTTTTTTCTGTCCAGATTAGGAATTAATGCATTAATTTGACAAATTTATCTTGTGTTTATGCACACTTGTCAGCTGTAATGATTTGGGTGGCAGCTGTCTCAGGAATTCCCCTCCTCATCTTGTCTTCTCATCTGTTCTTTAGGTCTACATGTTCAAGTATGACTCTACCCACGGCCGCTTCCACGGTGAGGTCAAGGTTGAGGGTGACAAGCTGGTCATCGATGGACATAAGATCACAGTCTTCCACGAGTACGTTAAATTGGCGTCTTTTGTATAAAACTATCCAGGCTTTTAATACAGTGAAGCATGTCACTTTCAATCCAATTTCACAAATATGCACAAAAGGAAGAACTGAATAAGCATCTATTGTGACACTAACACTCCTTTTCTCCCACTTTTTTGCAGGAGGGACCCTACCCACATCAAATGGGGTGATGCTGGTGCCCACTATGTGGTTGAGTCCACTGGTGTCTTCACCACCATCGAGAAGGCCTCTGTACGTACTCAGTCCTGTCGCATACTCTTCGACATATAATACTGTCTTATTACCTCTGAGACTGTGATGTGTGTGATGTGCAGTTGGCAACCAAACGATGCAGATTTTAATTGGATTTCAACAAAACATTTCAGGCTCACTTGAAGGGCGGTGCCAAGAAAGTCATCATCTCTGCACCCAGCGCTGATGCTCCCATGTTTGTCATGGGTGTCAACCACGAGAAGTACGACAAGTCCCTCCAGGTTGTCAGGTAAGAATCAGAAAGTATCTTAGACCGTTTGTTTGGTTTACGCAAATTTAAGTGGGTTAAAATGACCAACATTAAAACTGAAGACTGTAGTTTGAACCTATTGCTTTATTATGAAGTGTTTCACTCTATGTACATCTGCTAATGATGAACAAAAAAATTGGCTGAACTTGTATTCGTCATACAAAACCATTTTGAGACATTGTCTTTCATTTTGAAAATCCTCATCTTACTAATGCTGTTTCTTAATTTCTCCATAGCAACGCTTCCTGCACAACCAACTGCCTGGCTCCCCTGGCCAAGGTCATCAATGACAAATTCGGCATCATTGAGGGTCTGATGGTGAGGATTAAAACTGAGAACAATCTAGCAGCAAAACACTAAGCAGCTCCTAAAACCGGATTTACACAGTCCAAAACACCAACATGATTTCACAAAGTTAGAGGAGGGGAGGGGGTGTTAAGCTTTATTTAATCATCCTCTGTTCTCTTCCTCTCTGTGCCTTTGTCCATCAGAGCACAGTTCATGCCATCACTGCCACCCAGAAGACTGTGGATGGCCCCTCCGGCAAGCTGTGGAGGGACGGCCGTGGCGCCAGCCAGAACATCATCCCCGCTTCAACTGGTGCTGCCAAAGCTGTCGGCAAGGTCATCCCCGAGCTCAACGGGTCAGTGCCAAAAAACATGATTGTGCTGCAGATATATACTTTATCTCTGTGTGATAAGGGCTTGCAGTAAATCCAGTGAATTAAGTTTTTGATCTCTGCTGTATGCTCATATTTTACAGCAAGCTGACTGGCATGGCCTTCCGTGTCCCCACCCCCAACGTGTCAGTGGTTGACCTGACAGTCCGTCTGGAGAAACCCGTGAGTGACAGTGCAACAGAAGCATTTATAATATGTCTCAAGTCTGTTGATAATCAGTATTTTTCTTACTGTCAACAAATCCTGTGAAACTGTTTAACTGCCTCTGAAAATAGTCCTGAACAAGTTCTCTCTTTCCTCCTGTTTGAATTACTTTCGGTAAAATCTACAGTACTTCACTAATTAAGAAAAAGAGAATTGACATATTTGTGACTTGTTTTTAAAGATTTAGCCCTACATCTTCAGTAGAAGCCTCTAGAATGCAAATTAAAACCTCTTCTCTTCTCCCCTCAGGCCAAATACGACGACATCAAGAAGGTTGTGAAGGCCGCAGCTGAGGGACCCATGAAGGGCATTCTGGGATACACAGAGCACCAGGTATATTCTTGATTTATCTCATTTATCTTTAAAGTGATTTGTCGATCAGTTTACTTTTTAACATGGCACTCTGCCCCCCCCCCCAGGTTGTGTCCACAGACTTCAACGGTGACACTCACTCCTCCATCTTTGATGCTGGCGCTGGCATTGCCCTCAACGAGCACTTTGTCAAGCTGGTCACATGGTACGCCTTCGGCATGGGTTACTTTCATATCCTCATATTTGTTTCCATTGATACATACCGACTCCTTTTTTGTCTTGCTCCTTCACCAGGTACGACAACGAGTTCGGCTACAGCAACCGTGTCTGCGACCTGATGGCCCACATGGCCTCCAAGGAGTAAAGCTACCGGTCAATCAACCGTCACTGCACTATGCCACATCACCCACATCTTCCTGAATCCAGAGTTACAAATTTACAATAAGACATTGTATTATCTTAAACTCTGTCTGGTTCCATCTGATAGTCGACACCCCCCCCACCCCCACCCCAACCCCCCTCCCACTATATGTCTGAGGAAAGGTTCCACAGAGAGCAAATGAAAAGATTTTAATTGGTGACCAATTACTTTTTTTATTTGTTAAATTCCCAGTTCTGTTCTTGTGTGAGATGGAGTGAAGGTGTGAGAGTCTTTGTCTGTCTGTAGTACTGAGGTGCTGCAGTCAGAGGTGGAATAAAGTCCTCTGTTTGTGAGATACACGCCGTCCTTTCCTCTTTTGTCACTGCACAGAACAAATGTACATCAACACCCCTCCAGTGGGATTCATGATGATATGTCACTGACTTCTACAAACACTTACAAGAGGTCTCTGTCCATTGATCGATTTCCTCCTGTGGGAATACACTGACAGTTCTTAATTGCCTGGACTTTTAACAAGGAGGAAATGTGGGGGATAGTATCTGCAGGTTCGCTCACATCGATTCTTGCAGAACCGCATGGCTTTTATAAAACGGTCGCATGATTTTTGGAGATCTCTTTGGTCGTGATCGATACCTGGCCCATCTGGGTGGCTGAGAGAAGCGTAGCATAGTTAATACAACTTGATAACAACCTACTATTACAATTCAATTTGAGGCTTTTGCCTGCAGGCGATTAGCTCTCACAAAATGAAAGTGTGTGGCAAATTCATTTAGCAAGTTGTTCTTGCAGTTTTGCTCACTCACCCATCTGTTTTTTCTGTAACAGAGATCTTGTGAATTAATATGGTACCTAAGTGTTGGGATGTTGAGGTGTGAATGGCAGTTCAAGAGAAAAAGAAAAAAAAAAAAGGCTGTTAATATAAATGAGACCACAGCCTACAATAACAAATCAAATTGATTAAGATATCAGCAAGGTGATTTTTTAAATCAGTATTAAATTGATCAGACACCAGATTTCACTTTGCAGCATGCATATCTTATAATAATCACAGTCATTTCGTTGCCTCTGCCCTTGTTTTAAGCTTCAAAATTGAGGTCCCTGTTCTCAATGAGCACCACAGTAAAAGTGCTGGAGAATGGGTCATGATACATATAAGAAAAAACAAATGGACCCCAGTGACGGACGACGGGGATAATATGGATTCAGTGGATTAAAAAGAAAGACAGTGGATGGCTTGGATAAAAGGAGAGACAGAGGTTAAAGACCCTCCAATAGCCTCCTCCCTCTCTGTTGCTCTCTCTTTCTTTCTGGCCCACACGCACACACACACACACACACACACACACACAGTTCACACTCGGTTTGCATGCCTCTCGCTGATCATTTCTAAGCCAGATTGTTGACAGCGAATTTTCTCTGCAGCTCTCCAGAGAAATTCCAAATGGATTTACGGAGGAAGGGTTAAGATTAAGATTTTATGAAAAAATAAAAATATATGTAAGAGAAGATCTTTGAAGACCAGCTGAGAGATCATCAGAGGCGACTGACCAACAGAGAGAGGAAGGTGAGTAGAGATGTTTTAGTGTCAGATGTTTTCCTGCAGGTATGTGTTTGCATATGTGCATCTTGGATGGAGAAAGAAAAGGGAAGTGAAGGATTAAAAAACAGCTTTTTGAAACAAGCTTTTCGCTTCTAGTTTGAGTGAATTGTTATTTTTTCCTCTCTGTTTTGTTTTGACTTTTTCCATCCATCTTTTTCTCTTTGAGTTCATCCCTCTGTTGACCCCTTCTTCTGCAGGGGCAAATGATTGAGGGGAGATTCACTGTTGTTTCCCCTATGACCACACGTTATGCAACATCAACAGCAAGCATTTTTTGTTTTACTTATTTATTTATCTTTAACACACTCCCCCTGTTATAACCCTGAAACATGTACAACCAATGAAAAGCTAAATAACATTTGAAGAAATGTCAGATTTTCACCATGAAGCTGAGAATGACGAAACAACTTCACTGACGGCCGGCGGGGGGGAAAGATGATGAGACACGATGTGTTTGATCTGTTTTGATCAGTTGTGTGAGTGGTTATGTTTTGTCAGAAGACGTGTATTGATACTGAACTGCACGAGAGATTCTCTGAAGCTGGATGTTTAAATGGGGTTTCTGCCCTACTGTTATTGTTGTGTGCACATGAAGAGCAGAGACGTGATTAAAACTGTTTTCATGTCATCAGCGGCTCTTTGAAGTTTGACAAGCAGACTCTCCTCACTGCATGCCACTGTGAGTCAGCGCAGCACATCCATGGAAGGGAATGGCTCACACAGGGGCTCCTGGTTTGAGCCCTCGTCCATCCAGCCGCTGTTCCTCTCCCAGCTGTCCCCCTCTGCAGACCTGGCCGTCGCTATTTTCCTTACCTTCACAGGTAAACATTGTTTAAGACACTTTCAGAGGATGCTTCGATCGCTGTGTCATTGTCTGGTTCAGTTTTGTGAAAAGAGGTGATCCACTCTTGTCCATATGCAAACCCATGCTTTGAGGACAAGCAATGATCAATCACACTGAAATGTATTTTGAATGTTAGTCAAGATCCCAAATTTCCAATTTGGTATAATTGGGAATTAATTAATTTGCCATTCCAGGCTGAATGTAACGTGATTCCAACAAGTCACAGAGCATTGATATAAAGTACAGCCACAAGAGTCTAGTATCTGAATGAATCGTATCGTTATTATCAATCAGTATATATTCATGTCTTTTTATTATTAATATACAGCTACAATAAAGTGAGGGAACAACAATAATCAGAGCATGTCACACTGTCAGAATGAATGGATATAATGTTTAATTGAAGCTTCTTACAGATGAATAATAGGTCTCAAGTGGTTAAAGTATTAAAATATTAAAGTTTATATTGGCCCCTATTAAAATGTAAAGTGCATATGTCACAATTGTGCCCATACTATTCAGTACAACTTTGTATTGTGTGCAAATACGCATATAAATGTGGGGCGGTGCAAAAGATTCATAGAGGAAAAATGTGCCAAACAAGGCTGTGGATGTTCAGAAGGAAGAGGACATCATAACATAATACAAGTTTTCTTTTTGTGCAGTAGTTTCATTAAAAGCTGAACAGTGCAGGTCTAGCTGAACAACAGAGAAATGCTCTCTCTGCTCTGCTCTGTCAGTCCTGTTCATGTGTTTATGTCGGGCTTCGTGTTGATGAAGTGTTCAGCTAGACCTTCAGCGCGTGATGTAGAAGAAACTGAATAATTGTGCACCGATCCCGAAGCCTAAGATACTGTGATACGATGAATAAAAATGACCTCTGTTCCTTCCCTCACTTTTACGACGGTCCCTGTTTTCCTTTTACTTCACTTGAAAAGCTGAATCCTCTTGTTCTCTGTTGTCATTCCCCGTTTCCCTCTTTTTCCCAGGTGTCACATCTGTGCTGGGGAATGGCACGGTGCTGTTAGTCTATTGTAGGAAAAAAAAGAAGCTCAGACCTCCAGAGCTCATGACCATCAACCTGGCTCTCTGTGATTTTGGTTTCAGCCTCTTGGGAGCACCATTTTTCATCACTTCCAGGTAAGAAATTCCTCAGTTTCAACCACTGTAGGGCCGAGGCATAAAGTCAGAGGGCTGACACTGTGTATGATGCTACAACAACATACAGACACACACACAACAGCCATTTGTCAGGGACAGAAGGTGATGATCCATTAAGCAGGGGGACTAAAAGCCTTCTCTCCCTCTGTCAGCCTGTGTCATGCCTGGGTGTTTGGGGAGACAGGGTGCCTTCTGTACGGCATACAGGGCTTTGTGTTTGGCATCGGCTCTCTGCTCACCACCTGTCTCATCTCTCTGGACCGCTGCCTAAAGATCTGCTGCTTAAGATATGGCAAGTCTTGAGATCTTCTCAATCTACACACACACAAGTGCACTCTGAACCCATCTGACTCCTCCTGGATACATTTTGTGTCTTGCTTCCAAGGTTACACAGCTTTTTACACAAACCTCGGGCTACCTCCATGGCATGAGTCTGTAGGAGACCCTCCTTTTATTTTACAAGCGTATTGATTTGAAGAGTTTATTGATTTAAGAGTCTCTTAGTGATTGCTTACGTAACACTAAAAGACCAATTATATCTGACGTTGCTTCAAGAAAATTGTTAAGTGAAATGTCAAGACTTCCCCCGAGGTTAAGTGCACATTATGCTCACACATGCACACATCGCTTGGGTAGTCGCAAGAAAAGTTCAATAAGTGGCTTGCACGCATCTTGCTTCTGTAGGTCAATGGATCGAGAGGCGCCATGCATCGCTGTCCATAGCTCTGGTGTGGGTTTACACATTGTTCTGGGCCTCTCTGCCTGCATTGGGCTTTGGGAGCTACGGACCAGAACCTTATGGGACCAGCTGCACCATTGACTGGTAATCCTTGGTTTAATTTACTGCACTGCTTGGTGCCCTATTTTGTCTTTATTTGTCTGCAGAAATCTGTGTTGTGTTGTGTGTGTGTTTCCAGATTTGTATTTGTCAAACATTTGCAGACAAACATGTGAGCGATAACTAGTCTGCCTGTATCACTATTTCAAGGTGGAGAATGAGGGTGTCTCCAAAAGACAGACTCTACATCTTCCTCATCCTGGCTTTGTGCTTGGGATTTCCCATGCTCACCATCTTCACTTCATATTTGGCCATCCTGCTGACGGTGAGCACAGCTGCCGCGTCCTGACCCACAAGTATTCTGTCGTTACTTTGTCTAATGTATTAAACACAAATATTATTGGTCAAAAGTTTTAGAACACCTCAATTTTTCCAGTTGTTATTGAAATGTACATAGTCTGATGTCTCAAAGTAATGGACATTTTAAAAAGAAGCAGTCATTAAATCTTTTTATTTAACAAAATTTGATGAATTTGAATTTTTGACTTATCCGGCAACTGAACACACTTGAGTTGTTCTTTCTACAGTGGAAATCAAAATATTGTTCAGGAAGCTCATCCTGACACTGTTGCAGAAGTCCCCACTAATGTGTTGCACTTTTAGTTTGCTTCATCATCCCAGACCAGCTCCATGGGGTTTACGTCTGGAGACTGTGATGTTCTTCCATCATGTGAAGCCACTGTCTGTTTGTTTTTTTGTTTTTCTAATGTTTTGGGTCATTTTCTTGCTGTTGGTTAAACCCCTGACCAACCAGTCTGTCTTCCTTTGCTAACTGCCCTTTTCCATTTCTGCAGAGAAACTGAAAGTTGTAAAACCGTTACTCGATCCCTAAAACTTTTACAATTGGGGCAGTGGTGGCCTAAAAGTCAGGGGAGCAAGCCTGAGATCGGAAGTTCGCTTGTTTGATCCCCATACTAGCAGGATTAAATCTGGGTGGAAAAAGTGAAACAGCAGCACTTATCCAACTGTCTCCAACACTGCTGGGCAGCTTCCAGGTGTGAATGTGTGGTAACATTGTGAATATGATCAGTGCTTTCCCATAAAAGAGAGGTTGCCTGTCAGTGAATAAAGAAAGGTTAATAAAAAAAATGAAATACAACTCTTAAATTGACATGATGTTTTAGTTTTTGGTGACCTGAACTTTTATCAGTTAACTGGAAACTGGGGCTGTTCTAAAACTTCAGTGTATGTAAAGCCACTGTGTGTAGAATATGAAAATTGCAACTCTGGCACCTCCTTGTGATGGTAACAAAAAAAGACGCTGTGGACCTAAAGGCCCCAGATACACTGTGTATTTGATTTGTGATCATTTGATTAATCCAATTTTTTTTTTCCCGGAGGAATATGCACCACAACTAATGATATGAAGGAGGTCTTTGAAAGTTGTAAGAAATAGTTGAATTTAATGGAAAACTGCTGCTGGAAAACAGTCACATGGGTCATATTCCATGTAAAGTTAACATGAAACAAGGTGCATATTCCTAAATAAATGTGCTTCTGTTTTCAGGTCTACAGATCAAATCGCACCTTAGCATCTATACCGTCCTCCTCTGTCAGTCACACCAGCAAAGACCTCAGACTTGCAAAGGTAGGGCCTAGTGAGGATCTTTGTTTTTTCATTTCCTGATACACGTCCTGAAGCAAAGAATAAACTGCGTGTTTATTCCAGATGGCTGCGGTGGTGTGCAGCACCTTCCTCCTGGCCTGGATGCCCTACGCCACTGTGTCTCTCATCTCCGCCCTCATCCCCAGAGATGACCAAGAGGCAGAAAGCACTGTACAGACTGCGGTAGAGGAGTCCACTGCCATGGCTTCAAACTCTCCGAAGATCCTGGACGTCCCCTCGCTGCTCAACTGGACAGCCACAGAATATTATAGACTAACACATTACAACCCTGAGGAATTATGGGATCATGTGGCCGACGTGAATCCCAACTCGGGCCTGAATGGCAGCACGTCCAGCTCCACACTTGGCGAGGAAGCTGAGTCAATGACCAGGGTCCCGCAGCCGCGCTCCTGTCTGCCACCTGTAGTCACTTTGATCCCAGCTATGTTTGCCAAGTCCCACTGCATGATCAATCCTCTAATTTACCAGATCATGAACAGGGAGTTCAGGGACGACGTCTATGTGCTGGTGTTTGGTCGAGAGAAGGCAGAGAGGAGACGAGTGCAAAGGAGGAAGGAGAGTTTATATGAAAGTAAGGACCATTAGTAAACTTAACTTACGTAATGTCACAAGTTTCAGATGTTTAGGCTTTGCCAGTTTTAAGTCTCTTGCTTTTCTCTCTTCTCTTTTAAGGGAGCATCATCATCTCCTATTGCCAGGGCTGGAGGAGGAAGAGGAGCAACTCTATGTCTGTAGGAAGGAGAAACAAAAGTGTGAAGAGCCAAGGGAGCAGTAGTGGAGGCAGATCAGGCTCCTGTGTTGATGATAGATCAGTGGGGGCTGATCTGCTGGACTTTGCCTCCTTGGACACATGGAAGAAGACGGGAAGAGATGTAACAGGGTCAACATTCAGCACTGTCTGATAGATAGATAGATAGATAGATAGATGTTGTTATTTATAAAAAACGCAACCAATATTTTCTACTAGTACGGGTTACAGGTTCAGTACAAAAATCAAGTTTAGACTCCTGCACTCTAACCTCCAGCACGCCTACTTGTCTATTATATGTTACCAAGCTGTCAACCATATGAATGAAATAAATACCTTAAATTGAGAACTGTGTGACAAAGTTTAGCTCTCTAAGCAGCGCAGGCACAAAACATATATGAATATTGTTGTTTCTGGACTTATTTATATTATGTCATGTTTGTCAAATGCCCAGTAACTCTGTTCCTGGCATCAAATATGCACTGAGGAACAAGTGACACCTTTAATTGTAGATACAGTTGCCAGTTTTTATAACATACACGATGGAAGATTTAACATTTTATAAATTAATAAAATGATTTGAGCTCTTGTAAATCTGTCCTCATACTGAGTTTTATTAACTTAAACCTCAGTTAATTCTCGTGTCTGGGAGTTAAACCTCAGTAACAGGGACCTCTACTGGACTTTAGGCGGCTCCTACAGGACACAGTGGCCAGGTCCAGATTAAACCACAGGTACAGTTTCTGAGAATGATCATGTGACTTTGACCTAGACAGCACAGGTCTAAACATGGCTTAAACCTTAAACTACAGTTCAGCTAAAAGCAGAACAACAGCCCAGTGTGGTGTAATACAAGAACCCTCTGGGTCCAATGGTTTCTGCGCTCAGTGGCGGGGGAAGGTCGTTGCCTAATCCAGCCTTGGCTCCAGTCCAGTTTGTCATTGTGCATTTTAAGATTGTATTTGAATAAGTGTTTATCATACACGCTTGGCTCCCACTTTCTCCCATCATCCACATCTGCATTATTTCTTGTTCAAACCTAAGGAAAACACTACGGTAATAATCCTGACTGTTAACCTACAGGCGAATCCACGGAGAACAAACAGTTAACGGATCAGAGCTCCTCTAGTCGCGTCTTTACGGTAGCCGTGCTCTTCCAATCCCGCAGCACTTGCTCCTGCCTGCGGTCACATCTTGTTGCCAGAACTTCAGTGACGCGGTGACACTGGATTTCTTTGTTATTCACTCGCGCTCTGCGTCTTTTTCTTCGCTTAATTGCGTTTATTTTAGCAGAACATCTCGCCGAGGCGCAGAGCCAGCGTTGCCGCTTCCTCGCATCCCATCAAGAGTCGCTTCTGAATGTTTTGTTGCGGACCGTCAGAGGGCACCGATCCATCAGCCGACGTTAAGACCTCAGCTTTAAGGATAAGATTCTTATTTAGAAACGGTTACATAAGCAGCTGACTACTGGCGTTTTGCGCGCACGTCTTTCTGGTCTTTAACTGCCATTTATTATTTATCCATTCATTGTATTCTGTTGGAGCAAGAAAATTCCCGTCCGTGTTCATGCCAGATCTGCAGCGCTTTAGTTTTCCATACCATAGCATGAATCCTTTGTTGTTGGCCAACGCGCATCTCCAACAGCATCCACAGCAGAACCAAACGCCCGGACACCCGGATTCTCCCTCAGCCCTCCTGCCCGACGCCGTTTTCGGTGGAGCAGACCCAGCGTCCTTTCTGCTAGGTGAGCAGGCTGGCCAAGGGCCCGATCAGCCGGGGCCTGACTTCACCGCACCCTCGCAGACCTCACCTTACCTCCACCACAACCACAGCAGCCACTATCAGCACCGCGCCGTACCGCATCCCCCCGCAGCCATGGCACTAAGAAACGACTTAGGATCCAACATCAGCGTCCTCAAGACTCTCAATCTGAGGTTCCGATGCTTTTTGGCCAAAGTGCACGAATTAGAGCGCAGAAATAAGATTTTAGAGAAGCAGCTGCAACAGGCGCTGGATGCCAACAAGGGCTGTCAAGGAGGATGTTGTGACAACAGGGCGCATACCCAGGAAGCAGGTGTGCAGACCGGATTTGTTGGTACGATACCGCTCAGGCCGGGTTCCCTCCCCTTCCATAACACCAACAACTCAGCCAGGAGGCCTACAACACTGTTCCCACCACCGCTCACATCAGCTCCCCCACCTGCAGCTTCTGAAAACACCAGTTCAACCCAAACAAATACCAGTAACCCAGTCATCACCATCAGCCAGTCCTCTCCCTGTGTGGACTCCCCTGGCTCTAAAACTGCCCCCAATAACAGTGCAGGCCCGGGCATCTCCACCAACCCTCCTCCACGGTTCCTTCCGGGCACCATCTGGTCCTACAACCACACCCGCAAATTTGGCCCCGGTGCGGAGCGTCTGACCAGCCCAGGAGTGTCCTGGGTGCACCCGGATGGAGTTGGGGTCCAGATCGATACCATCACCCCCGAGATAAGAGCCCTGTATAATGTCCTGGCCAAAGTGAAGAGGGAGAGAGACGAGTATAAACGCAGGTAAATGGAATAAAACATGTTTTATTACACTTATAAGAGGCCTACAGGGCCTGAGCATGGGAATGTAGTTCTATTAATGATCTACTTTGGAGGAGTGAGCAGAGCTGTAAAGCAGCTGCAGACCAGCTGTCTCCAACAGGAGCAGAGTCAGCACAAAGCCTCTCCATCCATCACCTCCAGCCTGACCCTGCATCCACTTCATGTCTGACCAGAGAAGCAGGTGCTGCTGCTACAAATACACCCAAAAAATTAACACGTCACAGGCTAAATATAAAGAAGAATGAAGGTCAAAGCTTGGCAGGGACGTGTCAGGATCAGTCTGTGGCACAAATGTTCACTCATGACGCTCCCTAGAGAGTTGACTCACCCTTGGGTGGTTTAGTTTACAGGAATATTAGGGAAAATCCATCCTGGAGTAGAGCTCATGGTGACTGTACAGCAGATTTTTTTCATGTGTCTTAAAATGAAAGAAATGAATGATGATATCACTTACAGACAAATCCTGGAGGCTTTCATTATTGGCCATTGTGTGAATAATGAAAGAAACACTATGATGCTTTAACAGGATATATGGGTATTTGTGATTGTCAGCTGTAAATCCTACGTTTAAGTAAACAAATGGTAAGTCCACTCACCACAGTTGTTTTATTACCGATGGACTGTTTCAGTTGTTTTGTAAATCAGAAACACCAAACATTCACTGGTCCCAACTTCTGAAATGTTACATTTTTGCTGTCGTTCTTTGTCATATGGAAAAAAAAAAGAAGTGATTTGAAAATGTCACCTTGGGCTGCGGGAAGTTATGATGGGTTTATTTATTTATTTTTTATCATCTTCTGACTTTTCATAGACAAATCCGACCGATCGATTAATCAAGAAAATAAATGGCAGATTAACCGATGATGAAAATAATGTTGCCCTAGGATCATGTGACATCTCCAACCAAATTTTCCTGAGCCCACACTCGCTTATTCACAGTCAGTGTACCGATTTTACAGCAGTGTGTCACCTGATGACAGCAGCCGATCAGAAGGATATATTTACATTTACATACAGTATTTATGTAATAGGATTACGTCTTTTCTGTCCTGAGTCAGCTACAATGGGCCTCATGTCCCAGCACATTCAACACTGAATTCCCTCATATTATCTCCAAATGAGCAGCCATGCATTCTTCACAGAGGGGAGGATGACCACAGTGAAGTGGGCTCTTTGTGAATGAGGGAGAGGGACGACCCTGACTTCGCAAGAGTGTGTGACATCAGACACATTAAGATTGTATGTAGAGACTTGGGAGAGGATGATTTCGGGGCCTTATCGTGCAGAAAGTTGACATTGTTGTTTTACTGCTTGTACACCCATGCGTGCGAGATCTACCATTCCACCTTTCGTCTTTTAGTCAAGGATAAGTTTTCTCCTTCCCCCTTCACCTGCTTCACCCCACCCCCCACCCTTCACTGCCCCTCTCTCTGCCCACCACACTCTCAATGTCATGTTCTTTTTCTCACATAAACCGGACACAGTCCCACACAGTGAACGCTTCCTCTGCTACTCTCATGCTCTCTGTTTCTCCTCTCCCCCACTGCGCACCCCCCTCTCTCTACACTCCACACTGCATCTGCAATGCAGCATGCACTGCAAGCTGTAACTGCTGGGTGGATGGGGGCTTGGCTGGCAGAAGGAAGCACTTTCTGCACGCTCTCACCTTACTGATCAAACAAGCATCCTCTACGGCAACAACAACTCCTGTTTCATGACTCAGATTCTTTCAGATTTAGTATTCCCTATAGGTCTCCATGTGCCGCAGCATTCTGCATTTCAAACAGCATTTATTAAAGAGGCTGCAGTCTCTGCAGCGAGTGGATTTCCCCAGGGCACATGTGTTATGTGAAGTGACAGAATCTGAGATCACATACACGGATCTGTGCTCAGGCTTTTAAATGTATTAAATATCGGATTCATGGGCCAATCATCTGAGCAATATCATAGTGTCACACAATTCATCAAACGGGCAATTCATCAGTGAATCAGTGGATCACTCACACTTCTCCTTTTTACTGGCCCCATTTACAACCTGCTGTTACATGCAGCTTGAATCTGGATTGGATCCTGATATGATCTCGCTTCAACACATTCACATGTTTTTTGTCACTTCTCTCAGCCGTCACTCAGCCAGATTTAAAGTCAGTTGCTAGTTTTCATGCATGTAGAATGCAAAACCCCCAGCACCTGGTAACAGGTGTGAATCTGAGACACTGTGCAATTTGTTTATTCACATGCTCACACACCAGATGCAAGCTCCCATGCACTTGCCTAACCTGTAAGAGCAACTCGGGGATTAGGGGCCTTGCTCGAGGACACTCAGACATGTGGACAGGAGGAGCTGGGGGGTCAAATCGTCAACCCTGTGAAGTTGGTTCCTACTTGATGGTGGCTTCAAAATTACATTTTTATATTTCAGGGGAAGGTGTCATTGTCAGTTTAATGTCTAATGCAGCTACTTTGGCTGGAGCTTTTGCGAACGCTGCTTCTGTACAATCATGCATGGTCCCTGTGCTCTCACCAGGTCGTCAGCAGGTTTAACAGGTACAGAAGATGCATCGTAATTGAGCAGGTGTACATGAGGCCAAATACTCAGTCACATTCCTCATACTAATCAAGCTACTAATGTGTATATGTAATGTGTGTCTGCTCTGCTAGTTCTGTCTGTTAATGGTTTACTTCTTCTCTTCTTCCTCTCCGTGTCTGTGTCTCTTAGATGGGAAGAGGAATACACTATGAGGATGGATCTGCAACAGAAGATTGCAGACCTACAAGAGGTAACATCCTCTATGTGTATGTGTATGTAGGTAGACACGGCTGCAGACCAACACTGAAGCGTGTGGGAAAGTAAAGTTCAGACTTCAGAATTGACAGCAAAACATCAAAGACTCGAGTGCACGTGTACCACTGCCAGGAATCTGTACCTGACCCCATTTCGCAGGCAGTGTCACATCAACAGGAGACCGCAAGCAACAAAACACCATTTGAGACTGAGGAGGGCCATACCAGGGTTGAGGCACATATGAATAAGTTAACAGGGCGAAGAGAGAATTATGATGCCATCAGATAAATGTAGAGCTCCCCAGAGGAGATTATGCATTTAGGATTTACAATGTTTCTGTGCGCTTTGCAGATGAAGTAAAGGCTTTTATTTTTGTTGATGACCCCCGCCTGCATAATCTAGGCTGTAATTTCCAGTAATGAGAGAGCTGTGTCAGGACATCTCTGTGCGTTTTTGCAATTAGTGCTTACATTTTTGGCTTCCTTTGTATCTGCAGGACCTGCAGGAGAGTGAAGGCTGTCAGGATGAACTGGCTCTCAGAGTTCAGCAGCTGAAGGCAGAGCTGGTTCTCTTCAAAGGTCTCATGAGCAATGTGAGCACGGAACAGCCCACACACTCATATACCATCATAAAGACTTTCAGCTTGTAGCAGCAATCAACTGTCCCAACAGATGCACTGTAGCATACATTTCTCAAAGGAAACACATTAAATAGTAAATGAATTTGATGCTAACTATTTGTTACCACTTTCTAATGAGGCGCTAGATTAAGTGTTTATAAGTTGCAATTAATGGTTTGAGTGTAACATATCAAAACAAAACTCTTAGCCTACAAAGAGTCAGTCATGTAGGCTTTTTATTTAATCAGAGAGACCACTCCAAAGGACAGTGTGACCACTCACCTTCTGGAAACTAGATGGACCTAAATCCATTTATTAGCAGCTATCAACATCTCCAACGTTAGACTTGATGGCTTATTAGAAAAAAAGAAACACGTGACCCTCTATTAAGGGATGATAAAACATTAGTAAATAAGTAATTAACTATAATTAAGCAATTCTTTACAAATTAGAAATCCTTTATTAAGGGTGCTATATCCACTGTCTGCTCCATCCTCCATCCTCTCTGCAGAACTTGTCAGAGCTGGACAGTAAGATCCAGGAGAAAGCCATGAAGGTGGACATGGACATCTGCCGCAGGATCGATATCACTGCTCGTCTGTGTGACGTGGCTCAGCAGAGGAACTGTGAAGATGTGATCCAGATGTATCAGGTACAAGGACTACAACTGACCAGTTTATGTTCTCATCTCTTGCTTCTTTTATTTTTCACGTGTTCATCAAGTCCGCTGAATCGCTTGCTGTGAAAGTTTGTCCTGTTTATTGATAATGATCAATCCTGAATACGTCCCTATAGGTTCCTAACAACCAGTCATCCTTAAACTGCCGCCGGAAACAAACCCCTCTGTCATTTAATGGGAGCGAGGTTGACGAACCCGTCAGCACCTCCGAAAGTGACGGCGGCTTGGTCAAAGACGAGGACCACTGTGGCTCATCGGCCAATCAGATCAATGAGGAGATGCAGAGGATGCTGAACCAACTGTGAGTGGTTTGACTTTGAAATGTGATGGGTGTAGCAGACATGTCCTTCAGTCCTGCACTTTACACTAATTACTTCTCAATGTGTGTGCGTTTGTACTTTTATTCTAGGCGTGAATGTGAGTTTGAGGATGACTGTGACAGTCTGGCCTGGGAGGAGACTGAAGAAACGCTGCTTCTTTGGGAGGACTTCCCAGGATGCACTCTGCCTCCTGACCCCACCCACCCACCAGGAGAGGTAGGCTGTAGCTACATAGCAAGTCATTTCAGTGCCTTTTTTTACGCTCTGATTGTAATGACTGGACGTAGATCTATACTTAGCCACACCGTATGTCACAGTTCTGCATCTCAGGTCACCCACCTCACTTCAGCTTTCCCTGTCATCTGGCTCCCAGTCAGTCGTTTTCCATTCGCCTTGTTCTCCTGCACCTCCTTGCATTAGCCACGCCCACCTCATCAAGCCAATTCCTTTCACCTGGTCACACAGCTGCTCCTGATTACACTCACCCAGTACACAAACATCAGCCTTCCAGTCATTTCTTTGCCACATTGTTGTTTGCTTTTTCTCCATGCAAGACTCTCCAGCATTTCTAGGGACTGATTCCCATTTGCCGAACCTGTTTGTCCCCGACTTGCCTTTCTCGTCTGAACCCTGGTAATCACGTCAGCCTTCTGTCCCTGACCCCGAGAACTGCTTTTGTGGCTTTGGCCTTTGTCTGAGTGATCCTGTGCTGGCTCGTTCAGCCCGAGCCTCCGGCAAGATTTCTTAACCGTTTTTTTTGGATTTACCTGCCAGCTCCAGTTTCTGCCTAGGTAAAAAATAAAGGTCATTACAAAGTGCTTTTGTTGAACTGTGTGCTGTATTTGGGTCCTGCACACACACCGGTTACTACAGTAAAGAAAAAGTATTGCGATTCAAAACTGCCTTGTAACATAAACTGTGAAGCTTATAATGCCCAACTTTGGAAGAATCAAACCTCTTGACATTATCAAAGAGGTTTGATTTTTCATGTTTTTGTACATGTGAGGTTGTATTGGATTGCATGACTTCATTTTACAGTTACTCCTGTATTATGTTATGTTATTTTATTATACTATCTTATTAGTCAGTTCTGTTTTCACTGTAATTCACTGGGCGAGGGACGCTGAGAAAATAAAATCTGCGTGTTCAGCTTCTGCTTTCTTCTCAGTTGCCATCCTTCAGATGGCATGTGCATGTCTGTTGATACTGTTGGTTCACGAGTGGAGTTGATGAGCTCTCTCGCAGCCCAGTCCCCTGACCTTCACTGCTCTGCTGGGAGAGGGCCATTTCAGGACAAAACACTGCGCACACACTCAGACAGATGCGATGTCCGGCCCATATTGGTGTACAGTGTGTTTGTTTCCAAGAAATGCATGTAGGTATTTGTTTTCATTCAGCGGCTGTGTGTTTGTTTGAACAGTCTGCTGCCCCTTCAGAGGGAAGAGCTGCATTAGTCAGTGAAATTTGAGCTGATGGGAGCAGAAAGCCAGCTGTGTGCTTTAACAGCAGCCTCATTCTCTTTGTGTCTGATTGTTGGATGATTAACACACAAATACGTTCTTTTTGCTGCCACGCATCTCCGACCAAACTTAATCCAACCGCAAATAACAACATACTGAAAATGTCTTTCTTCTCTCTCTACCTCTCTACCAGGAGGACACTCTGGAAAAGGTGATTAACGACACAGAATGTCTGTTTAAGTCCCGGGAGAAGGAATACCAAGAGACAATTGACCAGATTGAGGTCAGACAGTTATTTAATATTTCGTACTTTGAAATATGTCAAGTTGGTTGTGTGCTCATACATGCTTCACTGATGTCACATGCTACTTTGTTCTTTCTTTTTATTGTCTCGACTCTTTTCTCGTGTTCTTTGCACTGTATATTCAGATTGCAATGTGCCAGCTTTGTGCATGTGTGTAAGGTTTTGTGATACTGCAACATTGTGTAAGATGATTTACAAGATGTATTTATTCTGTTTTTTTAATCTTTCTATAATGCGTAATGTAGCTTTAGTGAATGCTTTAGTTATTCTTTAGGAGTGTTTTTCAGCCATATGCATTTTATTCAGTTACAAGTTTTCTCAAAACGAGCCATGCAACATTTTGTAACGGTGTCCCAGATCAACAGCACGAGCATATGAGTCGTGTTTGTGATTTACCATTTGGTACGTTTCTGACTCCAGCTGGAACTGGCCACAGCAAAGAGTGACATGAACCGACACCTGCACGAGTACATGGAGATGTGCTCGATGAAGAGAGGCCTGGACGTTCAGATGGAGACCTGCAGGAGACTCATCACACAGAGTGGAGACAGGTAACGCACATACACACACTGGCTTTCAGTCTACTTTATCTCTCTGACTCTCATTTTCTCCTTTTGGTAACAGTTTATTTTACCCTGTAGTTTCCTAGCCCTAGTGTAACACTTAAAGTCATCACACAGCATTTCTCTGCAGTATGCAAACATGAAATAAATTGTTTAACAAACTGTAGCGTAGAGGTAAGGAGATCATTTAAGTGTTTATTAATTTACAGTATTTGTCAGCAATTATACCTTCTACTATCAGGACATATTTTATGTTATTACAGCCGTGTTATTATCTCTTTATACACCAGCCGCCACCAATGGGTGTCCACAGGAGGGGTTATAGCTGTACAAATACGTTAACATTTATATCAGCCTACAGTGTGTTATAAACCATTTAATTGTTCATATGCTGTTTATAAATTCTGAATAGGGGGAAGCTAAAATAAAGTGTTGCCTTTCCTACAAAGAAGCATGTGACTCGCTGCTGATTATACTACTGTTGCTAAAATAGAGGCACAGCTCTGCTTGTTTCTAGTTAGTTGTGTTGAGTTCGTCAACTAATTGAAAATATACCAGCTGAACACTGTCTCCATCTCCCTGTGATTTTTACTAATGACCCTTCCTAAGAATTTATAATATAAAATCAAACTTATAGGAAACTATGCGACCTGTAAAATAAAGTGTTATTTTCTCGTACCAAGTGACAGAACTGTTTCGCATTTCTCCCATTATCCAACACGCGTCTCTGTATCCGTCTGTCACAGTAACCCTGCAGCACCTGTGTCCTCCGACGAGAGCGACCAGAGGGAAAACGACAAGTCTTCGTCGTCTCCGCCTTCTTCCTCGAGTGCTGGGAGATCTTGACACCTCCTCAACCCGGCAGCAACGGAAGCTTGAGGGCATGTGACCTCCGCTGCACCCAGCTATACAGTACCACACCAACGCAATATACACCCGTAACTATGGCAACACCATGTTTACATTTGAACCTCCTCATTTACTGACTCATATCATCATTTCTTGCGCTGTCCACGAAAATCAGCTGTGGTCCGAGGAGGCTCTGAGCACTGAAGCTGTGGTTGAGTAGTAGAGCTGGATGACGCTTGAAGATGGGGAATTTACTGTGAGTCAGTCGGCCTGTGTCCCTCTGATGCAGTGAGGCAGGGCAGTGCTGTAAGCTGCAAAAAAAAAAGAGGCATAGCATGACTTTTTCACTACACACTCACCAACAAAACACTTGTTAACCTGGGCATCTTCATCTTACAATTATCTAGCACATTTAAATAACTGTATATCATACAATAACTCTGACAGCTTTAGAGCCAAATCCACAAAATAGTCCTGGAATTTATATTCACTTACCAACTTAAACAAAAGCAGCAAGCAGATTCATTTCAGTGTAACACTGCAGTGGTGGTAGCTTGACCTGGCATTGATGAGCGTCAAATATGGGTTTGATATTGATAATGATGAGTCTTTAAAGTCTGATACGATGTCACGATTCAGCATTTTACTGCCTTGCGGCTGCAGATTAGCTTGCATTGTATCTGTAGTACAAACGGATTAAACTGTGGGCAAAGTGAAGCTAAAGTCATCTATAAGTCATCAATAAGTCATAACATCTGTGCTTTATTTAGTGAAACATAATGTGGAAAAATTTATAAAAATAACCAAAACATTAACTGTGTATAAACTTGAGCAGCTGAGTTGTGTCTCTGCATACCAACATGCCTTGTCCCTCTAGCCAGTGTTGTTGGGTATGATATTGAAAGAGTTTTGATCTTGTTGGTCTAATGACATGATTGTGGTCCCATTCAGGTAAACTACCTGGATTCAGTTTGACCATGTTGTCTATTGCTGATGTACTTTGCATTTCCTGGCTGACCTAGAGGTAAATGTGGCATTAAACCTTTTGAACAAATGGCCAAAAATAGCTCATCATGTCACAATGTTTCCAACACAGTTAAAACATAGAATGGCATTCAGAGAGCGCAGATCTCCGCCGAGGTCAGTGTCAAACAACACACACCAGACTTTAGAGAATAAAATTCAAATTCATACCCTGGCAGAAATAAACAGACACAGGTGAAAACCTTACCTTCTTGGCGGAGGTAATACATTTCAGCAGCACTTACAGCATTGGCAGTAAGTACTGGCATCATTACGGTGTCTGTCTTAGGAAGAGCAAAGCACACCAACATTGCAACCCTCATCCACAGAGAAATCCATCCTATGATAAGCACCCTCATCAAATTCTCAGTGGAAATGTTGAAAATGAACAATAACAACATAACATAGCTGAGCCAGATGAAGAATTTTGAAGGAAACTTGGAAGACAAATGTTGTCAATTAGAGCATTTCATAAGAAAACAATAACATGTTAAATGCATTGGACATCACAGATAAGACTGTCTGTCTGAGGTTTGTATTGTCTTTAAATGGTGCTGCATGAGAAACCAACAGTAGTAGTGAAAGATCTTGTCGGTGTCGGAGGGAAGCATGTTTGTTTTGTCCAGTGCAGTGAAACATACAGGCTGATCTGGAGCCAGCTTTGCTCTACAGACAAGAAAAGTACTGTGTGTTGTAGTGCACCGACAGCCAAGTGTCAGGTAGGAGCTGTTAATGATTAGTTTTATTTTCAGCAGTAATGCTTAGTTTAGAGTGAAGGTCCTATATTGTTAGAGCAGAGCTGCATGATGAATCATTTTAAGGATAGTGAAAGAACAAAAAGATGTTTAGCCGGTTAGTGCCAAAAATTAAATGAACGTGGTCATATTATGAATCAACAGGAACTTGCTAAAAAAAAAACTGACTAAATATAGCTGCTGAAGCTATTTCACCAAGGTGCTTGATGTATATAACTAAACCTATTTTTGAGCCTATAAACGTTTGCACATAGAAAGGAAGAGCAAAGCAGAAATTTACTATATGAAACAATCAGCACTATTACTTGTAAAACATGTATCAAAAAAATGTCAACACTGGAAATGGAGAACTATATTTCTTCTCTTCATATTTCCTCATCTTTGACATATTGCAGGTGGGGTACTAGAATAATAAATTAACATGAACACATACCTCATTTTTACTTTAATGTTTTCCTGGGCACATTTCAAAATCAAGTTTAACTCAGACATACTGCTGTGTGAGGATACTGCTGGAAACTGTCACTGTAATGGGGAACACCCCCTATCAAACATCACTGTTATCAGACACTGTCTAAATATAGTCCTGGCTGTAGTTTCTTATGTGTGGTTGAACCAGGTGAACTATATTTCCTCTGCTTCTGCTGCGACTCACACTTCAACACTTGGTTACAGTAATAAAAACAGGAGGATGCATGTGTGGCTTTGTGGAATCAGCTGGATGCTGATTTCAGTGTTTCACTACAGTTTGAATACAGGACGAGGACGTCAGCGATATATTGTGTGCGACATAAAACACCATTTCCCTTTTGTATAGTTTTACTTTCATGCACTGAGTGAGTCTCTATGTATGCATGTGCCAGTGTGTATGTTTTTGAGTGTTATGTCTGTACAGTGAGTGTTTTTAAAGACTTTTACTGTGGCAAATGTACAACATGAAGAAGTAGAAAACATAAGTCCGATTTGGTATCGCCTCTGTTTAACTTTAAGTTAAATCTGAGACTGAGCGGTCTTTTGACAATTACACCTCAACAAGTAACTATATAAATCAGATGACAATGGAGCTCTTTTTTTCCATAGTGGCTTTCTTTATGAGTGTATGTGGTTGCCAAGTAAAGTCAATTTAAAAATAACTCAAGTAAAAAAAAAAAAATTGAACTACTGAAATGCAAATGCTTTAGCAAAATGACTGTATGATGGCTTTGATATTATATGTATAAAGGAAATTATAGCTTTGAATATATACTTGTGTTTAAAGACTGCAAAGAAGAATGTCCATAGTCACACACCTGAAATGCTTTCAATTAAGATACATTGACCTGATTGCCCTACGTAGCTTTTCAAAGGATGTACGGTGGTTAGTGTTTTTTTTTTTTTATTTTTGGTTTTTCACTTCTTATTTTTGAACATATTTGGCATCACACAACAATTTGATGATAATCCTGAGTATTGATCGAATACTCCAGATGTGCGACTTCACAGCTTTAAACATCAAGACAAAGCAATTTTGGCTAAAAAAGCTTCACTGCAGAGCAACAGTATGTAATGTGTCAAGAGAGACTGAAAGAATAAAAGATGCAACTGAGCAACAAGATAATGTGTGATTGTTTGTAAGACGCAACATACATATGTGGCAATTCCTTAAAAGCCAGTCTCCCTCTAAAAGTCAGCTAATCCAAATTACAAAAAAGTGGACAGGAATGTAATTTCTTTGTGGTGACAAAAAAAAATGAAAAAAAACATACTGGTGCCTTGGTAAGGTGAACCACATATCAAGGCCCAGGTTCCAAATTCAGGCCCTCTACTGCATGTCACCCCCCCCACCCCCGCGTTTCCTGTCTCGCTCTACTAAGACTTTCACAATAAAAGGCAGAAATGGCAAAAATAGCTATGGAAGTAAAAAAAAGTAGAGGCAAGTTTAAAAGAAAAAAAAAAAAAAAAGTTTGTTTTTGTAGTACTCATTTTGGCCACAATAGGCTGAAGTACACCACTACCCCAGTCGAAATGGGACTAAAAGCATTTTTTTTTTTTTTTTTTTTTTTCCCCAGGTGTCTTTTAAATTCTCATTGTGCTCTAAATACATTGTACATATCCTGTGATAGCAAGTTATATAGCATTACTGTCCTGTCTTTCTTTTAGCTAATGTATTCTAATTGACAGTTTTGCCCAAGAGGCTTTAGGATAGTATAAAGAACTACAAAGCCCACGTTTTGACATTTGTGCAGCAAAACTTTTTTTCTTCTTTCCTCCCCCCAATTAATCACCTCCTGCCATTACACTGCTACTTTAAGTACATTTAGCAGATAATACTTTTATTAGCAGTTGCAATTAATAGTACTTTACCTCAAGTAGGATTTTAAGTCGAGGACTTTTACTTGTGATATAATATATTTTTACATAACTGCATAAATACTTTTATTTACAAAAAGGATCTGAATACTTCTTTTACCAGACCAGATACCACTATAGGCGTTGGTTTTAAATTGAGTGAACTAACCCTTTAATCGGCCTTCAGATTCTACTAAAAAATTGTGTAAGGAAACAATTACGATCTGTAGGAAATCTAAGAAAACTAGTCAAATATGACTGAAAATATATAGTGACTGCAGATCAGGAAATTTGTAACCGCCGCTATCAAAAAGATCTACTCCTCCATCCTGTTGTTGACACAAGTTCACTTAAGTGAGAACATTTCTGTCTTTCTCTTCATTCTTCGTCATATCTGACAGTTTGCATGGAAAGTGATGAGGCTTTGATGCAGAAACATTAGTCAGAGTGCGGATGGGTCCTGTGTGTGAGAGCTGAAGGTGTAAACAGGACAGCAGCAGATTGGTAGAGCTCAGTAGGCGGGGGAGACAGGAAGACAGGAAGATGTAACCAGGTAAGGAAACAGTGACACAGAGGATGGGCAGAGTGAATGAGAAGACAGAGAGAGAGAGAGAGAGAGAGAGTCACAACTTAAGGAAGTTAACAAAACAATAGGAGGAGAACAAAAGACGGATCACATTGAAGGTAATAATTGTTTCGTTTTTTTTTTTTTTTTGTAAATTTACACATTATTTAAATGTAACCTGATTTATCATGTGAAGTTTTGTTGGCGCTGCAAACATTACAGAACGTGCCCTTCCTTCCAAACTGGTGTTTCATATCTGCAATTTATTTTCATGTTTACCATGTTTTTCTCGATAGAATGGGACTTGTGCAATACCTCGTGATTGTCTTGATGTTGTATGCACAGGTGGTGCTCACCTCTCCGCTGGTAACAATGCCCTTTCTCTTCAGTTCATCTAAAATCATTGTGTAATCTTACCGAAAAATCAAATCCTAGGGGTTCTTTGCTTTTCAAGTAGAAGAAATAACTCAAAGGTTCAAATGTATAAACATGACCTGTGCGAATTATCCTAGTGGTTCATGTCTATTTGTGTTAATGTATTCGCAGGCTGAGAGGTCTACTTTAGTCACCGACAAAAAGTGTAAAATGTGCTCTGCAGGTAAGAAAATCGTGTGGTCTGTCATGAACTTCTTTTATTTCTGTATCTTTTTTCTATATGTTCCATGTCTGGCTTTGACACACTGATTGCAATGAATGAATCAGCAATGACTAGTATTTGGAAATGACTATGAGGCACTGAGACATACAGTATTTATATTTCTTACTCTGCCTGTTTTTTTTCTTCTTTTTTTTTTCTTTGCACGTCTCTTGATGACAAATGACGCACGCTGCACACTTAGTTTGTGCCATATGACCACATCCTTCATTGATATGCAGCCTAGAAGAGCGGGCTGTTTCTGCTTCTCTTGTCATCCGATTCTTCTCATCTCATTTGTTTCTTTCTGCTCTGTCAGGTGAGTTTCAGAAGTCTTGTACCGAGTGTGAGCCCTGTCCTGCTGGCAGCTTCACAAATGACAGGAACAGTGAAGACAGCTGCCATCGCTGCTTCGGAGACTGCAGATCAGGTAAAGAAACTATGAGTCATTTCTACTAACTTAACGGTTTCATCCGTCCCTGTCAGGACTGGAATGATGGCAGTGATCTATGGGTTTCTATAATAAAGTGAAAATATATTAATAACAACACTGATCTCTCTGCATTTTTTTGAAATGAACTTTTGCTTAAACTAACTAAAATTGTCACTGTTTTCCTGCGTCTCAGATTATCATCTTAAAGTGGTTGAGAACTGCACCAGCACATCTGATTTAAAATGCGTCTGTGAGGCTGGTTTCAAGTGCAATGACAAGGTCCGATACTCAACTGTAGGCAACTGTAGATCCTGTGTCAAGATCCCGGAAACACCCCGAAATGGTAATTAAACAGTGCAGTCACTCAACTCAGATTAGAGATTAGACGGGGCTCAACCAACCGGGGGCCTCACCATAAACAAAATATCCTTCTGGGGATTTCACTGACTGTAAGAGAATGACCAACAATGATACCAAAGACTATACATCAGTTATTTACACGTGACGGCAATAAACATGTTGTCAGTGCTCCACTCTGACTTTAGGGGGCAGCACAATGTGAAAATAAACCATTACTACTAATAGTCCTTCATTAAGTTCCAGTTAAGTAAACATTAGAAAGTGTTAACAGGAAAATCTAATCAAATATCAAAAGTAATGTATTTGTTCTGATGAAAGGTCCCTGTCAGATGAATATGTACATCGTTAACACTGGTATCAAGAAAGAATGAAACATTGAAAGTCTCCCAAACTGTAGAGCTATGAAAGAAATGTCATGCTTTCATATCAGTTACATTCATGGGTAACATGCAGATTGAGTAGATTCTCACTGATAAGGCACCATTTATTAAAGGTTTATAAGCTGTAATTAATGGCTTTTTTTGATGGTTTAACCATAATTTACTAATGCTTTATAGATCAGTTGTAAACCAACTTTTGGGTTGCCAGATTGTGGAAAATCTTCCTCTAGCACAACACTTTGCTGGTCTTTTGAGTGAGCTCTGTAAGTCATTACAGGGGGCTGTTGGAAATGAGACTGCAGGACATGTGGACCAGAATCCATTTATAATCTTTGATTAGAGTTTGACTATAGATGTAGAGAGCATAGAACAAAAAATGTGAAATGTTGATAGTTAGAGCTGTGTTTATCGCATTTTTAAGTGAAGAAGTTCCCAGTCTGTTGTTTGAATAAGGACTCTCTTGCATCAGTGTGCCCTGTTTAAATAAAATGATGTGGTAATAACATGGCTGTGTGTTTCCATTCAGTAACAACAGAGTTATAAATATCATCAGGTTTGCAGTTATAAATATTAGTGTGACTAACGTGCCTTGGGTTGCTCAATTTCTATTGAGCCATTAGTAAATGTTGGTCAGTCACCTGCAATTATAAGTTCTAATAAATCATAAATAAATGATCTACAGTCCATCAGCTCTGCAGCTGTAATTTTACTAAGCAGTTTATAAATGGATTTTAGGCCAGATGTCCTGCAGCTCCTTTCCAGAATAGAAGTGGTTCAACAGGCTACTGGAGAGGTCTCTCAAATGAATTGCAGAGCTAAAGAGCTCAACATAAAAAGTCTTATACTGGAGGAGGATTTTAAGTGTCAGTGTTTCGTCAGTGCTATACAGAAGACACGAGACGACAGGGAAGGGTTGAGAGCTGAGACTGCTTACCCCTGTTTCATAGTTACATACAAGTTACATATTATAACTTTACTTGGTGACGGTATATGAATGATATGTTCTGTTCACAACTTCTCATGTTATTCAAATATATGACTGATGAAGGTAAAATTCAAATTTGCAAAATAACTACAATGGTAAATCCAGCTGTATTCAGCTAAAATGAAAACAAAACGGCCCTCTAAAATGTAGTGATGTAGAATTATAAGTGCAAAGTATTAAGACTTACAAAATGGAAATCCTCAAGTGCCAGTACCTCAAAACAGGATGATAAGCCATGATGTTTGTGCATGGTGATATCTCTCTGCAGCACAAAAAACACACATTTTTTTCTGCCTCATACTGTACATGGTACTTGCTCTGCTATCAATTCTAACACATTTCCCCCTTTTAAACTCTCAGATCACTCCTAATTGTTTGAATTTTATCTGTCTTAAACTGGCATCATTACAATAACAAATAAAGCTGATGACTCTCTCCCACACCCGTAGACTTTTCTCATGTGCCTGTGTATGATCTGTTACTGCTAAGGTGTTACCAATGCCAAGATGTGTCAGTTTTTTGGTTGTCCTTTGAAATCTGAAACCAAACCTGTGACATTTTTGTTTTCCAGTGGCAACAGCGCCGACCCCAGGAAATGATAAGCAGACGCCTTCCTCAGTTTCCTCTGGACATACCATCACTTCTGCCAAACCCTGCCAATTTTCTGAGTGAGTTGTTGATTTCCTGAGATACAGTACATAATAAATACCTCATGGAGTGGAGTTTTAAAACTCTAGATTCACATGACTCTCAAAACCTGGATGACTTAAAATGCTCTCAAAGTCGCAGTGCCTTACATTAAGATTATTTTAGCATTTGGTGCAAACATCAAAGACTGTCTTTGTTCCATATTTGAGTTACTCAACTAACTTAACACTGCACCTGTATCTCACACAGATGCCAGCAGTCAGTCCCACCGACACCCAGTGCAGGTGAGTGTGTATGAGTGTGGGGAAAAAAGTGTATGTGAGCATACCATGCTAGCAGCATGGCTCTATGGATGGGAATGTGGGTCAGTCAGTCTACCAGGTCAGCTACTACAGAGTTTTGCCATGAAATTTTGCACAGACATTCACAGTCCTACAAGATGAATGCTGCTGACTTTGCTGATCCCTTGACTTTTCTTCTATAGTGCTAGCAGCAAGTTGACGAACACAGCATGCTATCACTCTCTACTAGAGGCAATGCAATTTAACAATGCTGTGTCAAACCACATGTACAAGCCCTGCAAACCACATCCCACTGCTTAAAGTGAAAGCTATTCAACTATCCTGCATTAAATCATGGTCTAGTCTCTAGTCAGCTTTTGAAATAATATTATGTACAAGTGGCAACTATATAACTAAAACAATATTTTTGCTCACCCTGTCAGCCAGAATATAATATATGTGTGTGTTATAAACTTCAGCATCTCACTAGCAGATGCCGCAAACAAGCAGATGTTGGCATTTCCTCAGCAATCTCCTGCAGCGATGTCAGTGGCAACTGAGGTTGCCACAGGAAGTTCCACAGGAAGTGCCACCGCTAGCTGGTGCTACTGCTGCCCCTGTTTGAACTTGCTGTTTCTCAATATTCATGTTCAGCTTAGAATCTTTGTAATGTTTTGGTGATCCTCAGACTTCGCCTCTAGCGCCATCTTGAGGTCAAAAGTCTAATTTGTCCATATGGTCAAATACATGCAAGACTGATGACCTGCCTTGCGAATTAGAATATGTTAGCATGAAGACAGGCTAAACAACACTGGCAAACCTGTTTTATATCCGCATGTTAGCATTGTCGTTGTGAAAATATTAGCATGGAGCTAAAATCACTGCTGTACATAAGCCTCACAGAGTTGTGAATGTGACTATAGACTCTGAAATCTTGTTTCTTTCTCTCAGATGCCATGAGCAGTCAGCTGGCAGCCATTTTGGGTCCACTGGCTATTATGGGATGTCTTGCCCTTGTGATCCTTTTCTGTGTCTGTCACCAAGGAGATGAAACATGTTTCAAGCAAGGTAAGATGGCGTTTACATCCAGGATCGTTGTCTGGTGTCTCAGTCAAACTTTTTTGGTTGCATCACTTCTTGGAAACAAAAAACATTTTATGTAAAAAGTGTATGACTGTTATTAGAGATTTGTCATCAGCTCTTATTTCCTATGTAAATCATATACATGTTGAGTCATCATTGATGGACATGTGTAAAGAAATCAATTGCCATTACTCATTACTTAATCTATTCTTTTTCAGCTATTGCAAAGATTTGTAATGAGGTAAGTGTCTAAAGGATCATGGTACTCATTCTATTGTGTATTTACATATATGGTATAATTTCTCCTTTGTTTTCTGCAAACTGATGGCCATGTTCTTCTTTAGGGAAAGCAAGATGCTTCTCACAAGTCAAAGGAGTCAAGTCATCAGTTCCCCAGAGACTCATTCTGTGCAAAGCAGCAGCCACCGTCTCTCTCAGCAGCCAATCTGGGTACTGATGAGTGAAATGAAAACTTTCATGTGAAGAAAAGAGTTGACTCATTTTTTGGGTCATTAAGAAAATTAAAATAAAAGTAAAAGATGCAGCTGGGTTACTGTTATGAGTCTGAGTTGTACCTACTCTGTAAACTATATATTAATGCACCTCTGCAGGTCAACTAAAACATTCCTCTATGTGCACTCTTTACTTGTTAATGTCTCTGTAGGTTCAGTCCATGTCCACAATCCAGGGACGGTCATCTTCAGCTTGCTCAGCCAGTTTACAGGGCAAGTTGGTGCGACCATTGAAGGTGGGAAGGCAGCTGAGACAGTGGGAAGTGAAGAAGAAGACGAAAGAGACTGTCCTGTGTGTCATCCCACCTCCTCTCCCAGTATTCATCTCTCCGAGGAGGAGAGGAGTGGAGAGATTGACAGCATTTTCTTCCCCTCCCAAGAGCAGGGGAAGGACTGCCACATGTCCAAAGAGGAGGAGCTATGATACATAGCAAAATTCCCAGGGGATTTGTGTTGGTGGTTATGACTATGACCCTAAACACATCCTTTTAAAGGAAGGAATCATAAAACTGTCAAACTACAAATGAACGCGGAGCACATTTCATCTTCTGCTGGCAAACTGTGAAGGATTGCAGTGCTCTATGGTAACTTTATTTCCTGCAGGTTCTGGGAAAACTTGTGGTTGGTAAGCACCAGAAACTTTACTTCGTGATGAACAGCTGGAAGGTGATTTATTTTCTAAGTTTTAATTTAATAAATCCTGTAAATACTCTCTGATAAGCTCTGTCATCTTTCTAAAGTATTAGACCTGAATGTTTAATGTTTTGAATAAATATTAGGCTTTTTATTTACAATAAAAATTTATTTTGAAAAAAAAAACTAAGTACAAATGTATGTAAATTATTACAAAACATTCATGTATATGGATATGTATACTCTAAATAACTGCAGAAAAAAATTGAATTTATATATACATTATATATACATACAAATGTAAAGATGTGAAATATCTTTAACCTTTGTGTACCATAGTACATACCATCTTTTAGCAACACAGTGCACAATTTCTTACTCCTGCAAGTTGCAGTGTCCCACTCAGTATTTTCACTTTCTTCCACTTTCTTTTTCTCCATGTTTTTATACACTTTTTATCATCAATTTATCATATCAACGTCACAGATGTCAAACAGTCATATTTCCTCTCAAGAAACCGTATTAGTTGAAACTTGAAACATAAACTACGTCCTCTGTGGTCCCATTCGACAGCACGGACTGGCGTGATGTTTGGCCCCATTAGTTATACACATCCAAAGCAAATAAAGATATTTTGCATCGACTATGTGTCACTAACTGTCCGCCTATAAAATTCTTGCTCATCCAAGTTCGGGCTACACACCCGGCTGGTCGCTAGCTCACACATCAATAGGTTGGTCGCATTTCCCGCAGACTTCCTGAACAGGCTTGGATACATCCTCGTCCACAGAGCATTGTGATAGTGGTTGTTTCTCAGACAAAAAGTAGCCTGTACAACAATAGAGAGATTTTTGAAGAAATGAGATTGAAATATGAGGTAGTACTCACTTTAGATATTAAAAACATACATTCATGCATCATTATAAAATGATAAAAGTGCTATGCTCAATATACTTCCCGTATTGGTATATTGCTGAAGGGTTATCAGTTTTCTAACAATAATATAGTTACCATGCTTGGTGAGCCAATGCAGGAAGGGCTTGATTTTTGTTGCAAGAGCAAGTGCAATACCCATACACAGGAGGGCAATTATCACCAGGAACCACACTGTATCTGTGAGAATGTGTGAGAGAGACATTTTTGGAAAATGTATAAACACCCACAGGTGGGAGAGTTCAATCCTTTCATAGGCGCAGAATCATTAGCTGACTTTACCTCTGAGTGGCTTATGTGGTGTCAATGGTGTGATGGCTTCGGGTGTGGAGGCTGAAAGGAAATGATTGAAAAAAGAATTATGAGCTCAGTGTGGGCATCAATAGTTCATCTGTTCATGGTTCAGATTAGTCGGAGATAAAGGTCCCTTGTTTTTATCACTCTGATCAGGATTTACAATCGCATAGCATGATTTATTATTAACTTGTGTCACCTTGTGTGCACGACCGTACTCCATGGATACTACAGTGTAAACAAACAGTCACTAACTGAGGGGACAGCATGTGAGGAGGTTATCAACATGACTGTTTGTATTATTTTTAGTAGCTATGTCAGCATGTAACTGTTTCAGCTGAACAGACATTCTGGAATGCTGTAGTATGTTGCTATAGTTACATTAGAGTCTGAAGTGCTACAACTTATTGCCATGGTTGCAGTATTCTGTGTAGTACTACAACACATTGCCAAGCTTGCAGACAGTTCTTGTGGTTTTTTTTCTTCTATGACACAATTAATAGCTGTGGTCAAGCAGTGTGATGAACAGGGGCATAACTAGGAATTCTGGGACCCTTACAGAACCATGACCCCTTTTTATGGAGCCACTGTAGTGCCAAATGATAGAACAGATGGAGCAAAATATTATGTGTGCAAAAGTCATCCTCTATTATCATCTATTACACTGTCTAAATCTGCATGGTAACTCTGACAGCTGACTCCACTGTCCTTTAACCTGTTCAGAACCTAATTATGTTTCAAACACAAAAAAATAACTTATATGAGCTCATAAATCATCAGCAATAATAGAAATTATTAAAATGCTTTATCATGTGATATTTTTTAATAGTCTTGAGAGCATTTTTCAACAGTAATGCTTTAAAACACATTGCATATATATTCTGTATTATTTTAACAAAATTATTTATCAAAAATTAAATAAAACATTTCTCAAGTATCTCCAAAAAGCACTATGTTCAGAGCCCCCTGAGTTGAATATTCTGTGTACATAATCAATTGGATGCTGATTGTATCATTACTAAATCAAATAGAAACAGTATTTCCCTATTCAGCTATATGAATTTTTCCTATGCCATTTTGATGTACAAGTAATATAACAACTCATGCTTACTTTAAACACAGTTTAAACACAAATTATGTCATTAAAATGTTCCTTCTGCTAACTCCTTGCTTCACAGTTGGCCACGCTTGCTGAGGAAGGGGGTGTGGCTCTACTGCAGTCCATTTTAGGTGATATGAAACATTGTGATTGGCTGATAGACATCCAATGAAATAAGTTTGTGATATAGATCTTGTTTGCATCATATATGAATCTCATTCTGACAGTATGTCTTGTTTCCACTATATGCACTCATCATCTTGTTTTCAGAAAATAGTCTTTTGAACATCTGAGTCGCCACGTTTTCGAATGAAATAACCAAAAATAATTTATATAGTTACATTAGGTCTACAGTCATTATCATCTCTCAAGTAATAGTAGCTGTGATAAGCAGGATAATCTTGTCACATCACGATAAAATCTAGAGATCTATTTCTGTCTGTTTATCTCATTTAAACCAAAGCCTTTCAAAGGTGCACAATTCATACATAACACTAGCTGAAAATTGTGGTTTTGCTGCCCTTCTTTGGTTACCGGTTCAACCTGCACACTCACATCGGAGTGAGATGAAGTTATGAATGCAAGAGACCACACTTCTGACCACACCCCAGAGTGAGTGGTTGTGGTGCAACAAATGCTGAACCAGAGGGTTTAATGAAACTATTTATTGTCACATTGTTACTTCTATGGTAACCTTTCATGCTGTTGTAAACTTCATTTCCTAGAGTTTCCTTTACTATATATAGAATTTATTTGATCATCTAATCCAAAATGTTATTTTTCACGTTTTTATATTTAGAGTTTGTCTTTTTCAAACATGTGTATGAAAACTGATTTGAATGTGCAGATTGACAGAAATGGTGTCTTACTTGTAGTGGATAGAGGGAGTGTAGTTGACCTGCGTGACTTGTTCTCCATGTTTGCTATAAAAACAAAATAAAAAAAAAACAACAAAAAAACAGTTGTCAATATGAGAAGTATAATCATAACCTTTGTTTATGTTTGTGTTACTGACGAACACACGCATACGCAAAGGTTGTCTTTCAAACATGACAGTAAAGGTTATAATTCATGGTAATATGGTTATTTCTATGATAGCCTTTCATCCTGGTGTTAATTTCCCAGTGTTTTCCACACATTTACAGTTTGTATTTACAAATGTCCACAAAAATGGATTTGAATGTCCAGATTGATAGAAATGGTATGTTTTATGCAGAGTGAATCAGATGTTAATCAAATGGTAGCTTCCAAATGTAATGCAATTTAACTTGAGGAAAACTGGGTCTTTAATGCACAAAGTGTTAAAACCAATTTTTAACACAATTTTTCACTATTTCAACAGGTCTATGTGAAATGTGGGCATATCTTACTTATTGTGGATGGAGGGAGTGTGGGTGTGGTGGTTTCAGGCATTGGCATACACTGGGTGCAGGATTGGTCTTCGCATCTGTAGCCAGCTTTACATCTGCACACAGCATTATGACTGGCATTACAGCGTGACTTGTACTCCATGTTTGCTGTAAAAACAAAACAAAATTTAAAAAAACAGCTGTCGTTATAAGAAGTATAATCATAACTCTGAGTATGCTTATGAGTGTGACACAAACACAGAGACAAAGGTTGTCTTTCAAATATGACAAAAATCAGAAAATGTGAAATGACTCACAAACTGGGCATGGCAGGTAAGGTTTCTAGTTTTAGTCATAAGACGGTTATATTATCACTTTAGAGACAGACACAACTGTTATGTCTCAGTGAAAGCAGTATTTCATTTTGATTAAACAGTTTCTTCCTAACAGGATGCTTTAACGAGCATAGTTCAATGTGATCAACAAATTAGCTAACAGAAAACTACTTATGAGTTTCATTGAATCTTTTATAGTCATCACTTCACATTTATTTTCATAAAACAAATGTTTGAAAATGTTAAAACTAAAACAGTCAAAATCATAATTATAATTTTACGTCATTTCGGGTCATAGTTCAGAGAGACTTCATATCTTAGTAGTTTAATTTTTTTTTACATTAACTGAAGTATGTACAGAGTATATACTGTCACTAAAAGAACTGGTACAAAATCAATCATAATCTCAGACACAGACTTCTGGCCTTTGCTATACTGGACTGTTTCCCAATGCTGGAAACCAAATGTCCTCACAAGCAACACCAACAGATTATCAAGAAAAAAAAAAAAGCTGCAGGTGAAGTGAATTTGGCAATGTATACTGATATTCTTTTAGCTTGTTGTCCTCACTGGGAGGCCAGAGGTCACAGTTCACCACAGAGCAGTCAGTCGGGGGAATCTGGAGCTGGCAGGGATTCTTACTCTGTTGCTCCTCAGCAGGGTTGAGTTGGTGGGTTTGAGCAGGTTGTTACTCCACTCACTACTTCACTCTGCTGTCCCATGGTAATCCACTATAATACAAGTCTTCAAACTGCATTTATTCTAAGATTCCTACATTGTGTTATCACTGGCTATGCAAGCCCTTGGAAAAAGATAGAAACAAGCATAAAGTTTATGGCTGATGCCTGATTCAGATCAATAGATATAACCGAGGAGGAAACTGATGTCATTTGAAAGGATTTGAGGACTGAAAATGATATTGTATGGGAAAATATTAGTAATAAAGTGGCATGTGAAACTCCGTTTGCACATCCAAATCCTTGCAAATGATAACTCCCAGACAAAGACCAAAGGACAACTGGAAAAAACAAAAATTCTTGTATTGCATACATGTGTGAGATTTTTGTGTGGGTTGAATCACTTCCACCTGAATTACTTTCCATAGCCTTTAATCAGCTCGAAGCCTCTGCATGTGCTTTTGACATTTTGAACACCCACCCTCATCCCCCCAGATTCTAAATATCTGTGCTATAAGGGGTTCAAAGGTAGCTAACAAAGGTTTCTGCATGTATTGACAGATTTTAAAGGTCTGCTTACAGTTGCACTGTTAGCACTGGATTGAAAATTGCCCGCCCTTTGGTTACAATAAGTAAAGATTAAAAGTCAGTAAGTCAAGTAAATGCTAAAACATTCATGCACCCATAATTCAGACTTTCTCTCACTTCTGTGTGTTCTCTCTTCTATGTTTTCCACAGTGACATTTAGAAATAAGCATAACCGCCTGTTTGCTCACCTGTAGCAGGGCAGAGACCTGAGTAATAACACATGTCTTTTGTGTCTGCTGCTCTTTCCGATGTTTACCACTTTTCTGTGTTTTTCTTTTTTTTCCACCAGCTTGATGATGGTCTATTTTTTCAGCCTCCTCCTGTTCTTACCACTGTTGGTGGGCTGCGCTGCTGATGCTATCATGTCAACATGAATGTCTGCTTCAGAAGCCCACCCTTCTAAACCCCCCTGAGCTGGTTCATAGAGGGTTTCTCAGACCCTCCCCTCCTCTCTTTCATCTCTTTCTGACTATATCCCACCATGATACACAGAAAGGGAAATCCCCCTTGCATATGAGGTTTCTATGGGCAAACTTCTCTGAAATAATGATGTACAGATAGAGTTGAGAAGCGATGAATCACTCACATATGATCCTCAAAAGACAGACACACATGTTTTTTATAGTATTGTGTGTCAAAGACATTTAGGTCATATCACAACCAGTCCACATGCCATCTGCCTGTGATTCAGCTCTATTTCTTAAGATTTCCAGAACTCTTCTTCTGCCTGTATATCTGTATACCTTTAAAGCATTCCTGGATCTCTGTGACCAGTGGCTGTACAATACAATATCATATAAACTGTATTAATATCATTGCTGTTACCAAGACCGTCCCTGTTACAGGTCTAAATTTAAATGCAACTGTCACACAGCTCAGGTCTCACATGTACCCCCTCCCCACCCCAAGACAAAAGCTCTAAAATTACTCACATTTTAGGCAGGTTGTGCAAATACTGCAACTCGGATCCACATTGTCAGAGTCACTGTATCGGTCCCCTATGCACAGGGTACACTCAATGTCACAAGAGTTTTCTGAACGCCGAACCATTCGTTGACCTAGAATACACACAGAAGATCACAGTTATAACCTGTCTGCATTAAAACTATAAAATGTAACGAGATGAAAGGAAATCACCGTACCTGGCGGACACTTTTTACAGCAAAACTTGGCTTCTTTCATCGGCCAGGGATATTGTGTCGTGTTGCAGTGTATGGAAAGCACAGAGGAGAGGAAAGACAGACTGCACAGGGCAGTAAAGGCAATATAACAAAGTGGCTGCATCTAGGAAAAAGGAAACGAGGAAGAAAAAAGAGAGGGAGGAGGATGAGCAGAAGGAAGAGGAGGAGGAAGAGGAGGAGGAGGAGGAAAACAATTATTTAGGCAGATACAGTCACATATAACACCAACAGAGACTGGGTGAAAAAGTTGACATCAGTAGTGCTTTACAGTATGATAGACACTTAATTCATAATTAAATAAACACATTTCAGATTTGAAAAATATATAACATATTTATAGTAGATCCAGAAATTTTGCCTTATAGTAATCCAAACACTCTACAGACTTTAAAGCCAACTGCAAGTGAGATTACAGGAACATTACTATATGAATCTACTGACATTCATCATGATAGGACACTGAAGGTCTGACCAACAGCTATAGCTGAAAATGTCTAGCTACAGTACTTACAGCAGACGAGTATCAGTGAGACGAGATGTGACCTGGGACCCTCTGAGTAGAAGACTGAACAGTGGACCAGAAGTATGTCAGGGGATTATTCATAAAATGATGAGTGATGACTCAATGTGAAAGAAACACTTAGACGGTGGTGTCTTTGAATACTCTCTGTCCCGCTTTCTCATCCTGTCTGTCTCATCCTGTCTGCCGCGACCCCCCCTTGGCTCGGTGCACAAAAACATGCCCTCCTCCAGCCTCCACTTTTTTCCACAGGCACCATCTCTCTCTCTCGTTTCATCCAAAATCAATCTTTTGTCTCCAAAGCTTCTAATACACACTCTCTCTCTCTCTCTCTCTCTCTCTCTCTCTTTCTCTCCTCCTCTCCTTCTCAGAGTTGGATGACAAGGTCATTTTAGTAAAATATCATATGCCACTCATTTAACTCCAAAACATTCTGTTGCTGTTACACAGAGCTGTCGCGAAGATAAACATTATTCCAAGAAACAACTCTATGACACACAGGAGTATTGCTTTTAACAATACCAAATACACAGATAAGATCAAAATTCCTTATTAAAAAGTGACATTAGTCATCATGAGTGTGAAAATATCAAATGTAACGTAAACAATCTGATATTTCTGCTCTCAGATGTAGTGAGAAAAAGGAGAGGTAAAATTAATGCTTTTATTATCTGACATAAAACGCACACAGTTACACCTCTTCTGATGGTTAAGTCATGTAATTTGAATTTGAATTACACCAAACTATTGTCAAGAGAAGCAATAAGTGAGTTTCTGAGAAATTCCAGTGCAAACTTTGTAGGAGTGACAACTTTTTGACTTAAGTAGCAAAAACTAAAAACTTGCATTTGTGTGCAGGTCTTTCCCAAACACAAACACGCTAAATCTTGTGGATACTTTTTTAAGTTGACTTGCCAGTGTCTTTATTTTTTTTTTTTTAGTTTAATTTAGTTTTTTTGTTTGTTTGTTTGTTTTAACCATAACGGCTTCTGCAACATTCCCATCTTATATTAAGAGGACTGAGAGGCTGAAGTGCCACCATTCAGCTGTCATATTGTATCCACTCACCAATGTGTTAGTCTCTGCCTCAGCTCAGTTTTCACAGAAACCAGACCACAACACGTGACCTCCTGTCAACTGTGAAGCGGGGACTAAGACTGAAGAAGTAGCGACTTAAAGGGGCTGCCTCAGAGGCCCCATGTTTGCTCTTCGCAAGCAGCAACACTCAAACAGAGTACAGTGATGACTGGAAGAGAGATGACTGAGCAACAAAATCACTCTTAACTGACTTAGAGCAAACCTGGTCATGCTTATCATGAGGTTTCACTATAAATGTTGCTTGACCGTAAGGATTAGTACGTTTGATTAGAAGTTCAAGAGGTTCTTTGCCAGGAACCTGTTGGTGGTGTTGTGATGAAGTAAACAGGTAATTAAACAAAACTATTTTCATGTGGCTAGAAACACTAAATTTATCCGCCGACTTAGAGCTGGGCCTTCCAGTCCTCACTGCTGGCCTAAAATACTGTGTGAAACTTGGTGTGAAATGAGTGTTTGCACGTGCACATATGAGAAGACCTACTTTAAGTGTCTGTATACAAAATGTGCCAATGTAGGGATTTGACACAGAAAGAGAGTGAGGAGGAGTAGAGAGATGAAGACACGTTTTTTTTGTTTGCTCATTGAAAAGGAAGGATGTGGTTTTTCTGAGGAAGTACTTGTCGAGCTCTGCTGACTGAGCTCTTTCATGTACTGTAGCAGGAAAAGTCATGAGGCTACACTCTGCTGGATTGCTGAATAAAGTCTCACTCCAACCTCTTTTTAAAATGTATCTTATTTATTACCTGTTTTTATTATGATGTCAGTAATTACTACTTACTTCATTGCCTGCGCTCACTCTGTGCTACAAACCTGAAAGATATGGGAAATTTTCACTATGAACCCAAAACACTTTATTCTGTCTAATTAATTAATTTTCTAATTAAGGGGTTTACTCAGGAGTTGATTAATTAATTTCATTTATTATGAAATTTTGTGAATAAAACAGATTGTTCAGTGGAAAATTAATGCATACAGAACTATTATTTCTATTCAGTGCTTATCCCTAATCTATGACTGATTACATCAGATCATCCTCAATTTGACATCTAATTATAATAATAATAATTATAATAATTTTGCACCACTAAAGTATAAACTAAAGTGGGACTATGTTTTATGACCATAGTCTGACCAATGCTGGATTCTTGAGGCAGATACCAATATTGATATTTTAAAAACTATCATAACCACATATTGGTTCATAGTAGTTTGCAACATGAACGATCTTGATATAGATTAGCCTTTTTTTTTTTTTTTTTTTTGTGACTAAGATTCATTCTGAATCTTTTACAGTTGAAAATCAACTTGTTCTCTGGTGGCCTGGTGGCCTAGATTGTGAAATGCCCTTAAATGGACAAATAAATGATTTTAAGTTTAAGATTTGAAATTAAGTTTAATTAATGGAAAATTCCTTCTCCTTCCTTAAAAGGTTATTTATGGTCATCATTAGCAGGCTTTTAAGGTTGCAGCAATTAAATCTCTAATTAAACAGCCTTAATTGATCCAGATGTTTTAGCCAACTACCATGTCCAACCCTTTATTATATTTCCTTTTTTAATTTACTTTATACCCCATTTCTAAAATCCTTGAAAAGGCTGTGGCAAAAATAATTATGTAATTATTTGCATAGAAACAGTATGTTTGAAGATTTTCAATCATGATTTAGAGAACACCAAAGAACGGAAACAGCACTGGTGAAAGTTACCAACGATCTGCTCATGGCCTCAGACCATGGATTCATCTGTATACTTGTCATGCTAGATCTTACTGCTGTATTCGACAACATCAATCACAAGATTTTATTGCAGAGACTGGAACATGTCATTGGGGTTAAAAGAGCTACACTAGGCTGGTTTTTATCAATGGATTCCAGTTTGTTCATGTTAATGACTCTTCCATGTTCACAAAAGTTAGTCTTCATCATACAGTTACTGTGAGGAACCCTCGAGTCATTATTGACCCTCTCACATAAATCAATAGCCTTCTTCCCCCTTCAAGTCAAGTCAAGTCAATTTTTATTTGTATAGCGCCAATTCACAACATATATAATATTACACATAACATATTATAATATTATTTACGGAGACCCAACAATTCCCACCGAGAGCAAGCACAAGGCGACAATGGCAAGGAAAAACTTCCTTTTAAGAGGCAGAAACCTCGAGCAGAACTGCACAAAGGGTGGGCGGCCATCTGCCTCGACCGGTTGGGTTGGAGAGAGAGAGAGAGAAAGAGAGAGCGAGAGAGCAAGAAAGAGCACAGAAGAAAAGAACAACAACGTACAATGATAGCAATATTAATATTGCCTCCACAATACTGTGAATATTAGAAACATCCTGTCTCAAAAGGATACTGAAAAAACTTGTCCATGTTTGTGTTACCACTAGACTGGACTACTGTGATACCTTATAATTAGGATGTCCCAATAACTCTGTGAAAAGCCTCCTGTTGATCCAAAATGCTGCAGCGCAAGCACTAGAAAAAGGGAATTAGAATTAGAGATCATATGTCTCCCCGTGTTAGCTTTTCTGCATTGGCTCCTTGTAAAATCCCAAATCCTTCTCCGTACATGCAAAGCCCTTCATGACCAAGCTCCTTTGTATTTTAAAGATACGATAGATATGATACCTCCCCATGCCCCATGCCCCATGCACTTATATCACACTATACTACATACTACTGTATGTTTGTAACCACTACTGTATGTTTCTCTCCAGATCTGCTACTACTACTCAACACTCACCATCATCATTCTTAATTATACTATTATTATTATTATTATTATTATTGTTATTATTAATCTTATTATTATTATTATTATTATTATTATTAGTAGTAGTAGTAGTAGTAGTAGCAGTACACACATAATAATCTCTATTATTACCATTATAACAACCAGTTCGCTAGTGTTTGAATACAGCGGTATGTAGCCTACAGCTGTTCCTCGTCTTTTACCCCCTCTCCACCCCCTTCCTCCCTCTTCCTTAATTCTCTCCTCTCAACCCCCCGCCAACCCTCAGACCGGTTCTGTGGATATCTCTTCCTGTTACAATTGAGTGCATCCTCTCTACTGGCGCCAAGAACTCATGGTGTGAATTGTTGGGGTTCTCTCTATAATATTGTAATGTCTTGACGTTTTCAGTGCCTTGGAATAATGTAGGGCTACTGTACGTCATGATTTGGCGCAATACAAATAACATTGAATTGAATCTTAATTCTAATTATATAAATGTAATGTTTTCTCCTATTCAGTTACACCGTTTACTACTTTTATGCCTGTTTGTCATTAAGTAATGATAAATGAATGTAAATCTAGGGTAGTGTTAGTAGTGTTGGGATAAGGAGCACTATGCACTTCTGGGTCACCTGCAGACTTAAAGGCGCCCTCCTATTTGTATTTCTCTTCAGACAGATTTTCAGAGTGTGTTTGTTTTTGTCACCCACATGTGCCTTCTTGCCAAACTCCGCTTCGCAATTCCTTGAAATGTGCTCGTGACGCAGCTATTTCCCGTTTGAGTCCTCCCCCGCTCGTCTTCAGACGAGATGGGCAACTAGGCTGTCGCTGTGCTTTGGATAAAAAAAAAATAAACTACATTGAATATACATTCATGTCGACTTATGGACCTGATGTAAAGAGATATCTGTCGGCCTAGCAGCAGTTGTCCAGGTAAGTCGCGGTAAAATACCTCTGCATGTGAATCTGAGGGAAGGAGAGATTAGTATCAGGCTTCTGGCTGTAGTGGGCGTTATGTGGTGTGTACTAGCTAAATCGAAACTCATGAGACAAAAAAAAAAAAATAACTGTAAAATCTTGTATGGATTTCGTTCTTAAATATGTCAATCTTATCTGTAATTGCATTAGTCGTCAGGTTCACCTTTGAAGGTTTTAAAGTGACTTCGTTGTCAAAGTTCGTCAACTCTCAGCCTTTCACAAAACAGGGAAGTGAGGGTGAAGCTGGCGAACAAGTCTTTTTTTTAACTGACAATAAAGCAACTGTGTTTATTGTTTTACAAACCATTTACCCCATATCATAGCCTCACATTTGTTTCCTTTTTGTTTGTTAAATCACTTAACATTACTTAAAAAGCTAATTAATGAAAGAGGTGAATGCATTGTTTTATTGAGACCACCTTAAATGACCCTGCTTACATTCAGTTATAATGAAAAAAAAAAAAAAAATCAACCAAGAACTTAAAACAGGCAAAAATAAATAAGAATAATTGTGACTTTTACAGTTTTAGTTTCATAACAAATAATAACCGTGGTCTCTTGTTTATCACAGTCGACCTTGCAGATACTTTCATTTTCGCTGTTTAGGTGTTGACAAAACCTCCTATGAAACTGAAGCCCCCTCCCCAATCTAATGGTTAATCAAGTTAACCTGCAGACCTGTCATCTAATTTCAATTGTACTGTATGTATTTCTTTGTTAGAAAGTAGATCCAATAAAAAAAAAAAAATCCCTAGCAAAGTGTAGGCCTATGGATTATCCTGATTATCCTGATTAATAACTTGCAGATGGTTGTCATTTTTCACAAATGAAATTCCCTTGACCTTTATTGTATTTGGTTGGCAGCAGAACCTTTAAAGATGTATGTCTTACTGCGGGGGTTAGATACTATTTCTACTGTGAGAACATGTTTTTTTGTAATTTGGGTGCGTTGAACCTTTCACGTAATAAAGTCAGGGGTCATTTAATGTAGTTTGGATAAAATTGATATTTATTTCCATGTAAATTACACACAAAGGGATTTAAAACTTTCCTCCTGACTAGTGCTGTAATGAGTAAATCCCTTAAAAACCCCTTAGAGCCACTCAAGCAGTTCTGTGAGGCTGTAAAAACCAACATTTTGGATGGATTAAAAATAGAGAGAACCATTTGCTGGTTATAAATATATATGTATATGTATTGTATATGTATATGTGTTGGGAATAAGCATCACAAGCACAACATAAACTGACATGATAAGAGACCTAAGGCGGGTCTTGCTTAATTTTCTGCATGGGGCTTACAAGCAGAGAGAGGCCATGGGTGTATTAAGGTTCATGTTTCATATTGATAAAGTTACATGAATAATTACAGTAAATATTTGAGTACATAACACGGCCAGCAATGCTCTAATCATGAATGTATCCTGTATAACAAAAACAAACAGTCTAGTAGTGTAGCATTATAAACATTTTAGCTTTTAAGATGAATAAAGAGATGAACAATTAATCTTGATTTATTTGTAAACTGAAGGACATTTAAGGTATGGAATAATGACTTTTTTTGTAGTTGTAGCTATGTGTGCCTGGAGCGTACAGTCATTCAGCAAAAGTCTAATATGGCTACTGTATAGTATTTCTTTGGATTTAAAGGTATTTTACCGTTTACCTTGCAGGTGACCTCAGATGGATTGAGTTAAACCTGTATGACAATGGAGGGGGCTGGGCACAGAAGAAGATGGATTAAAACGGCCCATTATGGCATAACACTGCTTCTCATGGTGAGAAAAACCTGAAGTGCTTCACTAAATACTCAATAAACTGGAAAACCTGCCTTATAAATGATCATAAACAATAAATGTTTTCTTTGAAAATTCACTGTATATTCTATGTTGCAGTGCATGTTAACTTTGGCAAGTTTAGAACCTTCAGAGAAGAAGAAGTGTGAGACTGGGGAATATGAAAGTGAAAATGGAATTTGTTGCAACAAATGCCATCCAGGTACAGAAACACACATAAACACCCAATAACATGCTCATTATTGGAAATATCACACAAGTGAATGTCTTCTTCTCCTATTAGATCAATATACAAAGTCTTAACTACGTTTACATGTGACATTAATGTTTTTCAGGTTTTAAGCTTAGAGAAGAATGTCATTTTCCGGGTCAGAGAACCAACTGCACGCCCTGTCCTTATAATCAATACATGGACAATATGAACTCTGCCCTCAACTGCAAAAGTTGCAGAAGTTGTACAAGTAAGTAACATTCCCTTTTACTGACTTTAACCCATTGGATTTATCAGTGTTGCACCAGTTAATGGTTTGCTTTGTTCACTTTTTTTCTCTCCACAGAACGAAATGAATTTCAGTTCTCGCCATGTAAAAAATATGAAAACACTATTTGTCGGTGTAACAATGGTTATTACAAATATGACATTGATGGAGACACATCAGAGTGTCGCAAATGCAAACAATGTGGTCCTCATGAAAAGGAAGAACAGAAATGTGAGTGTTAAGATGAGACAATGCTTATTATTTACACTAAGGCTCAGCTTTGTCAGTGTAAAAGCTTTCTCTTTATTAATTATTTGGCCCATCAAGTATTTCCTCTGAGTTGTGTTAATATTATTATTCTTGTTGTGCACAGGCACACTGCAGGAAAACACTGTTTGTGAATGTAAGGAGAAATACTACAAAGTCAAGGGCAAATGTGAACCCTGCGAGAAGTGAGTACACTGTTTGTTGTTTGTGAACACTGTTCCCATTCTGCTGTCTGGGATGCTTTTTTTTTGTCACTGATGGGGAAGTTGGTTTGTTGAATTGAAACTTGCAGTACACTTCCGACTTTGTTCAATCTTTCCATTTGTCGGCAACAGAAGGGAGAAGTTAGACACTAAAAACTGGGTTACTGTGACATTTATTAAGAGTGCTCATTTCTTAAGTATACTGACTCATAGGCACCTGTTTCACCCCCCAAATATACTGTCTGCCTGGTTCACTGAGGGAGATTTGAGACAGGGTATGATTGAAATATACAAAATTACAAAAAACATTTGTTTGCATAGCTTGCTTAATACGAGGATAGAAAGTAAAATTTGGTAAAAGTTTTTTCCTGGTTAGACAAAACAAAATTGCTTATTTAAAAAATATTTTGAAAATGGGTGATCTATATCAGGGTAATGCCTAAAACTCCCAGCTTCAGTGAGGATTGTGTAGGTGGACAGACACAAAGATATTTGTTATAGATAAAAGAGGAAAAAGGAGGGGAGCCCAGAGGAACTTAACTGCCCATAGATCCCACAATCCTTAGCTACACTCCTGCCACACAAACACCTGAGTGTAGCCATTGATAGTGATTGTGACAAATAAAGTGTTATCTCTCTTTCAAAATTTACCAGGTTCCTGTGTAGTGGTTAACATACAGTTTACTGTTGTTATAAAGATGTCTTGACCTTTGTGTTAATCACTTCCTCTTGAGATGTACTACTTCCTCTACAATATTGTGAAATGTTCTGTTCTCCACAGATGTACCACTGAGTGCGCACATCTCTGTCCACATCTGCATACAAAAGGTGAGCACTCGTGTCAGATGTATGATTATCAGGCCAGCTTTCATGTGAAAGAGTCAATAACAATAGGATTGCTATAAGAATAGAGTTGCCTTATAATAAATATTGGTGAAAACCTGTAGCTTGCGTAGCCATACGTTCTGCTCTTCTTGTTTGCAGAAACACTGAAACATAATATCAACAAGGTGTAATCAACTCCAGCTGCACTATAGTCATTTTAAACTGGTTAACCCATCCATCCATTTTCTGCCACTTGTCCAAATTTGCATTCTATATGGTATTAAAAAGGGCTGAAATTTAACTTGGTGAACCCTTCACAAACCCTGAAAAAAAGTGTTTTTTTACAGATGTGCCTTCTTCATTAGGTTTTATAACAACAGAACGTAGTTTAGTTGGAATAAAAACATTGTTGCTCTTTTAACATGTATCCGTCTTTTTTTCTCATGTGTCCCTTGGGATCCTCGTGAAGCTCCTGACAAAGGAAGTGGATTTCTTATAAACGTAATTGTTGGAGTTGTATCTGTGGGTTTTCTATTGTTGGTGTCCGTGGTTCTTATCACCTACATAGTCACAAAAAGGTGCACCCAGAGGGAGTTGCAAAAACCGCCTTCCCAACCATCTGATGTTTCCCCGGACTCTTGCGAGGTATGCCAATCTGTCTTTGGTTCCTTTTCCCTACCGGAAGTACATCTACAGTCAGCCTACAAAATTTGATCTACTCTTGTTTCATAGCAGGTCCTTATCTGCCGCGAGGAACCTTTGGACAACAGCAGTGTCAAAGCCATTTCCCAAAGCCCTGTGAGTGAACAGCAGCCATCCAATCTGCCTGACTGTGTCCCCCTGGAAATCAAGAGTGAGTGTATTTTATACTGTGCATAGCAGCACATGCTCCTGACCAATGGTCCAGAGTGTGTTGGCTCAAACATACAGTAAACTATTGTTCTAACTCTTATCTCTTCCCCTCAACACACCCCTCCCCTCTTCTTTCCCCACTTCTGAAGTCACTGACCTGATCTACACAGTGCTGGATCTGGTTCCTGTGCTGCAGGTGAAGCAGCTGGTGCGTACTCTCGGTGTGACGGATACAGAGATCGAACAAGCTGAGGTGGATCACAGATCCTGCCGGGAGGCTCACTACCAGATGCTGCGGGTGTGGGCTGAGAGAGGGTCTCGTGCAAGTGGAGGAGGACGAGGTGGAATGCTGCACTGGTCATTGATGCAGGAGTTGTCAGACATACTGAGAAAGATGCACCTGGGAAGGGCGGCGGAGGAGCTAGAGACAAAGTATGGCATTCAGTAATCCTCTCACACGAGCCAAGTGGAACAAAAAGCTTATGAAACCAAGTACTGCTCCCTCCAAAGACTCACTCACAGACGGCCTCAAAGCTTACACAAAGACACGGGGCTACCACCAAAGCAGCAGTTCTATTTCACAGCTAACCAGCATCATTGAGCACTCTACCTCTCATACCCACCATCTGCTGAGATGACAAGGTCAAACTACTGAGAGGGACTGATCAAAATGTTCAGGTTCAGAGCCACAAATAGGTTTTTGCACTAATAGATTGTGCTCACCCTTTTGTTAAAATTTTTTAAGGAATAGTTTGACATTTTGGGAAATGGGTCTCATTCTCTTTCTTTCCAAGAGTTAAATGAGAAGATTGACACCACTTTTATTGATCTTCTCATCTAACTCGGCGAGAGTGAATACACATATTTCCCAAAAAGTCAAACTAATGCAACAGGCCACGAAGCCTGCTGAAAAAATGCGCTGTTTCTTTCATGTCACTATACCGTCTGATTACATACTAGAGTGATCACTTAAGTTTTATTGACTGTAATTTGCACAGTATTGTATTTTCATGTTGCTTTATCAACTTTTTGTTGTACAGCAAACCTTTTTTACCATCCTTTGTCATTTGTAGTTTAGGCCAATGAAATCCCTCCATTTGTGTCAAAAGTCACTATTGCAGCTATGTTAAAATATTTAAGTACATGGGAAGTGAAAAAGTTAAATGGTGACTATTTAGCCTGTACCATAAAGTAAACCGGTATTCTTTTAATAGTTGTTCCTGGTTGTACTGAAAAAAACAAAAACTAAAGAAGTTCTGGTCTTCTTTATCAAACTTTGATTGGAAAAGTAACAAATTAGCTGTTCCTACTTAGTGCTGACCAGACCCCTGCCACTTTTAACAAGCTTTTCATAGCCCCATTAGCATTCTTTTAAGCCCCATCATAGACGCATTATTCATTACAGTTGAACCAAACAGGACACGCCTTGTCTGTCTCAGCCAGGCAACTTTTATAATACCAGTCCGAGCCTGTAGACTCAGATATGAATCAGTCACACTCTTACAGACCTGGCATGCCAAAGCACTTTTGCCCTGTTTGAAACTGTATTATACTTTTATATAGTGAATAAATGATGAATATATGTTTTGTGTATCTTTGTGTATGTAACTGAGGTGTGCCATAAATCTGTCTGGAGGCTTCAGACAGCTGTCATAAAGAGAGCTTACAAGCTGATTACAAGCATACAACCTGAGATTGTATGTGTACGTTAGTGGGCAAAGTGGAAAAAAGTAATGTGTAATGAGGATGTATTGTTGTATTTAACTTCAGCCACGCTGCCAATATACATTCCACCCTGACGCTTTAAACATTTAATCACATTTGTAAGGACTTCTTACCACATATAGATTCAACTCTTAAGTCTTGTCTCTTTTTTTTTGACCTCACATGATCTTTTCATCTTTTTTTTGTTTCCTGTCGCTACATTCTTTTGGCTTGTGTTCTTCCCCATAACTCACTCCTTCTTGCCTCTTGCTCTAGTCTGTTCTCCATTTTACTGTGCTATGAAACACCAGATTCTCATGGTTGATTTCATATCAATGCCTTTCTTTCTGTCACGTAATGAACAAAAGCAGCTGCTGCTTAGATGTATGAAAACAACCCCCCCCCCCCCCCCTCCGTTTTCTGAGGGTGATCAATAAGCCTGATTGACATGAATTAACAACAGGTCACCCACAACGAAATCAGTCACCGCCTCAGCTCCATTAAGGACTTATAACTGCGACACATTAACCAGCCCTAAGCACTGATTTGTTGGCAGCAGAATCCAGTTGTTCTCGTCAGGCCAGTTGCAGAGGGCAGGGGTGCAGGTGAAAGCAAGAGAGGGAGGGACCCATCTAGGTGAAGGGAAAGAGGAGGAGAAAGCTAACAGAAACCAAAGATGACTGTGTGAAACGAAATGGATTCAACCAAGCCCAGGTAAATTCTACCATTTTATCTATTATTAAATATATCTGGCAGTTGAAGTATGGTACTTAAGGAACCTTTTGTTTAGTGTAAGTTGCAGTAAGTCACCTTCATGTTAAAGCCTCTGTGTGGATATATGGATTGTTTTGTGGGATTTGATTTGTTGATTTACTAACGCCGTAAAGCTACCATGATGCCTTGTTTTGTTGTCCTTTTATTAAGCTTTACATGAGCCGAAGTCTTACAAATCAAATATAATTGTATTTCAGACACCTTTAGTGTGTTACTGTGGGACACAGACAGTGATTGTAAACAGGTATGACAGCGTGATGAAAGCACTTGCGTCAAGCCTTTGATCTTTGACAACATAGTATGAGCACATTAGTGCAGCGTTCCTAACTACAGTGTGTTTGCTCATGTGAGCGTCTTTGCTTTTAGAATAACTTCTAAAACAGAATAAATGACAAATACGATTATGAATACCAGACCAGTCAGAAATCCTACGCTGCACTTGTGTAACATTAGTCCTGCTGAGTGGCATTTCTCTAATGACTGCGAAACTAAATTGTGAAATATTTCACTAAGAAACACAGTAGGTTCCTGAAAATAGAGACACATTCTGTTGTAACCTAAATATATAAGTTGTGATGTTAGGTTTGTGGGAACTACTGTCAGATGAGTCCTGGAGTGACATTACAGGCTGCCTGACTGTGTAACTGGAGCTGGAGCCGTGAAACTATCGGTGTCCTGTTAAATCAGCTTCACCGTCTATATGATACAACAGTTGTGGCTTCAGCTTCTTAATTTACTGTTTACTATTAGTGCATCCAATTATTTGAAATAGAAAACAACTTTGTCAAGACTAGCTTTTTAAAAAAAATTATATTTTACTTCTTGTTTTATTTCTGCTGCGTAAATTCTGTGTGTTTGTTACCATCCTGCTTGACCTGGTGCTACACAGTGTACGTCTATAGAAAACTGTAAGGGGATGTTTAGTAATTCCTTGTTTGGACACCTGTATTTTCAATATGAGGAACTGATTACCCACAAAACTCAAAGAGGGCCAGAACTAGCATCAGCTTAAACTCAAGTTGAAACAGTTTTTAAAGAGGGGTCAGTCTTATTTTATTTTGTGATTGTTTGCATTTTGTACTGTTTTGTATAATTATTATTTGTACCTATAAAAATACACATTGATTAACAATGAAAAGGAAGGAAAACGATTATGGTTGAACTGTTCAGAAGCAGTATGAAACCTGTGACATGCAGACTTGGCTTTATTTTGAAGGGTCAGAAGCCAAAAAGGTTTGGAACCAACAATTGAAACACAGCCATCCACATTTGTTGTTTACCAAGGATTTATAAAGCTTTAGCTGCTGAAAAGGAAGTGTGAGTAAACCCTTATCATAACAAAGCACACAATTTCCCTCCATCTGTCTTCCACTCTCTGTGCCTTTCTTGCAAAGCCTTAAACTATTCACCTCTGTGCCCTCACACACCTTATTTTGGCAATGAGTAACCATGTTTGTTTATCCTCAGCCTTTCCTCAAAAGCACTGCATTTAACCAGTGGTGGTGGAAATGAATCACCGATGGAGGAAGGATCAGTGCTGCGGCGAGACAGTATGGACGGGGAGAGGCAGAGGGACGGTGACAGCAGAGAGACGGATGTTGCTGATGGGACGACAGCAGCCGCAGAGATAAACCATCACCACAAGGGGTCAGCAGACAAACACAAGTTCAATACACTGGGCTATCAGGCAAGTGACGTGACAGAAACTTAACCAAGTACATTTAATCAGGTACGGTTATGATGTACTTCACGTTAGTAATTCCATTTTATGCTGCTTTATACTTCTACTCATATATTTTACTTCTATAAAGATCTTCCTTTCAGGCCATTTAAGTCCATTATTGAGTCTTTAAAGTTTTATTTCCTTATGAGAAATGAAAAAAAAATCTGCCATTGTTCTAGGAATATGTCAACCTGTTTTCAACCCAAATCAACTTTTTTCAAATGTTCAACAATTTAACAAGAAAAACTGGTTGAAATATTCTCACTCCAATACAAAATCAGATTTTTAGGACCTAATTATTGACGGAAATGTCGTTATACCTAACACTTCATAAATTGATTAAAGTTTTATTTGCCTTGACCAGCTACAATAAAAAATGCTGCTGGGCCATATAAAAGTACTTTTATTTTTGTTACTTTAGGTGCATTTTGTTGAAAATACTTGTTGGACCTTTATATTAATGTATTACCTTTATATTGATGTATTACCTCTTTTACCATAGTAAAGGGTCTAAACACTTTTCCTACCCCTGAACATTACTCATCTCATAGTGTCAAAGTGTTAAAAGTATTAAATTCAGAGGAAATGCCACTTCTAGATATTAGATACTGGTTTTGACATCTGTAAAACAAAAACATGGATAAATAAGCACTGTCTTGATTCATATATTGCTCAGTTTCTTATCTTAACTTATCTCATGAATGTTGGTTGATATAATCTTTAAAATATGTGTGATCTTCTAATGAAATGCTCTACTTGAAAATGCACGAATGTTTGACTTTCCAGAGGCGGACCAAGCAGAAAGTTGTGACTGACTTTGCAACACTGAGTAAAGGAACATCTGCAGCAGCCAAACCCAGAGCGGCCCTGAGACAGGTCCTGTTCAGCCAGGGAGTGTCTGACAAGAACCCTGCTTCTGAGGTATTATGTTGTCTCCCGCTCATCACACTACATGCTGACATGTGTAGAAACAGATACAGACTTGCTCTAAACCGTGTCCGCCCACTCAAACAACTAAAACAACCACTGCAATGTTTGTTCTACTTCGCTGACATAGCCTACACTGCGATGTAACGACCGACCACAAGTTTTCAAACAACTGTTGAAGATCACTTCTAAGTAGTTACTGATTCATTATTACATCAAATTTTCCCCCCTTTTTTTTTCTACCCGACTTCTCTATCTTTCAATCCGTCTCTTTCTAACTCCTCAGGAGCGAGGTCAGCTGGATGTGTTAAAGCACACTCTGCAGACCTTTCGTGTGCCAGTCAGTCTGAAGTGGAGATGGAAGGAGGAAAGTGAGGGAACAACACTCGAGAAGAACTGGACGGATATAGTGGAATCTCATTCAGTACGGGCCTTTTCTTTGCGTGAACAAATTCCCTGAAAAGACCAAAACCCACATTTAACAGCAAATTTATTTTACAAACAATTATTTCCCTTGTAGCTAAAGCCTGGTAGAGCTTATTCCTTTGTGTCATAGACCTCCATTGTAACCTCCATTTTAAAAAAGACGTGATTGAGCCACACCACTGTACTGGGAGATGTGTTAACTTATTAACATGAACATGGGATTTGTAGTTTATTTTGAGTCAAAAACCACATACACCATCCTGCTGCTGTAAATACTCACTAAAGAGAACCAAGGTTTATTTTCTTGACCTGTTTTTGGAGATTTATGTCTTTAGGGATTGGAAATTAAAGCAACAGACAAACACAGAAAATCTGAAAGTACTGAGAGGTTAAATAACATTTTTTTCATGGAATTTGTTGACAATATAGACTATCGCACACATCCTTTAAATGCATCTCCTTCTGTTAATGTACCATTCCCACTCAGCATGTCGATTTTACTTATTCTTGAGGCATCTCTAAAAGTTTTCCTCCTCTTTCCCTGCTCTTCTTCTCTTGTCACTTTCATGGTCAGACCATGTCTAAGATGCAGAAACACCAGCAGGAGGCGCTGTGGGAGTTTGTCCACACTGAACTCACCTACATCAACAAGCTAATTATCATCAAAGATGTAAGATGTCACTCTCTACCTGCTGTCACAGCCAGATTTATTTTCATGTATGTCAGAGCTGAGGGGAGATTTTCCACAGGATGTTTATCGAAGCTGTGTTTACCTCTTACAGTTGGTTATTGCAGCTCTCGTCATCCTACACCAGCATGGATTTCTCCTGGAGGTCAGTGTGCAGAGCATGTAGCCCCATCTACACTGGAAACACACAAACCTACTGCGCAACAAACCTAATCTCCACAGGCCTATTTTCCACTGTTCTGCATACCACTGACACACACTGACTGACACGACGAGAACATCCGCTCAAGCTGATACAGAATACAACGGACAAGTGCAAATGGAAAATGCAGCACAGCACA